TGAATTATACCTTTGATAATACCTTGATATGGCGAAATTGATTAAGCAGTCAGCGACCTGACCAGTCAGAGACTGGGTATTAAAATTTATTTACCTATTTATTTACTCATTTTACATAGGTGGTTTATGTAAAATGAATAAATAAATAGATAAATAGCATTTCGAGTGTTATGTATGCTATTGGTAGCGGCAAGGGGGGTGGGGGGGGGGAGGGAAGGGATCATTAGCAATGGAGTTTGATAGCTGAATTGCTAGCAATATAATATAATATAGCCCTATTATGTCGACCTCCGTGTGGTTTGCCCTGGAAACTATCGTGAACAATTCTTGTTGAATTTGTAACGATGGGCTAACTGACCTGCTTCATCCTCACCTATCATCCTTCACTGGTGCCCTGCTGGTGTATACTGATAGCGCGGGTGGGGCTACCATTCCATTATCACTCGTTAAAAAAAAATGGAAGCGGAATTGAACAAAATAATTCTAATTAAATAATCAGTGATATGGACTTCCACAAAATATCACCAATGTAGTTCAGTAAAATAAATCTAGTTATGCTTTGTATATTACGTGGTCTCAGGTTCTATTTCTGTATGGGTGAAATTAACATTATTTGATTCCGATAATGTACTTTAATTAAAGGATTTCTATCTTCTTTTTTATAGTTAACAAACACATTTTACAAAATGTTTATCACCCATAAACTCAACTACAACATGGACAATACGGAATATCAATTGTATACGGTCATGGTCATAGACATGTTTTTCAAATAGATGTTGCAACTTTGCGTGTATACTTTTGATGTAAGTATGCACGCTTTCCCGTACAATTGAATTAATTTTCTTAACAATTCTTACTCAATTATAAAATGCATGAATAGTTAAATGGATAGTTTTATTTACATGAAAAATTAAAATAAAAAAGTCATAATCGTAAGAAGCGACTAAGAGAATTTAATGGTAGAGGGATGGGCAGCAGCGTTCCTCTTAAAACATCACTAAAACCCTAACTGTGATTGCCAACCCTCCTGCCAAGCGTGGCAAATACTAGCGAAATTCCTCTTATGGAGAAAAAGAATATATATTACAGAAATTCACGTATATGAAGTAAAGAACTAACTGACCCATTGCTAGCAATACAATTTTTTTTTTGTAATGTACCTAATGGTGGATCCGAGTTCGGTAACCAAACATGTTATAGAGATTGAAGACCTTGAGTCGTCTACATCGATCTATGTCTATGGTCAAAATAGCTGTCAATAATTTGTTCCACCTTTTTTATTTATCCTTGAACTGAGTTCGGTGCAATGACCTTTAATATAGTCCATACAGTGGTAAATAGTTTGTAATATTATGTCTATGTCTTAGCGTTCTACAAAAAAACAAAATCACGTATATTGATTTTACACATAACCTAAACTAATCTTGATTGTGTCTAATGAATTTTATCATTAACTTTATAACCAAAGATTTTGGTTAATATAATCTCATCATTTATATATATATATATATATATATATATATATATATATATATAAAATATTTCCGAACGCAATATCCCAATATCCTTTTACACTTCTTACCTATCCATATTCCTAATAAAATCTCCGCCAGTTGCGAATTATTCAATTAGCCACCATCTCCCCGCAACATACAGCGACACTTAAGCGAATCAACAAAAGTGTTCGACAATTTGAAGATAGAACAAGAACGCGTACAAAAGATCTACACGCGGGGACTACGTGAATCAGGTTTGTCCTTCACCTTTCTTTTCATTCAACAGATCTTACTTCGCTAAAACGATATCTTCAATATTCGAATTTAAAAAAGTACTTTTTAAAAGATAAATTTACTCTATTTAAAAAATATTTTTGAAACTTTTCTTCTATATTACACTCAAATATATATATATATATTACTGTTCATTTGTTAGTCTCTTTAAAACTTATAAACGGTTTGATGGATTTGAATCTTTTTTTTTTTGTTCGCTATAAAACAGGGGTGGTTTAAAAAAAAGATTAGTATTATTTTTAATAGATGTCGTTATAAGTGATACGAAGTTATCTGGATTATCTAGTATTTAAATAAATATTCTCACGACTATAATTCCAAATAGAATAATCAAACGTATTTATCGCCTGTTACCGTTGTGATGAACGTACAATATCTTTCGATTTGCTCACCATTTGCAAAGTACAATCTAATAAATATATTATTCAAATAATTAATACAGAAAATAATACATTTAATTTATTCATAACCAAATAAATTCACACAAGACATCTGTATAAATAAAAATCATTGTATTATTTGTTATATTTTCCATGCGATGACGGAGTTACAGTAAGTTACAATGTGTCAAAGTTCATTTTTATCATCAAAACTTCGTAATAGGGAACTGATAGAATGAAACACAAAACAGGATAACGCAAAAGTACTATGCTAATACAATACACAAGCCGCCCGGCCAACGTGGAAATTTTATAAATCAAGTTTATAATCTTGTACCTCTGTTGTAACTGTATTATTAGTATATAGTTTGCCTTTAGTACAACACCAAAAGGCATATTATAATCATGGGCGACGGTAGTCACTCATCATCATACCATCAGGTGAGCCGCATGCTCGTTTGCCCCCTGCATTGTAAAAAAAAGAAAAAAAATACGGAAAATAACTTTTTTTTATTCTCTCTTTCTCTTACTTTCTCTTTTATTTTCTTCTTTCTAATCATAAATTAATGATTTCCTTTTAATCGAGAGTCCCATACTCAACAATGAAATATTAATAGGATGTTTGTTCGTTTAAAAATATTTATTGTACACATTTCTGTTTTCTCAAAGGCAGACTGGAAGAGAATGCTATAATAGCATAAAGTCCGACTTTTTTATACAGAAAAAGCGAATTTCAAAATAGCCGTTTTTTATCAGGCGGAACGTTTACTCGTTTGCTTCCCTAAGAAAATGAAGAAAAAAACACATATGGCTTCCATATCAACAGCGGACGCACGGTATTAGTATGAAAGAGAAATAATATTCACTTTTACTGGTAGAAAATTTTCAATTAGGTTGTAATCAAAATAGTATCTATTTGAAGGACTGGATCCATAAAAGAAACATGGGTCGAAAAACGATAAAAATTTCGTATAAATCTTGACTTCACTTCTAACTTGACAGCTGGACTTAACGAGATAGTTATTTATTTGATTACAATTATTTTGTTTAATTCCGCTACCGTTTAAACAAAATAAATTTAATTGACAGCGGAATTAAACAAAATAATTCTAATCAAATAACCAGTGATATGGACTTCAGCAAGATAACACCGTGTTTGGTAAAATACAACCAGATAGTGTAGGAGATTAGATATTTTTCGTCGTTTTCGACATATATTTTTCTGATAAAATGTTTAGTTTCACAAACAAAATACCTTAAAAATGAGCCAATAATTTTTAAATTTCCTTTATTATATTGTTAAATGTAAATAAACCATAATAATATTAATCCTAACTCCCATCCTAATATTAAAAATCTGAAAGTTGTTTATTACCTTATACCGCTTCTTAGGCTTGACCGATCGCTATGAAATTTAGTACAAATACTATATGCGATGGAGGAGAATATATGCTATTTTTTATCCCGATCAGAAACACATTTCGATCACGCGGACAAATTCGTGGGCAAATACTATTGACAACAGTCTCTGACTATCCTATAAAGTATTCCAGTAGTGAGCACATTTTTTTTAATTTAAATTTTTTTACACACACATACAAACCTTTCTAATATGTAACTATAAATACATGTACAACACAAAACACAACCACACACTAGCTACGTCAAAGACATACAGTTCACCGTAGCAGTACCGCGCCAACGGAAAGCAATAACGATGACGGGGTTATCGCTCTATTATCATTTAAAAAATTAATAAATACTATCTTTTACCTGCGACTTCGTACGCGTATCCGGGATATGTTTACTGACTGGCATAAAAGGTAGCCTATACCATCACATATGGTGTAGAGCAGGGGCGGGTAAATATTTTAATGGGCCACATTGCAGATGAAAATTTGACCCCGGGCCAAACAGTTTTTTTTTGTTCTAATTTTAAGTTTAATTTTTGCTAAGGATGCCAATAAATGAATTTTAAAACCAACATTTTTGAATCAAAATATTTATTTATCAAGTCATTTGAATAAAAAATTTGAAAAGAAAAGCATTAATATTAGATAATTATCAAACTGTACAATTATCATACAAAGGTGTTATTAAAAGTATTACCACTATCATCTGTGCTTAATAGATTGAGTCACAAGAAACATGAAAAACAAATGCTGGCAACACTGTGGGGATTTACATAAACTATTAATTTGACAGAACATCAAATAAATAGTTTATACAATGCTTCAGAGGCCAGACAAAATTCATACGATTTATACACAATTTAAAAAAATAAGGACAGAGTCTATTATTCTATATTTAAATCGCCAAGCTTATGAATTATTCAAACATGAACCGTTCGGATCGTTGAACTATATTACGTTATAACAGAAATACTATTCCGCCAATAACGCTAGATATTAATTGTAAATATTTACTAATTCAAATGCATAGTTTACAACCGTTTAGTAACTAAATAAATTTATTACAATAATACCTACGGTACATATATAATTGCATTTTACTTTTTTATTTATTTATTTCGAATTAAGCACACTAACAGTATTATATATTATACATAATATATATTATACATAAATTAAATAACATTTTTTGTGTAGCATGCTGATATGCATACTTACAGCAGGCGTACACTACAACGACTACAAACTATATATTTTTTTAATTAAACAACACTACACCAGAGGAAGTCTTTGTAAAATAGTCGTTTGCTTGAGCACCTCTGTCCCATTCGTGTTTCTACCGTGAAGCAGTATTTGCATGGTTGTGTTTCGGTTTGAAAAGTGGGATATAGCAGTGAATTTACAGGGTACACAGGAATAACACCTGAGTCCTCAGGGATGGCAATGCATGGGGATATCATGAGCAAAAGAGTACACTCTGGTATGTCCATGGTACTGCTCATGTCTATAGGCGACGGTTACCACTTTTCATCAGGTGGGCCGTCAGCTTGTTTGCCATTCTAAGTTGCATAAAAAAAATCCTCTACCCCCCTATTTTGAAGATGAACTTTCAATAATAAGGATCAGCAACCTTATTGCATGATGTAGCCAATCAGATCAAGCTCTGGAAACAAATTTCTAGTGATTTCACGACGATGGGGCGAGTGCCCTGATTGGGGAAAGGGATTTTTAGCAATGGACATTTTTTTGACAGCCCCATTGCTAGCAATATGCCCTATAAGCTCAACTTCCGCGTGGTTCCTCCTGGAAACCATCGTGAACAATTCTTGTTGAATTCATCACGATGGGCTAACTGACCTGTTTCATCCTCATCTATCATCCTTCACTGGTGCCCTATCAGCGTAAACCGATAGCGATACCACTTTCCACCAGGTGGGCCGTTAGCTTGTTTGTTATTCTAAGTTGTATAAAAAAAAATAGCTTATAACTGACGGAGTTATGATGTAAAAAACATATTTTAAATCGAATTGAGAATCTTCTTTTTGATGTCAATTGTATACAAAAATGCTGTTTAACCGACGACGATGAAAAGATTTACATGACATATTATTTTTTTACTCCATTTTTACTACACAGAAACACTTATCAAATTTTATAATTAATTATACAACCTATTTAGTAGAGATTACCCTATTGCAACAAAGATTACGCGAGATAATACAATACATAATTCAATAATAACATTATTTTTGCCAGTCTTGTAAGGGTATTCGTGCTGGATTGACGTGTTATCGGTAAAAACGGTTTTAAAGGTAAGATAACTCTTATTTTTGTAATCCTTTAAACTTGATATAATAATTGGGTATTATACGTTTTATTATTATTATTATTATTTTTGATGGGTGAAAATGGTATGGTAACCCCGCCTGCGCTAACGGGATACGCTGGCGGAGCACCAGTGAAGAGTGATAGATAAGAATGAAAACAGGCCAGTTAGCCCATCATGATGAATTCATAAGGAATTAACCGTGATAGTTTCCAGAGGGAAACGGCGAAGAGGTCGACCTGGTTGGGTATATTGCTAGCAATGGGATTTTTAGTCTCCATTACTAACAATCCCTTTCCCCCCGACGTTTTATTATTATAAAACAGTCATTTATTGTGTACTTAATATTCTTAAAACTGATTTGTTATAATTGGATTTTTGTTCCCTACCTAATTATACTTTCATAATAATTGTAATGAAATTGAAGAGTATGATATTCAAAAATATATTCTAACAGTTAGAGTATAGAACTCAAAATATGCTGTTAAAGTTGCGAAAAATTTAGTCAACATTCCTTTTTCGATTTTTGTCACTACATCGTCTTTCAGTCCACACTTCTCTCTAATCACACTGTTTCTACTCCAAAAAATAATATTTGATAACAAACTTTTAACATATTCTAAAATAGATATCCTGCCTATATAGTCGATATCGAAATAGGTGGTGACCTTTTTTCCACTATCAATGTCCAGAAGATATATATATATATATTGAGTTATTATTTTAATGACTGAAACAAAATTATTCGTTGTTTCGTCAAAGAAAGATTTACATTATCAGAAACAAGATAAAAAGATGGTAAGCAGAGAAGACAGTATTTTCGCAAAACAGCGAATGCCATATCTTCCTACCTACATTTTTTTTATTCAACTAAGAATGGCAAACAAGCTGACGGCTTACCTGATGGAAAGTGGTAACCATCGCCTATAGACATGAGCAGGGCCATGGACATAACAGAGTACACTGTTTCGCCAATGTTACCCCCCATGCGTTGCCATTCCTGAGGACTCAGGTGTTATTCCTCTGTACCCTGTAAATTCACGCCATATCCCACCCTTCAAACCGAAACACACACTTCAAATGTAAACACAACTGCTTCATGGTAGAAACACGAATGGGACAGAGGTACCCGAGTAATCGACTTTTGTAGAAACTCTCCCTCTTTTGTACTAAGTTTTGTTTTACTTTACGAATCGTTGTCTAGTTGATTATAAACGATCAAAGTCGATATTTCAAAGAACACATAAGTGCCAATGCAAGGTGTTTCTTATTACTATGAGCATTAGTCATGCTTTGGCACAGAGTCACGGTCATGGCCGCGAGGTCATTTTCGAATGCCTATCATTTTATTTAAACATAATGTAGTATCTAAAAACCAGACAGGATTATTCGGTAGTGTAGCTTTTTTTGGATCAAATTGGAATAGTAACTCCACCTGCGTTAGCAGTATACGCTGGCGGGGCACCAGTAACGGATGATAGGGGATAGTAAAAGCAGGTCAGTTAGCCTATCGTGATGAATTCCTCAAGAACTAACCGAGATGGTTTCCAGAGCTTATTGATAACCTGTACTAAGAATCCTCCCCCCCCCCCCCCCCCCCCAGCAATATACCTTTTTTTTAGTGAGTGAAAATGGAATGGTAAACCCGCCTGCGCTGTCGGTATACACTGGCGGGGCACCAGTGAGAAGACAAGTATAGTTTCCACAATAAATTATGCTACAATGATTTTCGAGGGGAACCGTGTGGAGATCGACCTTATAAGGTATATTGCTAGATATGGGACTATTGTTCCCCATTACTAACAATTCCTTACCCCTCAGCAAAATACCTTAGGTATTTGACATGATAAAGATAATTTATACTAGATATTTTTACTAGTTTCTACCCGCGACTTCGTCTGCGTAACCGGGACCGGAATAAAAGTAGCCTTACACTCCTCTATCGCAAATTTGTACTATGTATATACTAAAATTTTATTCTATTTATTTCTTAGGTCACAAACAAACAAATCACTTTTACGTTTATAATATTAGTAAAGACTCTGTAATACAGTATACAGCCATAATCATATAATAACGAAGGAGATGAGAGATTGTTAGAAGTGGGGACCAGCGTTCCTATAGCTAGCTATATACATTGCTAGGTCGACTGTCGCGCAATGCTTTCAACACCATTTATTGATTAATTCGTGATGTTAAAAATAATGTAAAAAAAGGAAAAGCTAAAATTTCATTCAGAACAAATTTCTTTTTTTTTTCAGATGACTAAAGTCATTATCCTATTACTAGTGCCTTTACTGGCCATCATAGGTCTTCCGGTCTACTACTTATTCCTGAAGAGTCCACCGCCGCTGCCTGATATTGACTACAACGCGTGGTGGGGTCCAGAGGAGCTGAAGCAACGGCAGGACACCAGCATCAAGGACTTCAAAATAAAGTTTACAGAAGTGGTAAAATATATTATTCAAAGATTCTAGGAGACAATGAGAGAAAGAGGTAACAATTTATTTTGTGATTTGTTTTGGGACCAAAACAAAAAATCTTTAGGATTATAATCAAAACTAGTTTGTATTGACTGAGGCCTTTTTCAAAATAGTTTAAACCTCAGAATAATTTGTGTAGTTTTCGCTGTTCTGCTCATACTTCTGTCGACAATCAGCTTTGCTCGTAGAATTACGTATCAGTTTGAAGGGGAGTATATGAAAGAATTGCCGTTTGGTCTCGGCATAGAATGTGCCATCTCTTCCTTTCCCATAGGTGTCGTAAGAGATGACTAAGGAAACTTAATGGTCGAGAGATAGGCAGCAGCGTCCCTCCAATCCGCCTGCCAAGCATGGCAACTACTGGTAAAATCCTCCCAATATCATAAGGAAGGCTCTCATTTGTTATGACAATTTATGGGAGAAACCTATGTTCAGCAGTAGACATATAATGGCTGATATGGCGATGGTGATGGTGATATGGCAGAGTAAGTGAAGATATAATATCTATAGCTACAATACACTACTCCTCATAAATGGCAATAGCATGAAGGCACTATGACACAATTTTCATAGCTGTTCTTTATAAGAAGCGGTTGTCACATCAAAACTCCATCTGGTGAACCATCAGTGACCTTGTTTAAGTTCTAAGTTACATAAAAATATCTTTTATTCAGATGATAAACGAACTCAAGACCCGCTTGAAGAACCATCCTGTCTTCACTCCCCCTCTAGAAGGCATTGCATTTGAATACGGTTTCAATACTGACATCATCGGCGACTGGATCACGTACTGGGCTGAGAAGTATCCGTTCCATCAGCGGGAGAAGTTCCTAAATCAGTTTCCGCAATACAAGACCAATATTCAAGGCCTGAATATCCACTTCTTAAGGATTAAACCCAGTGTAAATATCTACATTCTATACTAAATACGAAATTATATTATATAAATATTATATCGGCCGTGTGGTCCTGGCATAGGATAGGCCACCCCTTCCTTTCCCGTGGGTGTCGTAAGAGCTGACTAAGGGAGGACGAGAGATGGACAGCAGCGTTCCTCTTAAAACACCTTTATCCGCCTACCAAGCGTGACAACTGCTGGCAAAACCCCCCAAGGGGAAGGTTTATATTCAGAAGTGGACGGTTATAGGCTGGATGATGATGATTATATAAATAACAAAATTTTACGCAATGACGTTTACTTGGATACCTCTATCCTACTTGTGTGTCTACCAATAAGTAGGTAGGGTATGGCTAAATAGTAATTCTGGCAGTAAAATTGCTAGAACGCCATTATGGCGTCATAATATATTCTGTGATGTTTTCATATGACTAATGGTGATGTTATTTCGTAATAATTCGTAATGGATACATCACGACGGGCCAACTGATCTAATCTCATTCTAACGCATCATCCCTCATTAGTATTCCGCTAGCATAAACGGATAACGTTTCTTGTAAGGATGGCCATGTAGTTCCATAGAATGGGCCACCTCTTCCTTTTCCATGGGTTTTGTAAGAAGCGACCAAGGGGCTTAATGGTCGAAGGAGCAGTGGACAGTTAACAGCTGATATTATAATGACAAGCTCTTTCAAATCGTAATTTCTTATAATTCGACTACTGGCCTCGAAACATTGTTATCTGCTAAGAAGAGAGAGGGAGGGGATGGAGGAACCAGAGGGAGACTTTGTACAAAAGTCGATTGCTTGGGTACCTCTGTCCCATTCGTTTTTCAACCGTGAAGCAGTTGTGTTTGCATGGTTGTGTTTCGGTTTGAAGGGTGGGATATGGCGTGAATTTACAGGGTACAGAGGAATAACACCTGAGTCCTCAGGAATGGCAACGCAAGGCGGGTATCATGGGCGAAACAGTATACTCTGTTATGTCCATGGTCCATCAATACACTACCTAATTAAATTACAGGATACAGAGGCCTAACATCTTATTCTTCAGGAATGACAATGTATGACGGGCATCACGGACAATACATTATACACTGTTATGTCCATGATACTGTTCATGTCTATAAGCGACGGTTACGATTTTCCATCAGACGTTCTGTTAACTTGTTTGGCATTCCAAGCTCAATTATAAAACGTACTTTATAGTCACTACTTCATTTTCTTTCATTGCAAGAAATCTTCGTTTATTATAAAAAAAACATAATAAAACTATGATTATTAGGTATCCAACAACATTGAAGTTGTCCCAATGCTGCTACTGCATGGGTGGCCAGGATCAGTCCGAGAATTCTACGAAGCAATACCTCTCCTCACAGAAGTTAACAAGGATAGAGACTTTGCTATAGAACTCATAGTGCCCAGTCTTCCGGGATATGGATTCTCTGATGTGAGTACGACTAAACACAGAGTAAAGTCAAATTCTTCCACTTGGCAACATTTTGGGCCTCGGGATAACGTAAAAGATCCCGCCGGCTTCAAATTTTTTTTCACTTACAAAATCATTATTATTAGAATATCATTAGTGTTATCATATTTTAATATTATTTCAATAATTTTCCATTAGTAAATTTTCGAGTGTCTTATCATAAATATTTGTTTTAAATAAAATTTATTAACATCCTTCTAAATTTATAATATATTTCCAAAATAAATAAATCTATAAATTGCAATAAAATGTAAACCACCTATACTTATAAATTTGATAGCTGTATGCAATAAAATTAAATTGAATTAAATATGTAAAATATTTTGTCTTTATGAAAAATAATGCTCAAAAACATTGCTGAGTATTCTTAGTTCAACCTGTAGCACAATTTTCTTCAATTTCTTTAACACAATACAAATTAGACCTAGTTATGCCTATACATCTTCATCATTTCAAATGATATCAGGTAATGTTGGCTATTTTTTGCAGAACTAGTTCGAACCTCTTTATCTGCAACTCTTTTGTATTGTAGGCAGCAGTTCGTCCGGGCCTCAGTGCAGTTGACATAGCTGTTGTGTTAAGGAACCTGATGCATAGACTGGGCCATAAAAAGTTTTACGTCCAAGGTGGAGACTGGGGCTCTATTATAGGATCTCATTTGGCTACCTTCTTCCCTGATGTAAGCTTATTCTTTCATTTGTTACTAACGTCTTACTCTGACTTCACCCCTTGTTTTAATTGTAATGCAGCCCATATACTGATATAGTATAATTCTCTGGAAGATTTTTTTACAAACGGTTAAGAATTTGAAAAATGATAATCATCACCGGTATATATGAACAATACTGTCTCATATTTAGCAAGTGTGACCTTTGTTCAATTGTTTTAATAATAATGCATGGCTGCCGGTTTGATATATAGCAGTGATTGGCAAACAAACAAACGTCACACCTGATCGAAAGTGGCAACTATCACCTATAGACATGAACACTAACATGGAGATAACAGAGTATACTGTTTCACCCATCATACTCCCTATACGTTGCCATTCCTGAGGAGTCAGGTGTTATTCCTCTGTACCCTGTAAATTCACTGCAATATCTCACCTTTCAAACGAAACACAGCCATGCAAACACAGCTACTTCACGGTAGAAACACGACTATCTTTCTGTCTTTGCACAATCGGGTAATAGGGCATAGCTTTATAATGCTCTGACATCTTACACTTAATAACTTATTTATATATTCCAGGAAGTTCTTGGATATCACTCAAATGGGGCTTTCTCGATGTCGCTAGCTACCACCATATTCTCTATCATTGGCTCTTTTTATCCCCCACTGGTGGTGGAAGACAAATACGCTGATAGAATGTACCCTCTCTCCAAGTTTTATGCTCAGTTACTAGAAGAAATGGGCTATATGCATATACAAGCTACTAAACCAGACACAGTTGGTAAGAATTATACTAAACTGGCCGTGTGGTTCCGGCATAGATTGGATCACCCATTCCTTTGATGTGGATGTCGTAAGAATTGGATCACCCATTCCTTTGATGTGGATGTCGTAAGAGGTCACTAAGGAAATTTAATAGTCGAAAGCATCCGTAGCAGCAGCAGCGTCCCTCTTATAACATAACCAAAGCCTAATTGCCGTTGCCAGCCCATCTGCTAAGTATGGCAACTACTGGCAAAATCCCCCCTTATGGGGGAGGCTTATGTCTAACAGTGGACCGTTAATGGCTGATGTAATAATAATAATAAAGTTATTATTATAACTAAGACAATAATGCTAAAAAACTTTTTCTAGGAATCGCTCTGACTGATTCTCCGTCCGGTCTCCTTGCTTACATCTTAGAGAAGTTCTCATCTTGGACTCGGAGAGATCACCGTTCGAAGAAAGACGGAGCCTTGGAGTACCGATTCACGAAGGATCAACTGGTCGACAACCTCATGTTCTACTGGATCCCTAGATCCATCACCACTTCTATGAGACTTTACGCTGAAACATTTAATAAGAGAGTCATGTCCATGAACTTGGATGAGTAAGTAAATTGCTTCTAATCATCGTCATTTTCAGGGGCAAGGGCAACCCCATTTATTTAGGGTCGGCGTGTATATTTTACAATGTTTATTCCTTATGGCAGCCTATGGGAGAGGTATACGTTCATCAGTGGAGGGAAGGGATTCTTAGTATTGCGATTCTAATAGCCCCATTTTTTATGCAATTTAGAATGGATAACAAGCTGACGACGCACATGATGGAAAGTGGTAACCGTCGCTTATAGACATGAGCAGTACCATGGACATAACAGAGTATACTGTTTCGCCCATGATACCTCTCCGTGCGTTGCTATTCCTGAGGACTTAGATGTTATTCCTCTGTACCCTGTAAATTCACTGCTATATCCAACCCTTCAAACCGAAACACAGCCATGCAAACACAACTGCTTTACGGTAGAAACACCAATGGGACAGTGGTGCCGAAGCAAACGACTTTTATACAAAGTCTCTCTCTGGTAAATTGTTTACAATATACCCTATCAAGTCGACCTCCACGTGATCTCCCCTGACCAGAACACAGCTATTAGACAAAAACAAAAGAACTTTATTTAATGTTTTTGTCTCGGGGCACTCATAATCATTTTAAAGTATAAAGTATAATAAAATTCTTCTTACCAGGCTATTTCTAATATTTCTTACCATTTCCAGAATACTAACATCAGTTCCGTCATGGTTTTTACAAGCGAAACACGAACTAGCATTTCTACCACCATGGATTATAAGACGAAAGTACCAGAACTTACAGAACGGCACCATCATCGATGACGGTGGTCATTTCTTGGCGTTTGAATTGCCTGAATTGTTCGCAAAAGACGTTCTGAATGCTGTAACAGCTTTCAGGAAGTATCATAAACAGATTATACTTAAAACAGAGCTGTGAGAAATTTTATATGTAAAGAGTCGATTTCAATATATTTGTACATACATAATATAAATGTTGCCTTTTATACAATGTTAATTAATAAAAAGGAATAAATATTTTCTGACATTATTAATGTGAAAGTGAGTTTATTTGCTATATTTTTACCTATATAACCAACTTCAAAGGACGGTTCCTCCACTAGATGGAGTGACGACCTGAAATGCATTGCAGGGAGTCAGTGTATGCAGGTGGATCAAGACCGTTCTTTATGGCAGTCTATGGGGGAGACATATGTCCAGCAGTGGACGGATAATGGCTGAAATGATGATGATGATGATGAACCAACTTCAGGAAAGGAGGAGGTTGTAATTAGGTTGTATTTTTTAATGTTTATTACCTCATAACTTCGTCAGTTGTAAACCGATTTGAAAATTTTTTTTCCTGTGTACTTTCAGACTGGTCGCATAGAAATTTTATCAAAATCGGTTCAGTAGTTTAGATTTAAACTCAAAATAACTGGTGTTGCCACAATTTATATTTTTGTTTCAACACGAGGGGCAAACGAGTACGCGGCTCATCTGATGGTAAGTGACTACCGCCGCCCATGATCACCCACAACAGCGGCATTGCAGGTGTGCTGCCGCTAGAGATGGGCAATCCACCTGGGTGGGTTTAAAGTCTGGTGGGTAAAAACCGGGTGTTTTGGGTTTATTGGGTTTAAACCCCATAAACACCCAAATTTTTGGGTGTTTATGGGGTTTAAACTTATTCATCATCGTCATCTCAGCTCCACTATACTGGACATAGACAATATTATTATGCAGCCTACAGAATAAAAAACTTTTAATTTGATTTTGAGTTTATTAAGAAAGAGATGAAAGTAAAATGTAAAACTACAGTCAATCACTGTCAGATTCAGAGTTATTACAAGCGATGAATTGTATAGGTTCGATAGGCTCTATTTCGTCTAAACTGTTATGTTCATTTACTTGCTCAATGAAAGCTTCTAAGGTATTTTCTTCATTAAACTGAATGTCCTCGCATTCAGCTTTATGTTTAAGATTCCAGTTATAACAAATGAATGAAATTTTTTCAGTTCTTTCAGTTGTAAGTCGATTTCTTTTGTTATTATGTATGTAGCCTTGGATACTAAAGGAACGCTCAGTGGCTGCCGAAGTACAGGGAGCTGATAGAATACGAATCGCTACTTTGCTTAACTCAGTGGAACCACAAATACCTTTCCACCATATTAGGGGCTCAATGCTATCTAATGAGCTCCATACAAATCCTCTGGCCCAAAAGTTTTCTTTAGCTTTATAACACGCCAAATCTGCCATTACATTTGACAAACTTAAGTGTTGGCTTAAATTGTAGATAAACTCCATACCCTTAAGTTCTTCCTCTTGAGTAAGTTCGACTCCTAGATATAATCTAGAATATATGCTGCAAAATGTATTGGCCTCATTGCCATATTGCATAAGATACTGATGTTAGAATCTGCTATTTGCTTTCTTCGCTCAATGTCGAAATCTCATTTAATGCAAAACGTATCTTAGCTTGTACATCTCTAAATGTAATGTATGTGCGATGCAAACGATTCTGGTCGCTCTCTAAGTAAAATATGCTTTCAGTGACTGGTTCCAAAATACTTATACATTCCCCTGTCTTCGTCCAGAAATCATCACTTAGAATTAAATCTTTAATATCTCTTGAAATTACCACATCTTCTCTAACTGTTAATATTTGCAAAGCTATCTTATTTGCTTTCAAACTTTTTAACGAAGTAACATGACTTCCCCATCTTGTAGCACAAGGCAATTTTAGTGTTTGTGTAGAATCTTCACCCTGCCTTGATTTTATCAACAAGGAACTTAATCGTTGACTCCTTTTAACAGTTTTTATTATATTTATGGCTTGCATAATAAACACAGTTACTTCTTGTATCTTTACAATATCTTGGCACAACAAGTTAAGGATATGTGCACAGCAACCGAGAGGAACAACATGTGGATATTTGAGTTTTGTTAATTTGCCTTTTGTATATTTCTAGCGTTATCGCCAATAAGTACAAGAAACTTATTTGCTCCATACACTTTCATTACTTTTTCAACTTCTTGGCTAAGGTATTCACTAGTGTGAGGATTACTTTCTGTATTCAAACTTTTAACGTATGCAGGTTGAGGTTTTGATATAAGAAAGTTTATTATTCCTTCATTTCTTAAATTAGACCAGCCATCGCACTGAAGGTGTAAGTAACTACAAGCATTTAGTTCCTCATTTAACTCAAAACGCATTTCTCTATATATTTTATCTAAGTATTTTGTCGCTAAAGCTTTACGTGAAGGTATTTTAAATTTTGGTTGCAATTTTTCGAAAAATTGTATCCATAAAGGATGTTGCACCATCGATAATGGCGTCCCTGTTACAAATATAGCTCTCGCTAATTCTGTTTTTATATGATCATCGGTGTCTTGAAACTCAGCATTTATTGTAGTGTTAGCAGACGACGAGGGGCTTATAAAAGAATCATTTGTCTCTATCTCTGACAGTCCAGACATTTTGGTTTTGGACGAGCTATCTTTTATAAGTTTCATAGAGTCTTTTAATGTTTCTGGAGATTTTGGACAAGTGATAAGATGTTGAAGCATTTTGGCAGCATTACTGAATTTGTAGACCTTATTACAAAGCTTGCAAGAAACAGACTTGTTTGGTAAAGTACGGTAGTGCTCCCATATGCGTAAATCTTTAGGTCTCCCCATTGAACCTAAAAAAATGAACGATGATTAGTTGGTCTGACGAAAATTCAACAATAGAGTGCCTATTTTTTTACAATGATTATTTCTTGTTATTTACAATAAATTTATTAAAAAAATAATAAAATAAATACAAAAAACCTTTGTAAAATTACATCTCCTCGGAGGATTAAACGCAGACGCTAGTTTATTATCGTATTGTTCTGTATTTTTCTCAGCAACTTCTTTAACTCGATTAGGTACTTACGCATATTATGTTAAAAATAAATATCTAGTACACATCTTAGGCTATCCACCATTATTATCCAATGACGACTCTCAGCTAACTATGCACTATCATCCAAAATAAACGTGTATGGAAAATTTTATCCCAGTCGGTTGAGGATTGAGGATAATTGCATCAACATACGAACATACCTACGTACTTTTATTTACATAACGCAAGCTAAATAAAAGCTTGTAATAATACATCTAATTTTAAGTTAAAATTGTTAAGTGATCATGATATAATTGTATCATTCAAAAATCCACTTACCTTTAATTATTTCTTGTTAAGTATAAATATTATTTCAAATCTGCTCCCTTAATATGCACTTTTTTACTGCTTTTCCTACCTAACACGTTACCAGGAAGTCACGTTACCAGAGTCAGAGTAATAGTGAACACGTTTGACAGTGATTGTCGTCGCCTCATATTCAGCGTCGACGAATAGGGGAATCCCCAGTCATAATGTATTGCATGCGTGGCGGTCTTACTTCAAATCCATAAACAAAGAGATAATTACAGAACTCGATACTAGATGGCGCTGTTTTTGTTTGAAGAAAGTTTGCGGGCTAAAATACATAGAATTTCATCAATGACTTCCACAAAGAACAACATTTCTGTTTTTTCTAAGTCCGTATCTCTTCCGTATATTTCATAAGATATAAGCTTGGGCTACATTGTTATGCAACGTGATTTTGTCGCTGTCTTGCTAGCAGGGTTGACAGATATACGATTTAAATCGTACTCATACTATTATTTGTCTATTTTTTAATGTACGATCGTAAAGATTATGATCGTAATTCGCAAAAAATCATACGACTTTTTGGTTACCTGGCAACATTTTTATTATGAAACGAACATGCTCACATCATCATCACATGCAACAATATATTTCCCCTTCACATCTGGCAGTCCTGCTTGCTAGAATATAGGTAAGTCAGCCACAGTTACTGACGATCGATATTTAAAGGGTATTGTTTTTGTGCTAAATATTTCATAAAAACGTTATTTAATACTTTGTGGATTATTAATTTAGTTGATAATCACTGGAAGTAAAATGGATGCTAATTTGAGAGATCAAGATCTTCGTATAAAACAGTTAATAAAAGAAAATCTACGTAAGTACTCTTTTTATACCTAGGTAGGTAAGGTATAATAAACACAAAAGGTACTTAGATCGCGTGTGTTCGAAGCATTTATTCTAATAAATTTAATTTAAAATTGTAGAAAGAAAAAAATGTCTGCCAAGCCGTAGCCGAAGCCGATCTCCAAATATATTTGGCGATAGTGAGACCCAGTGTCCAGATGATTTACCCAGCGTCGTCGCAACAAAGAAAAAAACGAGGATAAAGTAAAAGAAAATTTACTGAAAGAAGAAACAAACTGTTCTAAATGCTTAATTTATGGAGAAGAGGATAAAAGAAATGAGTATTTCGGACTGTTAGTGGCTCAAGAATTTAAATATATACGGCCATGTGTGCGAACGAGGTGTTATGAAGAAATTTTAAAGTATCTACGGGAAGCAAAAGGCCAACATGTTGATCAACTGCAACATGAAAACACTGAAAATTAATTACTTTCATTTTATTATATATAGATTTTTAAAATTTCCTGAAATATTATTAGTTAACGTTTTATTTAATATTGTAGAATTGATCAATACAATTTATAAAAATAATTTATTGGTATTACTTACATATTTTCAAAAAAATACGTAAAAACCTATTTTTTTGGGTGATTATGGGAGTTTATGGGTGTTTATTGGGTTTTTACCAAAGCACCGGGTTTAAACCCGGTGCTTTGCCCATCTGTAGCTGCCGCCCTTTTAAAAAGAAATATGCTCTTTTCTTGAAGGTTATAATGTCGTAAGTGTTAATTATTCAAGTCAACTTAATGACAATATTTCTGAGTAGTTATTTTTAATGATTCTACTGATCCTATCAGTAACTTAACAGTATTCTGTCAATAACATATCGCCATAATATTTAATACACGTACTATTTGAAATGGAGACGGCCATATGCTAGTCACGAGTATATTTTATGTTCTTATAAGTGAGATGTAATGCGCTACCCATGGACATAAGACAAATGTCTAACAAATTTATTTTTAAGGGAAAAGTCTACGAATATCTTTGGAAAAAACTGTGAAAGCAGTTCATCTTCATCATCATCACTTTTGATCACTATCGTTGTTTATTTGTGTTCGATCGTATATAATCTATAAGTATGTAGGTATATTTATATATGTATATTTATATTTGTATGTATGTATTTTTATTACATATTTGTATATTTATGTAATATTTGTTTAATGTATTCATGTATGTATATTTATATAATCATTATGTGCAGTAGTTCTCTATTGTATGTGTTGTAATTTTTTTCACCGCATAATAAAATTTCTGTTTTGTCAAAGGTTGACTGCGAGAGAATGCTATATAGTATTAAGTCCGCCTTTTGTACCAGAATTTTTTTTGTAATGTGGTCAATAAAGAATAAATAAATAAAAAAAAAATGTAAAACTTACTGTTCTTTTTGCTGATTATGGTGGACGTATGTATATATTTCCGAACTGATATGACATCCTAGCCTTCAAAAAAAAACACATTCCTTTTTAAAAAAGCTGGTACACCTGTAATTTCAATAGCGTAGCGGATGCTCATTGGCGCTGGTAGTCACTTACTGTTTTTTTTTTCTTTTATTTAATGATAATGCAATGGTAACCTGGCCGCAATGCAATGGCCGCCTGCGCTAACGGTATAAGCTTACGGGGCACCAGTGAGATATGATAGATGAGAATGAAGGCAGGTCAGTGAGCTCATCGTAATTAATACACTTGGAATTTAGCACGATGGTTTCCAGAGGAGATCATGGGGAGGTTGACCTAGTTAGATACATTGCTATCAATAGGGTTCTTAGTCTCCATTACTAACAATCCCTTCCCCCCCCCCCCCAGTCACTTACTTTTATTATTTATTAGGTGAGCCGCATGCTCATTTGTCCCTTGTATTATAAAATAATGCAAATTTAATTAGTTAATTAAATTAATTATTTACCAGAGGGAGACTTTGTACAAAAGTCGATTGCTTGGGTACCTCTGTCCCATTCGTGTTTTAACCGTGAAGCTGTTGTGTTTGCATGGCTGTATTTCGGTTTGAAGTGTGGGATATGGCGTGAATTTACTGGGTACAGAAGAATAACACCTGAGTCCTCAGGAATGGCAACGCATGCGGGGTATCATGAGCGAAACAGTATACTCTGTTATGTCCATGGTAGTGCTCATGTCTATAGGCGACGGTTACCACTTTCCATCAGGTGGGCCGTCAGCTTGTTTGCCATTCTAAGTTGTATAAAACAAAAATTACCTTAATCTATGAGTGAAGTCTTATTTTGTATTAGAATACTATAAAAATCACAATTTAAAGAGTTGGAATTCGGATACATACTCAACAATCTATTCAACATACTATCTTATCAGTATTTTTTTTAATGGGTGAAAATGATATGGTAACCCCGCCTGCGCTAACGAGATACGCTGGCGGAGCACAAGTGAAGGGTAATAGATGAGAATGAAAACAAGCCCATCATGATGAATTCATCAGGAATTAACCATGATAGTTTCCAGGGGGAACCGCGAGGAGGTCGACCTGGTTGGGTATATTATAGCAATGGAATTCTCAGTCTCCATTACTAACAATCCCTTTCCCCTCTCTTATCAGTATTAAATTTTAATGTAATATAACTTACGTGTAATTTGGTCTATAAATAAAAAAAAAATAAAGTCTTATATCAAATTAATTTAGATTAAACAAATAAAGAATAAATATTTCTTTTTATTATTAAAAAAACTTATTCCTATTCCCAAAGAGGGTTGACGTCAGGCAGGCGGCCGATCATAAAACGAAACCAAATCTTTTTGTAATATGGATAAAAAAATGGCATGAATTTACTGGGTACAAAGGAATAACACCTGAGTCCTCAGGAATGGCAACGCATGGGGGATATCATGGGCGAAACAGTATACTCTGTTATGTCCATGGTACTGCTCATGTCTATAGGCGACGGTTACCACTTTCCATCAGGTGGGCCGTCAGCTTGTTTGCCATTCTAAGTAGTATAAAAAATATACATATATTTTTTATACTACTTATTTGTCTATATAATATATGTATGGTAAGTATATTATATGTATATGTGTGTATATGTATATGTAAGAATATGCATAGATGTAGGTATATATTTATGTATAGGTATATACGTATTTATACGATTAAATATATTGTAATTAATTTAATTTTTTTTCCACTTTGTTTAAAAATTGTCACAATATTGTACACCGCTCTTCCCGCTGACATTGATGCTCCTTTCCACGTTGGGGTGGCTGGAAGAAAACTATTAGAGTTAAGCTCGCCTTTGTACATTTGATTACCTCTGTCATATCCTTATAACTGGTGTGTACAATAAAGAATTAAATAAATAAATAAAATACAAAATATATAACGCCGACTCGAAATAATAACTAAGATAAGGGTAGAAAGATGACGATCAAGAAAAAAAATTAAGTATTATTGAATAAGTGTGACCTCATTTATTTTACGATTAATTCAAATAACAATATTATTACTTACTCGGATTTAGAATTATATCTCATGATAATAAAAAAATAACAAGTTTTCTCCGATACATTATCAGATATCAGAAGAATTAGTCAAATATAAGCGATGATAACCTGAACAGTGTCATGCTTATTAATATTTTCATATCAATGCACCTAATGAAAAATAAACATACTTTGTGAAAGAAAACATATATGTAGGTACTATAAATATGGATGCATGTGTATATATACATATATATATAGGATGGTTAAAAAAATAGTAAAAATCATATTTCATATTTATTTATTTATTTAACTCTTTATTGTACCATAAACAAAAATATACAATGACAAGTGAATAATTCAAATGAAATACAGTAACATAAATACAGATTGAAATATACACATAAAAGTACAAAAGGCGGTCTTATCGCTAGGGCAATCTCTTACAGACGAGCTTTGGTTAAAGGAGACCAGACAGAAGTGGGTAGGTAGAGAGAGTAAAGAGTTAATTAATAGTTTTTCGTGCATAAAATACAAAAGCCTATAATATATATACATATATTATATATTTCTTTTTTTTTATACAACTTAGAATGGCAAACAAGCTGACGGTCCACCTGATGGAAAGTGGTAACCGTTGCCTATAGACATGAGCAGTACCATGGACATAACAGAGTATACTATTTCGCCCATGATACCCCCCATGCGTTGCCATTCCTGAAGACTCAGGTGTTATTCCTCTGTACCCTGTAAATTCACTGTCATATCCCACCCTTCAAACCGAAACACAGCCATGCAAACACAACTGCTTCACGGTTGAAACACGAATGGGACAGAGGTACCCAAGCAATCGACTTACAATAGCAATTACTGCGATATGAGTAAGTGCGACATTAGGTCATTGCGAGCAAAAATCACAGATATCATTTATCACAAGTTATAACCTGTGATACATCACTGTAAACAAAAATAATAATTTCACTAATTGTTAATTAATTAAATTACCATGCCTTAAATGAAGACTATAAATTTCAAAAAGAATTACAAAATCGTTTTTGAATTGTCAATCTAAAATTCCTCATAGATATATTAAGTCGTTTAAAAATACAATATTACTAACGACCCGTTTTGGCTTTACACGGCTTAAAAAACATCGCTGATAATGTAGCTTTCAGTTGGTGAAAGGATTTTTAAAATCAGTTATTTAAGTTTATCCATTACAAGCGAAAAAATAATATTTTTTCTTTATAATATAATATATAATAAAAAAAAATATAATATTAAATTTATAATGTAATAAGAGAACTCTTACAGAGTTAAGCTCGACTGTTGTACATCTTTATTTTATATATATTATATGTTGTAATTTTTTGTGTACAATATTTATTTATTTATTTATTTTTATTTATTTAACTCTTTATTGCACCATAAATAAAAATATACAATGACAAGTGAATAATTCAAGTGAAATACAGTAACATAAATACAGATTGAAATATACACATAAAGGTACAAAAGGCGGTCTTATCGCTAGAGCAATCTCTTACAGACAATCTTTGGTTAAAGGAGAACAGATAGAAAAGGGCAGGTGGCGCAAGAGTGAATTAATAATTTTCGTGCATAAAAATAAAGAATAAATAAAAAAAAATACTAGTTTTTTTTTTTTTTATTATTTCAAGTGTTTTCTTTAAAAACAAGACATTTGAGCCGTTAACAAGCAGGTACTTTTATGAACAAAGGAAACCGTTCAACGAAATGTATAGGTAATTAGTTATTTAAAAGATTTCGAAATCAAAAGATCTAGTTCGTTTAATCGTTTTTCTTAATACGATAATATCACTTTTAGTAATTACAAATTTAGAAATAATATTCAGGGTAGTATACTCTGAATATTTTATGTATTTTGTCGTAAGGTCCCAGCATAGAATGGGCAATCCCTTTCTTTCCGGGGGGAAAGGGATTGTTAGTAATGGAGACAGAATCCCATTGCTAGCAATATACCCAACCAGGTCGACCTCCTCGCGGTTCCCCTGGAAACTATCATGGTTAATTCCTGATGAATTCATCATGATGGGCTAACTGGCCTGTTTTCATTCTCATCTATCACCCTTCACTGGTGCTCCGCCAGCGTATACCGTTAGCGCAGGCGGGGTTACCATACCATTTTCACCCATTAAAAAAAAATCCCTTTCTTTCCCGTGGGTGTTGTTAGAGGCAACAGCGTCTCTCTTAAAACATCGTCAAAACTCAACTGAGATTGCTAACAACCAAGCTTGGTAACTACTGGCAAAATTTCTGAAAGATATGACAGATAAAATGTAAGATTTAGGTAAACTTGTTGTTTTAAAGTAACGATTAGGTATGTATGATTAAGCGATTCAAATTGTTTTTGTAATTAACGTAAGAATTATCCAATGATAAGTACAAAATAATATTTTTATCACTTAATTATTTTAACAATGTATGCCTACAAAATAGGATCATTGGTATTAAATATTAACGGTAAGTAATACGGTTAACGATTCCGTGGCATCGTAAGTAAAATTAAAAAGAAACATACTATTTTATTAAAAATTTATTTTTTAAGAAATTATTACTTTTTTTATACCACTAAGATGGCAAACAAGCATACGGTCTTCCTGATGGTAAACGGTTTTTTTTAATGGGTGATAATGGAATGGTAACCCCGCCAACGCTATCGGGATACGCTGGCGGGGCATCAGTGAAAGATGATAGGTGAGGATGAAGCTGGTCAGTTGGCCCATCGTGACGAATTCAACAAGAATTGTTCACAATGCTTTCCAGGGGGAACCACGTGGAGGTCGACCTAATAGGGCATATTGCTTGCAATGGGGCTGTCAAACTCCATTGCTAACAATCCCTTTCCCCCTGATGGTATACGGTTACCGTGACCTATGAATACCTTGTAATATTATACCATGGGCATTACGTGAGCGTTTTCGACCCTGAAGAAATCTCTTTACACTTTTTTTGAAGAACCCCATGCTGTAGTCTCTTGGAAAAACCTCAACAGGAAGCTCATTCCATAACCTGAGCGTTCATGGGAGGTAACATCTCTGATACGTTTATATGAACATACTAACGGCCCGTCACGGTTTCGAACAGGTGGACATTTTTACATTTTAAAAAGTGACCATTAAGGCTGCACACGCGACGGAAGCTTAAAAATGGAGTAACTTCTCCCGTTTTCCCAACATTTCCCTTCACTGCTCTGCTCCTATTGATCGTAGCGTGATGAAAAGTATACTATAACCTGTCCAGGAGTATGAAAAATAATTATACCAAGTTTCGTTAAAATTCGTCGAGTAGTATTTGTTTCTATAACGAACATACAGACAGTAAGACAAAAATTTTACTGATTGCATTTTTGGCATAGCATCGATCACTAATCACCCCCTGATAGTTATTTTGGAAATATATTTCATGTACAGAATTGACCTCTCTACAGATTTATTATAAGTATAGATTGATTTTCATAATCTCACTTGAAAACTATCATTCATATATTTTATTAATGCATATCCTGTAATTTTTAAATTTGATTTTATGTGTAACGAAGTATCCAATATAAACCACCGAGATAGACTATTTTATCTGAAATTCATGGTAATGATCTTTAATTATAACAAGTTGCAACCTGTGGCTTTGTCTGCATAAATTAGCATAACAGTATCTTGAATATTAATCTAGAATATGGTCCATCTTTCAAATTGCATACAAATTCTTTCGGTTATCCAAATGCAGCCAATAAACATCCAAACATTCTCGGTAATTTTACATTTATAGTAAACTAGCTTTTATAGTATTTTCCCTCGACTTTGTCCGCGAAACCGGGATATGTTTATTGACCGGGATAATCTGGGGTAAAAGCCTATATCCTTTTCCATCCCATATAGTAGGTGTATCCCAAATTTCATAATGATTGTTTAAACCGTTAAGGCGCTATAAGATTACATACAAACAAACCCACATTTTAAGTCACAATTTTTTTATGCAACTTTTTGCCTACCTGATAGAAAGTGGTAACCATCACCTATAGACATGAGTCACCATGGAGATAACAGAGTATAATGTTTCGCCAATGATCCCCCCCCCCCATGATTTGCCATTCCTGAGATCTCAGATGTTAATTCTCTGTAACCTGTAAATGCACTACCATATTCCATTTACTAATCTTCCTAAGATATAGTTTTAAATACAATAAATTATACACAGATAACCACGTTACGACTGATTCTAACAATACTGAACTTTATTAACAACTAACAGCTAGAGTCCCAAATCGTACAGACCTTGAACATACAATCTCAAGTCCAATGATAACTGTCGGCGATATATCTAACATTGAATGAAGAAAAACATCCGATACTGTCTAGTTTTGTATACATACAGTCAGTGTGCCGGCCGCCGGCGACCGCATAACCGCTTGGTGCGTCGTGCTAGCTTGCAAGCAAATTTATTTTAATCAGCACTATTTTTTGTTGGTAAGTCTTATTATCTAGTTAATAAGTTGCTTATGGAAGAAGTGTTTCATTATGTTTTATACGAACAACTACATTGTTATGCAACTATGTAATGTTGGACATTGAACGCCATGTTTGTGTTATAAGAATTAAGTCATTTCTGAACCCAATAGCAGGAAAGTGGGACGATAACTTCACTCATAACAACGATCTATCTATTTGTATTTATGTAGATTTATGTTTGTTATATTGTACTCATCCCATTTTGATATTTCTGAATTTACTATTTGAAATATTTAGTCAAATAAATAAAAAATTGTTTTCAACTTTTAACGACCTTGGTGGTCTAATAGTTCAAGTTGACTTGCTCCGGCAGTCACGTGTTCAATCTCAGCACAATATAAACAATTTTATTCATAATTTTGTTTATTTGTATGGATCTTTGGGTATTTTGTCTGTTTACCAGATTTTTGTCTATCAGTTCCCTAATACTCACGGTACAAGCTCTTTTTAGTTTGAGGCGTTGTATGGTATGTTCAAATGTTTAGGGTTTTATCATTCAGGGTGGACACTTTGCTTTGCGGAATGAGATCCTGTAAGGCCAATTTAGAAAATGAAATTTCTTTAATAGCTCGGGTCTGGATGGTCTGGGTTGTGCGCCCAGATATTTGTTGCTTGATTCTTCAATTTTCTGTGACGAGCGATCAAAAATTTGTTGTAATTTTTTTTTTTTTTAATATATTCTTACTACCATATGTATTAGGAGTAGGTTATATATAAAATTCAAATAGTCTTTATTAAAATAAACTTGTTTACAAGCACTTTTAAATCGACATTTTTTTTTATGAATGTTCGGAAAGTTGTTACCTGTTGTCTGTATAAGAATATGTATATATTTTGATTACAATATCTATATACGAGTATTAGCACAATATGATAAATATCTAAATATATAATATCAAAAAACCCAATTGATATAAATACAAATATCTGACTTATATGTTAGATTTTGAAATAAATAATGACCATTTTTTCGCCATCAGTGTCGAAAATAACTCAATATATATGTAGATATCGGTGCAATACGACTGGTATCACCCATGCCTACTATATATGTGTATTATAAATTCTTTCATCATCATCATCGTCACATCAGCTTTTAACTGTCCACTGCTAACTATAAACTTCCCCCTTCGAGGATTTTGCTAGTAGTTGCCAAGCTTGGCAGGCAGATTGGCAACTGCAGTTAGGCTTTGGAGATGTTTTAAGAGGGACGCTGCTGATCATCTCTTAGTCGCCTCTTACGACACCCATGGGAAAGGAAGAAGTGGCCTATTCTATGCTGCGACCACACGGCGCGATTATAAATTGTTTTTACCAGTATATTTCCAACATCCCTTCGTTTCCTTTGTTCGATACAAATTATAATAATTCAATACGTAAACCACCTATTAGTGGTGATAAAAAGTAATAACTTTTCCACGTACAAGGTGATAACTTCTATCTTACTCTCTCAAAAGGTCATGATCTCGACCCAAACAACAGTTCATGTTTCAAGTATGTATATTCAATACTTTTCATAACAAATTTAAATATTGAATAATTATGTTGTGTACGAAACATGTTTGTACTTGTTTCAATACAAAAACATCAATTTGTCAATTTAGATAATCTAGACCGGTTGCTACAGCAACAGTTTTAGTTAATAACAACATAACCTTTAAGAAAAGAGCATATTCCTTTTTAAAAGGCCGGCAGCACACCTGCAATGCCGTAGGTGTTGTGGGTGATCATGGGCGGCGGTAGTCACTTACCATCAGATGAGCCGCATGCTCGTTTGCCCCCTGTATTGTAAAAAAAAAAATAATGATAATTGATCTAAACACCTACTGCTATCTTTTATAGAGTTTTGGCTACACTTTTATGCAATTTTTATAAAATTTCTCACTAAATAAAATATTTTACTTAATTTTATGATAAAATCTGCAAACGGTGATTGTTGAGCAAAAGAGGAAGTAATTTAATGAAATCAGACTCGAGAAGAATAAGAGAAATGAGTAGAAGGAAGATCTACTTAATCCTATTTATAAGATGGATCACTACAAAATACTCTTACCTATATATACCGTACAGTGGGAGAAGCTCACGTATCTAATAGCGGAAGCTCTCCCTCCCGTCGACATCAGCGTAAACACATAGATGAGCAATAAGCGATCATCTTCGCATATGTTAGCATATCATACCACCGCGAACCAATGAAAATAGGGAAAATATATATATATATATATATATATATATATATATATATATATATATATATATATAAAAATGAAAAAAACAAATTTTATAAGAATTTTGCAACTAAGCAAAAAGTCACTTTTGTTTTACTACATCATCTATTATTTGAAGTAAATATTAAGAATAGTTTTAGTAACAAAAATCTAATAACTTTAAGAATAAATCTCAATTTAGTACACAAGAAGCCGAAGGTAAGTTGGTGATACAGTTCGGTAGATTGGTGATACTGGGTAGGAAATTTGGTGATAGTATGAAAATCTCTTATAATCAGATATTTTGAACTTAAAATATAAAGTATTTGGTACTTTAATAAATATTATTCCATGCAACTATCACACCTATAATACAGCTAATGGATGCCCAGATCTCGTAGTATGGCATGAGCAATAACACTGGATCCATTTGGCTCCAACATCATATACAAGACCTCACATAATCCACACTTATTTTCTATTTCTTGAATTTTACTATATTTGCTTTTTGAGCAGATTTGCCCGACGTTGAGGGCTGAGACTGAACGTATAATTGTTGGTGTTAAACATAGAATCTCTTGACTTTTCTATTTTAAAGCTATATGTTTTTATAGATCTACTATATATTTAAAGAAAAACTTTCAGATGCTGCAAGAGCTATGTTAGTTATAAAGGTCGTAATGCTTCCTTTGAAATAGCATTTATCTCCTCTTGATTCTAATATGGGACGTCTAAACTTATATATGGTTTTACCTTCATATAATGGCTTTTTGAAGTTGCTGCTGATTATATTTTCTATATTTACTCTCTTTTTCCATTGCCAATCTATCAAACTCAAAATAAAACACATTCACAAATTCCTCAAAATAATACCTTTCGAACTACTTCCCTAGTTTATTTTTAATATAAACACAAAATACATCTCAAGTTAACCTCTCAAAAATGTATCCAAAACTTTGGCAAAAACACTAAGAAACCACGACCACAACTTAAGAAATAAAAACTCATTAACTGTGTCACGACACTACAGTTTTTTTTCAATAATCATTAGTTTATTTAGAGATTTTAGTAAGTTTTTACATATCATAATTTTAACCATAACGTAGCGCGTAAATAATGGCCAATGACAATCAACATAAAAGTTTGTTTACTAAACGCAAATATATATATATATATATATATATATATATATATATATATATATATATATATATATTTCCTTACCCTACCGTACTTAAATTAATATAAAACGATCTCAATAATCTTAACACTAGATACAAATTCTATGTTGCTATACTTCAGTACTTCAGTATTAGGGGGGACAGGGTTTGTTAGTATTGGAGTTTGACAGCCCCATTGCTAGCAATATGCCTTATTAGGTCGACCTCCACGTGGGTCCCCCTGGAAACCATCGTGAACAATTCTTGTTGAATTTGTCACGATGGGCTAACTGACCTACTTCATCCTTATATACCTTATATACCCATATATCCGTGTATACCGATAGCGCGGGTGGAGTTACCATTCCATTATCATCCATTAAAAAAAAAAGTACATCACTATCGTTAAGAAAAAGTTAATAAATCTTTTATGGGAATAAATATTATATTAAATGTGATAATAACATACCGAAACATATTTTGGATCTACCTATTAATATATTTAAAATTATTATTAACAAAGCCTATTGCACGCTAAACTATTACTTGAATGACAAATTGTCTATGATGTTAGTCGATCATGCGAAGGCCTTTTAATGACCAATTTTAAACTTAGAAGAGATTTAAAAGAGTAATTGTTGAGTTTCTTGCGAGTTCTTCTCGGCAGATAACAACTTTTCGAAGTATGCATTCCAGAGGGAGACTTTGTACAAAAGTCGATTGCTTGGGTACCTCTGTCCCATTCGTGTTTCGACCGTGAAGCAGTTGTGTTTGCATAGCTGTGTTTCGGTTAGAAGGGATATGGCGTGAAATTACCGGGTACAGAGGAATAACACCTGATGGGAATCCTCAGGAATGGCAACGCATGGGGGTGTATCATGGGCGAAACATCATACTCTGTTATGTTCATGGTACTGCACATGTCTATAGGCGATGGTTACCACTTTCCATTAGGCGGACCGTCAGTTTGTTTGCCATTCTAAGTTGTATAAAAAAAAAAACGACGAATTAATAGCGCTTTTAAATAAGTCTATTGGAGTAAAGATAATTTGAATTTAAATATATTTGCTAGTCTCATTTTAATTCTTAGCAAAAAGGAAGATATCGAAAATCTTTGCTTTCTTCTTTTCTTCTTCCAACTAATTTGTAGATGTATGACCTACTTGTAGATCATGATAGATCTGCCTAGATTCTTCTGTCACCTAAGTTCTGTTACACATTCAATTTGTTTTTTATATTCTGTCATATTTATCTTGAAAACCGGATCACATGAACCATTTTTAATTGCTTCAATTATATCAAAATAGATAAAAAAACTTAGTTGACTTCGCACAGTCATTTTCTTAAATTGCAAAGTCATTCCCATTATTATTGCCGTTTATCAACATTTATTTATAGAGTTTGTTCATCGTCTTCATCATCAAGTGTCATTCAGGAACCGTATTCTTATCAGATATTGTACCGTCTAAACCGTCTTTCAAAAAAATGTTCACGCTCACTTTTTTACTTTATCCGAGCTTTATATTATTTTCAATTTCGTGTATAATATGTCATATATGTGTAAGTATACTTGTTATTTATATTCGTTTATATATGTAATTTTATTATGTATGTATATCAATAATTAGTAGTACCGCATTCGAGTATTCTGACACTTCCCTATGGTTGACTGGAAGAGAATGCTTTTAGCATTAAGTCCGCCATGTACACATATTTGTACTAATGAATAAATAAATAAATAAATATTGTGATCACTATTGAGCTATCTATAGAAACAGATTTGTACTTCGAAGGGCAAAGACGTCGGTTGGTCGTAAGCCTTCATGTGTAAAGAAAGCAGTCTATAAACCAAATCTGAGAACAACATCTGCATACGTGTAGCAGTTCCTTATCGTAACCGAATAGTTCATTTAAAGCAATGCTTATTTTCAGCAATGGGTAGAGTTGTTATTATATTGGCGGTAGCTGCGGTAGCCATAGCTGTGCTGTTCGCTCTAAGATGTCACCAAACACCTTCTTCACCTCCACAACTGGACTTAACAGAATGGTGGGGACCGAACGAACTGAGGGGCAAAGTTGATAACAGTATCCGACCCTTCCAAGTGAAGTTCGAAGAATCAGTAAGTAGTCATAAGAAAAGTTTAGACAAACTATTTATGGGATATATAATTTTTTTATTTATATCACTGATGTGGCAAATAAGCATATGGCCCACCTGATAGTAAACGGTTACTGTAGCCTGTGAACGCCTGCAATACCAGAGGTATTACGCGCGCATTGCCGACCCTGAAGAAACCTCTTTACCCCCCTTTTGAAGAACTCCATGCTGTAGTCTCTTGGGAAAACCTCGGCAGGGAGCTCATTCCATAACCTGAGTGTTCGTGGGAGAAAGCATCTCTGAAACCGCGTTGTACGCGACCATTTAGGCTGTAAGGTATGAGGGTGAACTCCCTGTGGATGGCGAGCCGAACGATGGTAGAAATTTACATGTAAATTTAAATAACCTTTCAGAATACGAATAAGATGTAATTAAAATTATGGAATAGTAAAATAGGAAATGTCTTTATTGACTTTTTCTGACAGGAACAAACATTATTCCTAGATTCTAGTGTAGACTATGAAGGGGAAAAATCCTTGAATCCATATGTGGATCTTGATTGTGGGTTCAAATGAACTGAAATAACAATTCTATTAAGTACACAATACACAAACTAACAAACAACATCAAATTCAAAGATTACTTTCAATTGACTTCAAAAATAAAATTCTTAATTCGACTACATTTTTTCTGAGTTACATCATATCTTTGCTTATTTTGAATTGATTTCTTTTTTTTATCAGGATTGTTTATTTACCCATTGAATCTTTTTTTTTTTTTTGCAATATTAAAAATTGCTTTTTGCAATATTAAAGTTCTTAAGGTGAAACAAAATCGTAAATTATCGTATTTCTATTCTTTTCCAGGTTGTTAACGATTTAAAGTCTCGTTTGAAAAATCACCGACCATTCACTGCCCCGTTAGAAGGAATTGGCTTTGAATATGGTTTTAATAGCAAGACCTTGAACACGTGGGTCCAGTACTGGGCTGAGAAATATCCATTCAGCGAACGAGAGAAGTTCCTCAACCAATTTTCTCAGTTCAAAACCAATATCCAGGGTTTGGATATACACTTCATAAGGGTTAAACCTAAGGTAACTGTTGATATTCTCTGAAATAAATTCTTTATATATCAGAAGGAGATTTTGTACAATTTTTAATCCCATAAAAAATTCTAAAGTTCGTAGTGGTAATTATTTTTTTTTATACCACTGTGGTGGCAAACAAGCATACGGCCCACCTGATGGTAAGTGGTTACCGTAGCCTATGAACACCTGCAATACCAGAGGTATTACGCGTGCGTTGCCGACCCTGAAGAAACCTCTTTACCCCCCTTTTGAAGAACCCCATGCTGTAGTCTCTTGGGAAAACATCGGCAGGGAGCTCATTCCACAATCTGAGTGTATATTATTAATTATTATAATTCTTGCATGTTTTAAGGTCCCAGCAGGTGTCCAAGTGGTTCCAATTCTCTTGATGCATGGATGGCCGGGATCTGTTAGAGAATTCTACGAAGTCATTCCTCTGCTCACTCGTCAGACCCAAGGGTACGATTTCGCTTTCGAAGTCATCGTGCCAAGTTTACCTGGCTATGGATTTTCTGATGTAAGTACCTGATTATTACTTTTAACCGAAGGGGGGAAAGAGATTGTTAGTAATAGAGACTGAGAATCCTATTGCTAGCAATATACCCAACCAGGCCGATTTCAGTTCCCCCTGGAAACTATCATGGTTAATTCCGATGAATTCATCATGATGGGCTAACTGTTTTTTCTCATCTATCACCCTTCACTGAAAGCACTGGCGGGGTTACTAAAAAAAAACTTTTAACCGAAAATAGATTTGTTTTTATATGAAAAGCTCTAAAAAATGCATCCAGTGATAAATTTCAAAGGAATCTGTAAAATTGTGTCATTTTTCGATCCATGATTCTTTGGGATATTGATGAATATAATATTAATGATTGGGAAAGATATTAATTATTTTTATGTCATCCTCAATGTAGAACAACTCCCTAGGAGTGACGACCTGAAATGCATTGCAGGGAGTCAGTGGATACAGATGGTTCATGACCGTTCTTTATGGCAGTCTATGGGGGAGGCTTATGTTCAGCAATGGACGAATAATGGCTGAAATGGTATCATCTTCTATGAAGAAGATACTTTACAGCATAATTGAGTCTGGAAATCTACCAGAAGGAGACTTTGTACAAAAAGAAATCTGTATGTTCTTATCTGTTCCACGTGAAGCAATGGCTGCTTCATGACTATGTGACAGTTCGATGAATATTCGATGAATACCAGAGGGAGACTTTGTACAAAAGTCGATTGCTTGGGTACCTCTGTTCCATTCGTGTTTCAACCGTGAAGCAGTTGTGTTTGCATGGCTGTGTTTCGGTTTGAGGGGTGGGATATGGCGTGAATTTACTGGGTACAGAGGAATAACATGTGAGTCCTCAGGAATGGCAACGCATTGGGGGTATCATGGGCGAAACAGTATACTCTGTTATGTCCATAGTACTGCTCATGTCTATAGGCGACAGTTACCACTTTCCATCAGGTGGGCCGTCAGCTTGTTTGCCATTCTAAGTTGTATAAAAAATGCTATTCTTTTATCTAACTGTCATCATATCAGCCCTTGATGTGCTCTGCTGAGCATATGCCTCTCCCTGTTGGGGAGTTTAGCCAATCGTTGTCACCCTTGGTAGGTGGATTGGTAACTGCAGTTAGGTTTTGGTGATGTTTTAAGAAAAACACTACTGCCCATGTTTCGACCATTAGGTTCTTTAGCCACCTCTTATGACACCCACATGAAATGAAGATGGGAAGGAATATCTGTCTATAGGTAACGGTTGTCACTTTCCATCGAGTATAAAAGAGTCTTGTTTCAGGCTCCCGTACGCCCAGGACTTGCTGCTCCTCAAACGGCGGTGATTTTCAAGAACCTGATGAACAGGCTGGGCTTCAAGAAATATTACATCCAGGGTGGAGACTGGGGTGCGGTTGTTGCTGGGGCGCTGGCCACTTTGTTCCCTGATGAAGTACTTGGTCATCACACCAATATGCCGACAGCAAGGGTGAGTTAAATTTTAACCTTAATGATATAAAACTTTCTATGAGGGTGAGGTGAATCTGTAATTGTAAGGAATACGCGAGTTTTTTTTTAATGGATGAGAATGGAACAGTAACCCCTAGTACTTAGTAGTAAAGTAAATTTTTTTTTGCCTGCATTATCGGTATCCGCCGGCGGGGCACCAGTGAGGGATGATAGGTGAGGGTGAAAGCAGGTCAGTTATCCCATCGTGATGAACAGACCAGCACGATGGTTTCCACGGGAACCAGATATTTGGAGGTCGACCTAGTTAGGTATATTGCTAACAATGGGGCCCTTACTCCCCATTACTAACAATCCCTTCGCCCCAAATACGCGATTTTGACTAGTGAGGCTAACACCCTCGCATCTTCATTATATCACTCGTTTACTGTCCACTACAAAATGTAGGCCTCCTCCTGTTGAGGAATTTTGCTAGTAGTTGCCACGTTTGGCAAGCGGATTGGCAACCGCAGTTAGCCATCATACTCACTCGTAATTAAAAGATCCGAACGGTCATGCAATTGTCTATACAATAATCTTGTTTTTCCTACAGTTAAAATATAAAGTGTAGTATAAAACTCATATAGTACTTAATTTATTCATTTATATCTCTCAGCAACCTATTCTTAGTGAGCATTACAAGCCTATGTTCAGCAGTGGACAGTTTTTTTTGATAGGTGATTATGGTATGGTAACTCCGCCTGCGCTAACGGGATACGCTGGCGGAGCACCAGTGAACGGTGATAGATGAGAATGAAAACAGGCCAGTTAGCCCATCATGATGAAATTATAAAGAATTAACTATGATAGTTTCTAGGGAGAACCGCGAGGAGGTCGACCTGGTTGGGTATACTGCTAGCAATGGGATTCTCAGTCTCCATTAATAACAATCCCTTTCCCCCAGCAGTGGACAGTTAGCGGATATGACACTAATAGCCAAAACGACTATAAAAAAAAACCATTAAGCAAACAATTTGATTTGATTCGAACTTTGATTGTAATAAAGGGAATCATGAAAATCAATTAATTAAAATGGAAATGGGCATTAAATGTTATAATAAGATGTTTTGGGATTTATTTAAAAGTATTATTAAGAAACACTTACTGAGTAAGTCGTAAACACACTAAACGATTACTCCATTGCATGGTGTTAGTCGATCAGGCACAGGCATTTTAATGACCGTGTAATTTTAAACATAATACGTTAAAATAAATACACATAATGTTAACAGAGATATGAAAGACTAACCTGTTGATTTGCGGTTTGTTTTTTCTTCTCAGAAGATAACAACATTCCGAACCCTGCAGCAGAATTATAAAAAAAAATATTAAAAAAAAAAAACTTGTAAACAAATCTATTTAAATAAAGATGATTTGAATTTTAAATTTAAATTCAGAATTGACTAATTGTAATGTAAAAAGGAAATATTTACGACACAAAAATATTGCGTAATAATTATTTTTATACTATAAATATATAATGATATAAATAATATATCTCTGAATATAATATATTTACTTTGTAGAGCCATCTACCAATAAATAAATAAATATTTTTCTTTCCTTCTTTCTTTATTTGTAGACAAATTTTTAAACCTTTTCCATTTTTAAATTAAATTCTTTTAATTATTTTTTTATTTTTAATTTAGGGTGGTTGCACAATTGTCAAAACACTGATCGGCGCTGTATTCCCGTCACTGGTCGTGGATCCAGAACAAGCTGATAGAATGTACCCACTGTCGAAGGCATTTTCTTATATTCTAGAAGAATCCGGTTACTTCCATATTCAAGCGACCAAACCTGATACTGTTGGTAAGTTACCTATGAAGTCATTATATATATACCTATATATAAATAAATAAACATATAAAAATATATATATATACATATATCATCGTGCTGAATTCCAGGTGTATTCATCACGATGAACTAACTGACTTACCATTAGCATATCCCTTACGGATTACCATTCCATTATCATCCATTAAAAATATTTAAGATTTTATAGATAGATAGATAGATAATTTATTCTCATTACTTACAGCACACAAATAACATAGGTTGACTGGAAGAGATCTCTGTCAGAGATAAGTCCACCCTTGCTCTCAACATTTATAAATACATTATTTTATATGTAACTTACAAGTGCAATATAGAATATATATTATATATAACATTAGCTGTTGGTACCTACAAATACAAAACAAAAAGAAAGTACATAAAAGAGGTTACATAATTTCTCGTGTGTGTCACAGTAACACAAAATGGTCACAGCTCAGTTTATTGCTTTGCCCTCAAAAGAGCAAAACACTGATATTCTTTTGTGGCCAATTATCTGAAACCAATAAGCCTCTATGTAAAAAGTCTTTAAACCTCTAAATTATAACTGTTATAATATTTTTTTTCTCTAGGTGTTGGTCTAAATGATTCACCATCAGGACTTCTGGCCTATATTCTTGAGAAGTTCTCAACGTGGACCCGAAGAGAACACCGGTCAGCTGTCGATGGTAAACTGGAGTTCAGATTCACCAAGGATCAACTGATTGATAACTTGATGATATATTGGACAACACAGTCTATCACCACATCAGTGAGATACTATGCAGAGAATTTCAGTAACAATAACAGAGAACTGAATATTGAAGGGTAAGGTATTATTATTATTCTTTTTATTTTCTTAACAAACATTGTCCAAGTTTCAGTTTGAAGGGTAAGGCAATGAAATTGCAGGATACAAAGTTAAATCTTAAACCTCACGGGGGAAAGGGATTATTGGTAATAGGGTTAAATAACCCCATTACTAGCAATATAGGGTCAGGTCGACCTCCACGTAGTCCCCTGGAAACCATCGTGGTTAATTCTAGTTAAATTCGTCAGGATGAGCTAACTGATCTGCTTTCGTCCTCATCTGTCATTTCTCCCTGATGCCTCGCCAGTGTAATTAAAAAACCCATTTAAAAAAAATCTTACGTCATCAAGATTCGCGAACATGGGGAGTACTATAAATGTCACAGTGTTTTTTATATCCATGACATGACAACGCATAACATGTGTCCACACTATGCCATGTGATCCCGGCATAGAATATGCCATCGCTTCCTTTCTTGTGGATGTCGTAAGACTAAGGGAACTTCATGGTCGAGAAATAAACAGCAGCGTCCCTCTTTCAACATCACCAAAACCTAACTGCGGTTGCCAACCCGCCTACTAAGTGTGGCAACTACTGTTGAACCCTTAAAACCCTGTACGAAGCCATCTGACTAATAAAGACCAAAAATACTTCCTACAAAATTGATTTCTTTTACTTCATACATTTTATTTCTCTTAAATCTTATCTCCAAAATCTATTTTTCCAGATACAAAAGTGCGGTCCCTACCTGGGCGTTGCAAGCAAAGAACGAGCTAGCGTTCCAGTCTGCTAGCATCCTTCGCGAAAGATACCCGAACCTCATCAAAGCTGTTGTCCTCAACGACGGCGGTCACTTCTTAGCCTTCGAGCTACCTAAGGTCTTCGCAGAGGATGTCTTCAGAGCAGTGAAAGCTTTCAGGGAATGGCATGCCAAGAATCGAAAGACAGAGTTGTAATTTAGTTTGCCTTTAATTTAGGGGATGTCCATTAACCACGTGAGGTATTTTTTTTTTATTCCCCGCTTCCTTGGTATATCTTGATACTTGATTTGCTTATTTCACTTAAATAAGATGAGAATAAAAAGTTTTTATATCATCGTTGAACCTCCTCCCTATGGATGAGATTTGGTGAGATTTTGTTAACTCCCCCCCCCCCCCCCCCCCATTTATGTTTATATAATTAATGGATTTCCCCTTATTTGGTAGCTATTTGTTCAATTATAATTATGTGATCAAATTATTATATTATCTTCAATGAAAAGTAACACAGGAATTATAGATCTCAAATATTTTGTTTTTTTTTTTTCAAAAATAGGCTCAATTTATAAGCATGAGAGATAAAAAGCGAGAGATAAGATTCTGTTTTTTTTTTTATTGTTAATTAATAAAATAATGAAGGTCTCGGAAATTAAACATTGAGCACAAATTTTAAACATTAAGATTTTGTTACGAAATCAATTGTGAAGTAGTACTTGACTGTGAACTAGATGGCGTTGGTAATTGTTGTTTTTAAAAGAAAAGACATGTTACGCATATATTTGTTACTTTTATAATGAACTATTGACTATTTTATATAAAAATGTAAATAAAACTGTTTTATAATTCATTAGATATTTTATTTTATTTCCGTAATGATATTAAATACGATTAACATTATTTTTATATCACTGTATTATTCCTCCGTCAATTCCGAAGCACTTTTAGTACTTTTCGATAGAATTCCTACCGTCTTTATGAAACAAATATTGTCATGTCTATTTATTAAAATCCGAACCAAAATTGTATAAATAATAATTATGAATGTATATTAATTTAATATCATTATTATTATTTCAGCCGTTAACTGTCCACTGCTGGATATAAGCCTTCCCAATAAGGGAAGTTTTGCCAATAGTTGCCACGCTTATCAGGCGGGTTGGTAACCGCAGTTAGGCTTTTACAGATGTTTTAAAAGGGACGCTACTGCCCACCCCTCACTTTCCCTTACTCGCCTCTTACGCGCCGACGGGAAAAAAGGGGTGGCCCATTCTATGCCGGGGCACAAACGGAGAAATTTTAAATTATAATCGTATAATAATATAATATTGTAAAATTTGTATTGTACATAATTTACATTGGATACATTACAAAGATTTAATATATAATGACGGATTTATCCCATAGAAGGATTTCTAACAGTCAACCTTTTAAAAGCAGAAAGAAAACTGTTAAGTCCGCCAAGTGTACATAGAATTTTACTGTGCAATAAAGTTAAATATTAAATAAATAACTCAAACTATAGAATATTCAAGGATCAAAAGTATACAGCTAAAGATAAAACTCAATAATACGTAGTTAATATATAATGTCTATCTATCTAAATTAAAAAATATAAAATATAATACAAGTAACTGTACACACCTAAAAATTATTGCCCGTTTTACCTAAACTTTAAGTTTAATAAGTAAATTAAATTTACATATTAAAATTAAAGTTTAAAACTTAAGATTACTTAAAATTATAAATTAAAACTTAATTTTTAAAAATAATTTATTACCAATAATGCCAAGTATAAAATAAATAACAAAATTTTGATTTGTCAATAATGTATTCTGCAGATAATTCACACAAATGATACGAAAACAACCAAGCGATATGTCTACCTAACTGCATACATTGCCACCCTATCACGTGCCACACCCCACAATATCCGCCGTAATACTAATGAATTTGCGAGCGACGCCGCGGCACGTGGCATGTATATCGGTGCTCATACAAATATTGGACCAGGCCCCTTATCTGACGGAAACTGGGGATTTTTTATTAATTTATTTGAACAGAGCACTATCGCTAGAGGTTGACTGGTAGGGAATGCTACTAGTATTAAGTCCGCCTTCTGTATCATATTTTATTTTGATCAATAAAGTTATTTAAATAAATAAATAAATAACATATTTATTGATATTTTTTTACGACACAGAGGGCAAACGAGCATGCGGCTCACCTGATGGTAAATAAATACCGCCGCCCATGATCACCCACAACACCAACGGCATTGCAGGTGTGCTGCCGGCTTTTTAAAAAGGAATATGCTCTTTTCTTGAAGGTTATGTTGTCGTATCGGTTCGGAAATACTGCTGCTGGAAGTTGATTCCAAAGAGTGGTTGTGCGTGGGAGAAAGTGCCTTGAGAAACGCACGGTGGCCGACCGCCACTCGTCCAGATGGTTGGGATGAAATTTTAAATGATATGTGAGCTTACATAATTTTATACCCATCTTAATAATATACCCAATGTGAGATTGTTTTCCACAGATAAAAAAAAAACTACTTCAAAACCAGTTTGATTTAATAACTCAACTACTGAAGTGATTTTCTTAAAGTTTCTATGGGACCAATTTGTAAGTATATTTTTTAAATCAAATTATAACTGTCGGAGTTATGAGGTAATAAATAAAAAAAAAACACAACAGAATTGAAAATCTCGTGTTTAAGACGTCTTAATAAGACTAATAGATGCCGAAATAATAATTTTTAGAATTTTTTGTGTGTACCTTTTTATCACGCAAAAACTACTAAACTAATTTAAATAATAAGTTTACTATTGTAATCTTTTGGAGGAAACAATAAAGAGTATCTCTATCTAAATTATAAAATACTTATCTTCTGTAATTATCATTTCAGCCGTTAGATGTACTTTATATTATTCTCAATTTCGTGTATAATATAGTATATGTCATATATGTCTAAGTATACTTGTTATTTATATATATTTATTCGTTTATATATGTAATTTTAGTACGTATGTATATTAATAATTAGTAGTACCGCATTCGAGTATTCTGACACTTCCCTATGGTTGACTGGGAGAGAATGCTTTTAGCATTAAGTCCGCCATGTACACATATTTATATTAATGAATAAATAAATAAAATAAATAAATGCCCATAATAATTCTGTTTGAAATACATTTGCATAATACAAGACGACATATAAAGGCGTGGCCATACTGCCTCCCCTTCATCACTTAAATTCTATACGACACGCCCTTTTATGGAGTGAGACAAAACGACATGACGCTGAAGAGTAAACGAGAGAGAATATTAAATTCGTTTCATTTATTTCAGTTGGCATTTTTACCAGCTACTTTATACGCGTGGATTTCAGAAATAGGTAAGCCAAAGGAATGGACTTTTTATAGATGGCGCATCAAGACAAAACATACACTAGAATTTAAATTAGACCTTCAGGAACAAAACTGTGAAAGTTTAATCAAATTTGGTGTGGAGTATTATTTACGTAATATATACCAGAGGGAGACTGTACAAAAGTCGATTGCTTGGGTACCTCTGTTCCATTCATGTTTCTACCGTGAAGCAGTTGTGTTTGCATGGCTGTGTTTTGGTTTGAAGGGTGGGATATGGTGTGAATTTACTGGGTACAGAGGAATAACACCTGAGTCCTCAGGAATGGCAACGCATGGGGGGTATCATGGGCGAAACATTATACTCTGTTATGTCCATGGTACTGCTCATATCTATAGGCGACGGTTACCACTTTCTATCAGGTAAGCCGTCAATTTGTTTGCCATTCTAAGTTATATAAAAAAAAAGACAAACAGACAGATAGACAGACATAGATTCTGAAGCTTATTTATTTATAGGAACACCAAGAGCATATTGCATTTATAACACATATAACAAACATTAAATACAACACAATATTAATGCATATATTGTCATAGCCGTAGAATACTGACGGATCTTTATATGTAATATTTGTCAGATCCGTCAGTATTCTACGACTATGACGATATATGCCTTTTAAAAGTATTCAGAGCATTTGCTTCAACATACAATATGAAATGTTTTATTTTATTGTTTTAGCATCTATTGTATTGTTTTTTTTTTTTTTAATCAATTTCTTTTTAATTTAGTCTTCAGAAATGGCAACGCACAGAAGTATTATGGGCGAAATAGTATACTCTGTTACATCCATGGTACTGTTCATGTTAATAAGCGACGGTTACCACTTTTCATCAAGTTGCATAAAAAAACAATATCTCTCATGTACTGGCACTATTTCATTATTGTTACTAAAATAAGACGTTACATTCTCTTTAAAGTTTATAATTTACAAAAAATATTTTACTACGTTCACGTTTACTTCGGAAAGTTTAAATGGAAATTTCACATTTCAGGGGGAAGCTGAGAATTATGAGTAGCGGGAACTAGCGGCCCCATTGCTAGCAATAAACCTTGTTAAGCCAATTAAAACAATTTTAGTTTTGTCTAAGTATATTTAATATATTTTCCATAAAAACAAATAATACAAAAAAGAAGGTATCGATTTGTAGCTATTTTAATATAATAACTACTGGTTTAATTTACGTGTAATTCGGTCGAGAAAGCTTGACTACATTCGGGACCCTTAGTCTTGAGTAGCTGTGACACGCGCACAAACCTGAATACGCGTCTTGGCTCGTTGAGCGCGAACTATAGGTGCCGCGAACGCCTACAGCTTGGGTCCCAAATAATACCGAAACTAGTCGAGCTTTCTCGATCAAATAACACATAAGTTAAACAAGCAGTTATTAGATTAAAATATAATGTATATTTACAAAACTTTTGACAATAAATTGTATATATAACTATACTTAAAATGACAGAAATATATTTTTATTATATATATAAATAAATAAAGAAATATTTTCATCATTACCATATATATGAACCCGATCACTTCTGGTATATTACAACATACCACAATACGCTAGTCTGTAGCCAGCTTTATCATATGTATGAACTTCGTGGCTTCTTAGGATATGCTACAATACGTAAAACTACGTTTACTTAATGTATATATATTTTATATATATTTAAAAATCCAATTATTTCTGGTGCGTCATAGCACACCAGTATATTTTCAAACTACTCAAATGTATGATTTAGATAATTTTTGATATGTCGTAATACACTAATGCATTTCTGATTTTATTAAATGTATGAACTCTATGACTTCTAGTACCTTTTGCGCGACACTTTTCGATGCATTAATATATTCCTAATTTTACAAGATGTACCTATGAACTTAATGGCTTCTGGTGTATGAGATTATGTGTATCATTAAATATTAATATTTCTAGCTTAACAATTACGATCATATAATATAATTTATAATATTTAAAAACTTATTTATTTACAAAATCACTGAATACAAAAGATACACAAAAATACAGAGTAAATGCTAAAAAATATTATCTACAACCAACTAATCCAACTTCTGTTTTTTTTTCTCTCTCCTTCTCTCTCTTGTATACTAGGAAAACTGAGTTTTTTGTCGAAATTCCATTTTTTTTCTTTAATCGAAATTAATCGATTACTAACATGATAAATAGTTAAAAAAAAGATCTCAAGTAATGAATTTACTAACAAAAAGTGTTTTATTATAGATTCTAACATAATCTAATGCACTTCTCCCAACAGTCGTCCAATGGACACATCTGTACAGCAATCCATCCCGAATTGTCACATAATCGTCTGGGACATGCCAAAAGCATTGCGACTACAGATTCTTCTTTATACTGTAGTTCTAAGATAACTCTCTTCTAATTCTATTTACTATTATCTTTACCATCAATCTTCTCTTTGCAACTGCCATTTTGATTCTTACTTTCACTGTCTCTGCCGTTCTGAGCTGGTGCTATCATAAGTAAATTATTGCCATTCCGGTCTGCCAAATTTCTGAATGGTATATTTTGTCGCCACCTTGAAGGGAAGTGGTATTGGTTACGTAGAATCTTCAGATGGTCTTTCCCAAAGAAGAATTCACGGCTACCAACGTTCCTCTGGTAACTCCTTCGTATTAAAGAGTCTTCGTTTTCCTCATTACCATATTTTTGGTAATCAGAATTGTCGTGGTATATCTTTGGTTTTGGACAGTCCTCTTCATTGAAATATGGCCTTTTGAGACGGATACGTCTAGAGTGTGGGCTAAGAGGCGATTCGCATTTAATAGCGAGATTCGCTGTGTTCTCTTTGTTCATAGAATGTCCATGATTCTTCTGCCATTCTAAAACTTCGCATAGGAGACCTATGTACCTAAAAAATAAAAACAAATACAAGTATGTATTACCGATGAGCAGCTATGGTTGTATGATATGGCAAGTTGGTATAATCATCATTATCGTATCATCCGTTGACTGTCCACTGCTGAACATAGGCCTTAACCATAAAGAGCATGGGAAGTACTGGCAAAACCGCTCAAATCTACCCGGATTGGTAATCACAGCCTTTGGTGATATTTTTAGAGGAACGCTGCACACCCTCGACCATTAAGTTCTCTTAGTCGCCTCTTACGACACCCACAGGTTTTCTTTTAATTTTTTTTTATGCAACTTAGAATGGCAAACAAGCTGACGGCCCACCTGATGGAAAGTGGTAACCGTCGCCTATAGACATGAGCAGTACCATGGACATAACAGAGTATACTGTTTCGCCCATGATACCTCCATGCGTTGCCATTCCTGAGGACTCTGGTGTTATTCCTCTGTACCCAGTAAATTCACGCTATATCCCACCCTTCAAACTGAAACACAGCCATGCAAACACAACTGCTTCACGGTACAACAGGTAAAGAAGGGGTGGCCCATTCTATGCCGGGCTCACACGGCTAGTATTGAGTAAATATAATATGACAGTGAAATTACAAGGAATGGAGGTGTAACGTCATAGTTTTCCGGCATAATATATAGTACTAGTATAGTTCCAATAAATAAAATAAATGTTAAAAAAAATATCAATATTTCTGATAGATTAATTAAAAAGTGTCCTACTTAACGAACTAAAACGTAAATCATGCAACATTCTCAAAAGCAAAATATGAAGTAGGTTCGAAAATTTTAATGGTAAATTTATTATGGAACCCATTTTGTGATTAACGTTTCTGTTAGCGAATTCGCCTTAAACTTAAGGGAAGGACTTAAAATTTACAAGAACCTAATCCGGCCTGCTGTCTTGTATGGATTGGAATGTTGGCCTGCAAAGGTGACAGTTAAAAGGCGACTGCATGTAACTGAAATACGAATGTTGAGATAAATTTATGGTTCGACAAGAATGAACAAAACTAAGAATAAGTACATCAAAAGAAGTATAAAAGTAAGCGCCAATGACAGAAAAGGAGGATAAAAGGACAGTAAGGAATGGTATGGACATATGATGCGCAGGGATCAGGAGCATGTTTTAAGAAAGATATTAAATATGACTGTGGATAGCTATAAGGCCAGAGGAAGACGTAAAAAGACATGAATGGGTTTTGTAAAAGATGATATAGCAAGAATGGGAGTGATTAGACAGAAATAACTGGAAGTAGAGAAGAAAGGAAGAGAAAAACATATTACGGTGACCCCAAATAATAATTGGGATAATGATAAGAAGATGCACAAAATCAGTCGGAAGCATTGAAAAATGTTAAACTGTTTTTCAAAATGGACAGGTTTCAAAATTGATTTCTCCCTTAGTATCAATCTACACCTTTAGATACCTTATCGCCATCCTCAGGATTTCGTTCTTAGATAGTTTCTTGTCGGGCGGGTGAGTTGGGACTAGTCTTCTCAGTTCAGCAAATGCTCCACTGACATTCTGTTGCCTCCAACGTTCTCGACAGTTGGTAAACAGCTTCCGTGGTGGACGTAGGAGACAGGCGTTCAAAGTTGGTATATCTTCTGCGTTACCCTGTTGTAAAAAGTTTTTATTTCTAGCAACTGTTAAAAGAAACTAGGCCAATTATTCACGACTTTATAATGCGATTACATGTACAATTTTATATCGATTTTTATAATTCTTTTAACAATCGATAGAGTTTATTAGCGTTAATAGATTAGATTTCTCCACAATTTTAGGTAAAAAATGAAAATGCTGAAAATGAAAACACTGTGAAGAATTTTAGGTAATTTCTAGTTCTCTCCTTTTATTTTTAGTTCTCTCCTCTCTGCCTTTCACAGACTTTGTCCACGTGGCCTGGATATATTTATTGACCAGGACAAGTAGTAATCTATCCTTCTCCATTCCAATTACTAACTCTATACAAAGTTATTGACGATAGGTTGATCCGTTGAAGTGACAAGAGGTAAATACACAAATAAACAAACAAATTCAAAAGGATATCTCTCTTTCTCTCTTCTCCCATTTTAAAAAACAACAGTCATAACCAGAAGTCAGTTAATTTAAAGAAATAAATAGCAGTGCTGTACCTGAATGCTCCTCGTTGGTTGCCTGTCATCATCACTGTCCGGCAGGCAGAGATCATCGCTCAGCATTTCACTATCAGGCTCCTCATCAGAACAGGAGTCCTGGTCTGACGCCATCGATGTTATGTATACTGAAATCAAAATTATTTATGTCATTTCTCATTTTTTAGGGTTCCGTACCTCCAAAGGAAAAAGCAGAATTCTTATAGGATCACTTCTTTGTCCGTCCATCCGTCCGTCCGTCTGTTTGTCAAGACCCTTTTTTTTAGGTACGCGTGGAATCAAGTTGAAATTAATATCATATACTTAGGTCAGCGATTTCTTAAAGCAGTGAAAAAAATCAAGCATCTAAATCGACGCAATCAAAAGATACTGCCGTTTATGTACCATTTATGTCGCATATTTTGACATTCTCAAAGGGAATCAAAACCTATAGTTCCCGTTGAGCTAGAATTATGAAATTTCGCAAGAAGTAATCTCATGAAACACAAGTAAAGGAAAAAAGTCCAGAAATGGTAAATTTGTAGTTATTTCACGAATAAAAAATTAAACCTGTTGATTTTGTACGGAACCCTCGCTGCGCGAGTCCGACTTTTAGATAATGGCAAACAAGCCACTCGATGAAATGCGGTAACCGTCGTCTATAGACATGAACAATACCATGAACATAACAGACCGCAACTACTGGCAAAACCCCACAATAGGAGCCCCATTGCTACAGGTCGACGTCCACACGATTCCGCCTGGAAACCATCGTGGTGAATTCATGTAGAATTCATCACGATGGGCTAACTGACCTGCTTTCATCCTCACCTATCATCTATCACTGGTACTCCGCCAGCGTATACCGATAGCGCAGGCGGGGTTACCCTTCCGTTATCATCCCTAAAAACCCCAATAGGGGAGGCCTATGTTCAGCAGTGGACAGTTAATGTCTGATGCGATGATGATGAGTATGTAAGTATGTAAATCATTACACTGGCTTGATTTTTACCAATTTTTTTTTATTTCTCAACAAAATAAACATTTATATTGTATCATTACTGAAATAAAATGAACTATAGTTGACCAACAGGATATATTTATCAGCGGATGTCGCTATATTTAGCATAAGGACTCATTAACTTCATTGTTGTTGCATTTTAATTTCAAATGTGTGTATTTGTTTTATTAATAACTAGTGACTTACATAGCATATAGGTAATGTTATAATATACTAGGAATAGCCGATTTCACTAGATCCAAGATTTACTGTTTACTGACGAAACCAGAGGGAGACATTGTACAAACGTTGTTTGCTTGGACACCTCTGTCCCATTCGTGTTTCTACCGTGAAGCAGTTGTGCTTGCATCGCTGTGTTTCGTTTTGAAGGGTGAAATATAGCGTGAATTTACAGGGTACAGAGGAATAACACCTGAGTCCTCAGGAATGGCAACGCATGGGGGACAACAACAACTTGTTAGGAAGAGTGGGCTTATCTCTAAAAGAGATCTCTTCCAACTAACCCAATGCAGTTGGGAGGAAAGAGATTGTTAGCAATAGAGTTTGACAGCCCCATTGCTAGCAATATATATATTAGGTCGACCTCCACGTGGTTCTCCCTGGTAACCACCATGAACAATTCTTGTTGATTTGGCACGATGGGCTAAAAACCAGGGGGTCTACCATGAAAAGAAATTCCGAAGTTTCGGACTCAATTTCGTGTTTTTGTTCACACCTAAATCGGCCCAGTAAATGGAGCTTTACATTTCGTTCGTCATAAATCCTACCATAAAAATCCAAAGGAACGATATTTTAGTATTTTTAAACAGCATGTAATAAGTCATTTTAACATCAAACTTGTGTTTCGTTCGGCCTCGAAATTTCGGAAAGCATTTCATGGTAGACCCTCTGCTTTATCCTCACCTATCATCCTTCACTGGTGGCCCGCCGGTGTATACCGATAGCGCGGGTGGCGTCAACATTCCCTTATCATTCATAAAAAAAAAACCCAATGCAGTTAGAAAGGAAATAATTAACGGATAATCTAGTACAGGAAAGATACAAAAAAAAGGACTTAGCGTAAATACAAAGTAAATAAAATACAAATTTAATATATTTCAATCGAGAATGTCTACAATTGATTTTGCTCTGCAAGAAGTACAGTTTTATGTCTCGTATATAAAAAAAAAAGAAATTGCAGCTACAAAAATATATGTGGAGTAAACAACATTAAACTATGTCGATTGTAAAAAAAATAATCAAAATCGGTTCAGAATTGGTTGATATCATGTAACATATATGTTACGTACACAAGTATATTTACCATGGAATTATGAAATAATGTAAGGTTTCTCTTAAACATTTTTTTTTCATTTATGAATTACAATGAAATTATCTTACAATGAATATGATTGTAAGCGGGTTTGACAGCACTTATATTGGTCACTGTAGTGGGATCTCAAATGGGACGCTTCAGCGGTGACCAAATTTGTTTATGGTATCTTTTTTCTTTTATTTCTTGATTCCATTGTAAGATGTCAACCAATATTAGGCTAAGAAAATGTTATTAGCAAATAGGGCTCTTGTAGCCTATAATAATAAAGCTTATTATTATTATTACTAACCGTTACTCCCAGATATATCCGTAATGGTTGGCATAAAAACACAGTCACAGAATAACACTTCACACTATCAAATGAAATTTGAATTTGGAACAAGGAATGCAGGAGATGATACGTCCTCCACTGCTGAAATACGACTGAGGAAAAAATTGCTTTTTTTATTTAAATTTCGAAGGGTGTGAACTGAACTGCACTCTGATTGGTTAACAGGAATAATAACAACCACCAATGACGTTAGAGGGCGGAGTGAGATCCCTCTTTTGTTCCATTTACAAATTGATGAGATTTCTCGTAAACAGACGTAGTAATAAGATAGATTATCCATATGCCATTATTAAATAGTTTTTACCAGCTACGTTCTTCGCATGACTGTGGGATCTGTTGATTAACCCTAATAAAAAAATAAACTATGACCTTCTTCATTCTAAACACTAAACCTTTTATTTATAAAAAAACTTCAAACTTGTCATAAACCAATTTTTTTATGCAACTTAGAATGACAAACAAACTGACGGCCCACCTGATGGAAAGTGGTAACCGTCGCCTATAGACATGAGCAGTACCATGGACATAACAGAGTATACTGTTTCGCCCATTATACCCCCATGCGTTACCATTCCTGAGGACTCAGGTGTTATTCCTCTGTACTCTGTAAATTTTCGCCATATCCCAACCCTTCAAACCGGGGGGGGAAAGGAATTGTTAATAATGGAGACTGAGAATCCCGTTGCTAGCAATTTTGGGTATATACCAGGCCGACCTCCTCGCGGTTCTCCCTAGAAACTATCATGGTTAATTCCTGATGAATTCATCATGATGGGCTAACTGGCCTGTTTTCATTCTCATCTATCACCCTTCACTGGTGCTCCGCCAGCGTATCCCGTTAGCGCAGGCGGGGTTACCCTACCATTTTCACCCATTGAAAAAAACCCTTCAAACCGAAACACAGCCATGCAAACACAACTGCTTCAAGATAGAAACACAAATGGGACAGAGGTAGCCAAGCAATCGACTTTTGTATAAAGTCTCCCTGTGGTATAAGTATTCCTATTTACGCATACACAAATGAATCATGAAACCTAAGTGTAGTCTATGATAGAAATTCACTCACACAAAATTTGGTTTGGTTTTTAAAGAAACGTCTCTATTTAAACGAACTTATGTTATCTTTATAAAACACTTTACTCAATGAATTCCAAATAGACAGTCAGACGGGTTTATTATTACTATAGATAATTATTATAATGAGACTGATGGAAGATAAGCAGTGTTGATATAACTGTCGTACCGTTCGCGCGCTTTTATTTATCGACATTATTTATAAATCAAACACGACATCCCTACAATCTACGTTCGAACATTTAAATTTAAATTTAGAATTTTTTTTTCGTATTTATAGTCGTTTCTTAATTGTGTATTTATAACTGTACAATTTGAGGCCCAAGTCCTAATAACATGTGATAAAATTAAAAACAATTCCATTGTGTTAAATCTGTCAGTTTGCCAAAGTGATTTTTAATTTAGTCGAATATTACAACGAAACGTGTTTTTGTTTATAAATAACGTATTTACTTAATGTAAGTATGTTTTTGTTAATATTCAATTAATATTATGATAAATTGCTATGCTGCATATTTTTTTTTTATAATTATTATTCTATTACAAATCTTACACAATGTGATGGCTTAACAACTAGAACATATTAAAACTTAAGATCAGACATGAAAAATGAAAAAAAAAATTAAAAAATTCAGTAGTTAACATATTCTTTGAAACAAATAATTGATAATAGCTACTTAGCAAAGTTAGTTTTTTACATCAAAATAGACGGATTTAATTACGAGTTCATAGTGAAGCAAATTTCAAAGGAATTATAAATTTGTCAATATTTTTTATAAATAGATTGATAGATAGATACTCTTCATTGTTGGTAAACTTATTATAAATATAAATATTTACAAAAAATAATCACAATGAGAAAACAATAGGTGACCTTATCGCTAAGAGCGATCTCTTCCAGGCAACCTTTGGATGGAGAGGAGTAATTATAAACAGTTTGATCGAAGGCACGATGAAATTCTATTATTATTAAAATATAGAGATGTGATACATGTAATAATGTATATATATATATATATATATATATATATATATATATATATATATATACACAAATTATTTATATGACGCCCATTAAAATTCCTTTTGCAAGCAATGGGGATAGATTCAATCCAGTGTTGGTTCATATATCTATATTAATTTAATTATAGAAGCTTCCATTTACAGAATAAAAAGTATTTACATTGTGAAGAAAAATCTTTACTAACATTATAAATGTGAAAGCGAGTTTGTTTGTTTGTTACCTTATAACGACTTAACGAGAAGTACATAAACTCTTTTTTGTGTCGGTCGGTAAACATGTCCTATAAAATGGTCTTTCAATAATGAACACACGATCTCACGTTCTAAATTTAAATATTTTCATACTACATACATAATGTTCGTCAGTATTAAAAATCTATTAAGCATCAAAATAAATAATTAACTATACTGGTGCTCCAAATTCGACTATATATAATATAATATATGTTATATATTATATAAAATAAATTTATTATGGTCATGTTTGACATTAAGTAAGACTATAGACAAATAATATTAAAGATAAAAAAGATTAATCTAAAATTAATTCTCCATTTGACCACAGACTCGAACAATAAACAAAAGAGTGCGTATGTATATATGCGTGTGTGTATCAAATTCATAGTAGTGTGTGTAATTTTTTTTTTTGTCGATTTAATGTATTTTTATTTATACATTGATTTAACTTATACATAAGTTAAAAAAAATTAGCATTCTGCACTCCTTCTCTAAATAAACTATAAGTATGCAAAATTTCGTACTTCACCGTCCGCGCATTTTTCGTAAATAGGGGTTTTTTTTATACAACTTAGAATGGCAAACAAGCTGACGGGCCACCTGATGGAAAGTGGTAACCGTCGCCTATAGACATGAGCAGTACCATGGACATAACAGAGTATACTGTTTCGCCCATGATACCCCCATGCGTTGCCATTCCTGAGGACTCAGGTGTTATTCCTCTGTACCCAGTAAATTCACGCCATATCCCACCCTTCAGACCGAAACACAGCCATGCAAACACAACTGCTTTACGGTTGAAACACGAATGGGACAGAGGTACCTAAGCAATCGACTTTTGTACAAAGTCTCCCTCTGGTTTGGTACAAAGTTTTAACTTCACCTATTATTATATAGGTTATATATTGCCACAAATAACATTTTAATGTTTACTACTTAAATGTGTTTACTAATAAACATAGATTAGTTAATGATTTTACTATAAACTGCCCGGCTTAACACGAGTAAGTAGGTGGAAAGATAAACCAAAATACAGGCCACATTAAGCTTTTAAAATAAGGTTATTTTAGAAAGCTATGGAGTAGATCTTTACAGCTTTCTATAAATAAATTAATTTTTAATACTGATTAAGTATTTTTTGACCATAAAGTCCCGGCATAGAATAGACCGGGGTGGCCTATTCCATTCCCGTGTCGTAGAGGCGACTAAGAGAGGGCGAGGGATGGGCAGCAGCGTTCCTCTTAAAACATCTGTAAAGACTGACTGCGGTTGCCAATTCGCCTGCCATGCGTGGCAACTATTGGCAGTAGACAGTTAAAGGCTGATGTGATGATGATGATTATGTATACGAATATACCAAATTTCATAGTGATTGGTTAAGCCGTTAAGGCGTTATAAAGTAACATATAAACAAACTCACTGCAACATTTATAATATTAATAGTGAGAATGTAAGTTTTATCACATGTTATCCGTGTTACCACTTAACCTACTTGGGTAAATCCGTTACCCTAAGGTTATCATAAAAAGATTATCTTCAGCAATAGGACTGCCTTATTATATTTATCCTAATGTATTTATTTAGCACTTTATTGCACCAATATTATAGAATTTTGAAGGATTTTCAATATTCATAATGTGGGGGGAAGGGATAGTTAGTAATGGAGATATATCATCTTCATTGCATGCAATATACCCTATCAGATCGACCTCCTCGCGATTGCCCCTGGAAACCAACGTGGTTGATTTGTATCGAATTCATCGCGATGAGCTAACTGACCTGCTTTCATTCTCATATCTATCACCTCTCACTGGTGTCGCGCCAGCATATACCGATAGCGCAGGCGCAGTTACCATTCCATTATTCCATATACGGTATTCACCCATTAAAAAAATAAGTATAAAGTAGTAAAGGACCAAAGTAACCGACACAGCCCGAAGGACAAGCAAGATGAAGTGGCAATGGACTGGTCACATAGCTCGAAGAACTGACAACCGATGGGGAAGAAAATTTCTTGAGCGAACGTGTACGGGCAAACCCCCACTAGATGGAGTGACAACCTGAAATGCATTGTAGGGAGTCACTGGATGCAGGTGGATCAGGATCGTTCTTTATGACAGTCTATGGGGAAGATAGGTCTCCCCATAGACTATCCACTGCTGGACATAAGTGGACGGATAATGACTGAAGTGATGATAATGATAGTGTAGTACAAAAGGCGGTCTTATTGTTAAGCAGTCTCTTCCAGACAACCTTTGGATAGAAGGAATCACAGGTTTTTCTACTTGAATAAGCGCGTCTTTCAATATTAATAACAATAAAGTCTAGTCAGTCCTATTGCTAGCAATATATCCTATCGGCTCGACCTCCACGCGGTTTCCCTTGGAATCCGTCTGGAAACGAATCAACCATGGGTTGATTCTTGTGAAATTCGTCATGATGGGCCAATTGACCCACTTTATCTTCGCCTATTATCATTCACTGGTGCCCCACCAGCGTAAACCGATAGCGTAGGCGGGGTTACAGTTCTATTATCAGAAAAAAAAAACTACTTGTTCAACAATTAAGTAAATCCATAACCCTAAGGTTATCTTAATAAGGCTGCCTTATTATACTTATACTATTTTATATATATATTTATACTTATATTTATCAGTTGTAAGTATTATATATATATATATATATATATATATATATATATATATATATATATAATAAACTCAAAAATATGTAATTAATTTTAATAATTCTTTCACCTATGGAAGAATTATTAAATATATTATATGAATATGTAGCTTACATCAGTAACGACTAATATGAACTGTTTTTTATATTAAAAAAAAAGTGTAAAACCGAATCGGAACGCTAGTGTTGTGTAATGCAAATTAAAAAATATTAATTTATTTGATTATTGATATAAATAGTTTTATTTTTTCTTTTTTCATTTTAAGAGTTTGCTCTTATTGAGATTAAATTTAAATAATTACATACTATGTTCCATAATAAAAATCAACTTTAATAATGACGAAACTAACTATTTTTGTCCAAAAATTAAACTACTATATTTATTTTGATAAAACTCTTATGAGACCAATCTGTGAGCATATCTTTTCAAATTAAAAAAATACCTTCCAAATCAGATAGATAGATACTCTTTATTGTTTCCTCCAAAAGATTACAATAGTAAACTTATTATAAATATAAATAATTACAAGAAATAATCACAATGAGAAACAATGGGTGACCTTATCGCTAAGAGCGATCTCTTCCAGGCAACTTTTTGGATGGAGAGGAGTAATTATAAACAGTTTGATCGGAGGCACGATGAAATTCTATTATTTCTAAAATATAAAGATATGTAATAATGTAAAATATTGTAATCAGTTTATAACTAACAGAATTATGGTGTAACAAACATACCTCCTTCTTTTTAAAGTCGGTTAAAAAGAGCAATTTTTTCACCTATTGTTATAAAATATTTTTCTTGGATATTTTTTTTTTGCCGCAGCTGAAAATATTGTAATACAGATTAATGTTTTGGTAGTATCTACTTAATCGAACTACTTACTCTGTGTGTTTTTAACGATTAAATGATACACTTATTTGTTACTGCTTTAGTTATAGATAACTATTAGCGGTCAATGAACTTAAATCACATGTCATATAGATGTACTTTTTTTTATACGACTTAGAATGGCAAACAAGCTGACGGCCCACCAGATGAAAAGCTGAAACCGTCGCCCATAGACATGAGCAGTATCATGGACATAACAGAGTATACTGTTTCGCCAATGATACCCCCATGCGTTGCCATTTCTGAGGACTCAGTTGTTTATACCTCTGTACCCAATAAATTCACGCCATTCCTGAAGACTCGGTTGTTATTCCTCTAAATATTGACACGCCATCCAGAAGTTCCATGGGTCAACCTACTTTTGAAACCTACGTTTACGAAGCAACAAACGAAATGTTCGGATGTAGTTTTTTTTTGATTAAAAATGATACTATATTATACCATATCATACTATACCATATCAGCCGTTAACTGTCGACTGCTGTATATGCTTCCACCATAAGAGGGATTTTTCCAGTAGTTGCCACGCTTGGCAGGCGAGTTGGCAACCGCAGTTAGGCTTTGGTAATGTTTTAGCCCATCATCGATAAATTCATCAGGAATTAAACACCCGCATGATAGTTTATGCCAGGTAGAACATACGGCTAGGATAATATATACATACAAACATACATATATAATAAAATTATTAGTGAACGATTCTGTACATGGAATATATTTAAGCTAGCAATTTTTTTTAAATATTCTCCATTACTAACAATCCCTTTGCCTCCAGTTCGGATGTAGTTATCACAGTTGTTTCTGAAAGTCTAACATAAATAATGGTGTATTTTTATTGGTATATATATTTTCTTGTCTTTGATAGGACATCTAGAAGTGTTCTTTTCATGGGTCAATCTACTTCTAAAATCCACGCGTACGAAGAAGCGGGCAAAAGTCAGTAGTTAATAAGAATAAGGCGATAACAATGATTATAATAGACAAGCATAGCCGTAGCTAGGGCATTGAGGGGGCAATGCCCTACCTTAAATTGAAAGGTCCCAAAAAAAAATTTTTAATAGATGGTAATGGAATCGTAACACCGCCTGCGCGCGGGAAAGGGATTGTTAGTAATGACTCTTACGGCATCCACGGAAAAGGAAGGGATGGCCTATTCTATGTCGGGACCACATAGCAATGGAATTAGACTGTGGGGAAAGAGATTGTTAGTAAAGAGATCTAATAGCCCCATTGCTAGCAATATACTCTCTCAGGTCGACCTCCACGCTGTTCCCCCTGGAAACCTATCATAGTTAATTTTTGTCGAATTCATCATGGTGGGCCAACTGACTTGTATTCGTTCTCACCTATCATCTTCCACTGGTGCCTCGTCGGTGTATACCAATAACGCGGGCGGTGTTACCATTCCATTTTCACCCATTAAAAAAACCGCTTGCGCTAACGGTATACGCTGGCGGAGCACCAGTGAAGGGTAATAGATGAGAATGAAAACAGGCCAGTTAGCCCATCATGATAAATTCATCAGGAATTAACCATGATAGTTTCCAGGAGGAACCGCGAGGAGATCGATATACCTGGTTAGGTATATTGCTGTGGGATTCTTAGTCTCCATTGCTAACAATTCCTTTAATATAATATAATATTTCTTTATTATAGATTACTAAGATCCATTTTTGTTAATAACAATTGGCTTAAACTATGTTAGTAGAAAGAAATACAAAAAAAATAGACAGATTCGCTTTTTCGAAGTCACTTAATTATGGGCGTCTGCTCTACCAAAAAAATCTTTTGCCCTACCTTAAACTTGGATCTAGCTACGGCCCTGTAGACATCACACGACACGCATCATAACATGACCTTATTCTGCATTAGATAAATATTGATAGCACAAGTCAACAGTTACGATGACAGACATACAGACAGATTAATGACGTATGTAGTTTATATATAATTAATTAATGACTACAACTGTGTTACGATAGATACAGTTTATCACTTACCAATTATTAAGTAGTTTGTTTACATTGAAATATGTACTCTTTTGAGCATTTTTTTATATACAACTTAGAATGGCAAACAAGCTGACGGGCCACCTGATGGAAAGTGATAACCGTCGCCTATAGACATGAGCAGTACCATGGACATAACAGAGTATACTGTTTCGCCCATGATACTCCCCATGCGTTGCCATTCCTGAGGACTCAGGTGTTATTCCTCTGTACCCTGTAAATTCACGCCATATCCCACCCTTCAAACCGAAACACAGCCATGCAAACACAACTGCTTCACGGTAGAAACACGAATGAGACAGAGGTACCCAAGCTATCGAGTTTTGTACAAAGTCTCCCTCAGGTAAACATAAACATTGACTCGTTTTCAAAAAGAATAATCAAAATCGGCTTAGATTTGACGAAGATATGAAATAATATCATCAATGATTACCCACTGATAAACACAGGCTTCTAAATAAAATATAAAATCTGTGTTTATATTTTATAAAATATAAACACAGATTTTGCCAATACTTACTACGCTTGGCAAAATGATTTGGCAACCGCAGTTAGACTCTCGAAGATGTTTTAAAAAGGACGCCGCTGCCCATACTTCGACCATGTAAGCTTATTTAGTCGCCTCTTAAGACACCCATGGGAAAGGAGGGGGTGGCCCATTCTATGCTGGGTACACACGGCAAGAAGAACTTGTACTATGAATACTAGACAACTGGTATATATATATATATATACTTAAGTGTTTTTCTTCCTTGTTTTTTTTTTCTCAGATAACTACCAGCTGTCTGCCTTGTACAAGATTTGTGATGTAGAATCGTACAGCCATGGACTCACCAGAATTAGAACCATTGGAATGTAAGTATAAAATCATCATTGTCATTATCACCATCACAACAGCCTATTCCTTTCCACTGATGGACGACCCTTGCTAGTATTTTTAATGCAGGTGAAAATATAAATATACATCTTTCTTTATATAAATAGCTATCGGTATACACTGGCGGGGCACCAGTGAGAGATGATAGGTGAAAATGAAAGCAGGTCATTTAGCCTACTGTGATGAATTCAGCAAGACTTAAATGGATTGTTAATAATGGAGAGTTTAGACCCCATTGCTATCAATATACCCTAATCAAGTCGACCTCCACGCGGTTCCCCCTGGAAACCATCGTGCTAATTTGTCGTTGAATTCGTCACGATGGGCTAACTGACCTGCCTTTTCATTCCTCGGAATTACCGTTACATTATCGTCTATTAAAAAAAAAAACAAGGCAGATTACTAGAAAAGGAGACTATTAGACCCCATTACTAACAATATTTTAACCGCTGTTTAAAAATAAGTTTATAATTGACTCAACATCGTTTTATCCACAGCTGGGACACCACTACGTCCCGGACGGCCCCCAATCAGCCGGCACTGCAGTCGTATCGCCTCCCGCTCTTGCTACAAGGGACCAATCCGCCTCTGCAGACTGCTGGCGTTGCTCATCATGCTACCCAGTATATTTATATTCGTACCACTTTACCTACGGTTAGAATTTTGACATAATTTTTTTTTTATATTATTTTCAGCCGTTAACTGTCCACTGCTGAACATAAGCCTTCCCCTTAAGGGGAATTTTGCCAGTAGTTGCCACGCTTGGCAGGCGGGTTGGCAAACACAGTTAGGTTTTTACAGATATTTAAAGAGGAACGCTGCTGCCCATCCCTCGCCCTCCCTCAGTCGCCTCTTACGACACTCACGGGAATAGAAGTTTTCTTTAAATATAGAAAAAAACGTAGTAGGAGTGGCCTCTCCTATTCCAGAACCACACGGCATACAATGAGAATAGGATATATTACTTACTAACATTCCCCTCTCCGGGGGGAAAGGGATTGTTAGTAATGGAGACTGAGAATCCCATTGCTAGCAATATACCCAACCAGGTCGACCTCCTCGCGGTTCTCCCTGGAAACTATCATGATTGATTCCTGATGAATTCATCATGATGGACTAACTGGCCTGTTTTCATTCTCATCTATCAACCTTCACTGGTGCTCCGCCAGCGTATCCCGTTAGCACAGGCGGGGTTACCATACCATTTTCACACAATAAAAAAAAATTGACCTGCCTTATCATTCTCACCTATCATCCCTCACTGGTGTCCCGCTAGTGTATATCGTTAGCGCGGGCGGAGTTACCATTGCATTATCATAAAAAAAAACTAGTAAATAACGCCATACGGTGTTAAGTCCGCCATTTACACAATCTAGGTGTATTAAAGTATAATAAATAAATAAAAATAAATAAATTCCAAGAAATAACTGATTTATAGACCATCATAATTAATTATAATAATTTTGACTTAAATCTATTAGAATATTTAGTTCATATTCTACTTAATTTGGAATTAACTTCCAGCAGCAGTGCTTCCAAATCGATACAATATCGTAACCTTCAAGTGACTACCAACTGTCTTTGGTAGTTGGTAGTCACTTACCATGAAGTGAAACCCATGCACGTTTGCCCCGTTATATATAAAAAAAATTGTCCTTAGAACAAAGATTTTGCCATGATATCAACTTGAAATTTCATTTAGAGAAAAGGCCCCTCAGAATCGACCACATTTTCTCTTTACTTCTACCCTTCAAAGCTTATCTAGTAAATTCTAACCACCTACCGTTCAACTACGCATTTTATACAATGACAATATTATTTTAGACTATTCCATAACATTTATCAGCTTAAATTCAAGACTGTATTTGCCTATTTAATCCTAATGTCATGAAATAAATTGTACAAATTGAGACGTTATGCCGTACACGCTTCTGTTTTGTTATCTCGATTGTACCAAAATTGTTAAGTCGTCGAATTTAAACTCTATTATTTATTTTAATAACATTATCAAGAGATAGATACAGAAGTGCTGCGTTCTAAATAAAAATAATTGAAGAATTGTGTGAAGAAATCCGTTCTTCTCAGCTGAAATTGCATTACAAACTGGGCGGTAGATTTATAAAAACAATGATTATTCAAAAATGCTTTTTATTAAGTTAACTTCAATAAAAAATATTATTTATTAAAAAAAATGGTGTTTAAAAAACATAATTCGAAAATAATATGAAAAAGAATAATATCAAAAATTCAAATATCGTCATAGTCGTAGAATACTGACGGATCTGACGAATATTACATATAAAGATCCGTCGGTATTCTACGACTATGACGATATTTGTATGAAAAAAGCCGGCTAGCCAATCTGTCAACAACACTAGCCATATCCCGTCTTCGCCCGCGTAAATCAGTATATACTCATAAGTATAAATAAATGCGTGTAGCCTCCCGGCATAGAATAGGCCACCTCATTCTTTCCCGTGGATGTCGTAGGAGACGACTAAGAGAAGGCGTGGGATGGACAGCAGCGTTCTTGTTAGAACACCTCTAAAGTCCGACTGCGCTTACCAGTCCGCCTACCAAACGTGGCAACTACTGGCAAGGGGGAGGCTTATGTTCAGCAGTGGACAGTTAAAGGCTGACATGACGAAATATAAGTCCTATATAGTAAGTTGAGATATAACCTATCCATGTACGAAATGTCCTTCAAATCCGCTCAGTAGTTCTTGCATGAAAGAGTAACAACCTTTTATTTAGGATTTTTTTTCGTGAACAATATTTCTAAATATGATTTCTGATTTTTTCTTTTACAGGTACCGAGTATTTTCAGGCCAAATGTATCCAATGAGTATGACAGACATGAGGCTAATTGACAGCAAGATATCGACAACTTGGTGTCAGGTAGGTCCGCCATCCTATCTAGAAATTTCTAAAATTTTCACCATAACAAATAATGCCATGAATCAGCCACTTTTTATCATCACACCGCTCGCCAATCGACAGGGAATCCATCCTCACATGCTTGAGCCTGAATCGTCACGTACATTACGGTTTCAGAGACATTTTCTCCCGCGAATACTCAGGCTGTGGAATGAGCTCCCTACCGAGGCTTCCCCTAGAGACTGGGGTTCTTAAAAAAGGTTATATTCATGTGTCGTCAAGGTTGGCAACGCGCCTATAACATGACATCTAAGAGGCGACTAAGTAAGGACGAGGGATGCGCAGCAGCGTTCTTCTTAAAACATCTCCAAACTGCGGTTGCCAATCTGCCTGCTAAGCATGACAACTATTGCCAACACTCCCCAATAAGAAGCCCAGCAGTGGACAGTTAAAAGCTGATATAATGATGTATATAAATGTGAAAGTGAGTTTGTATGTTTGTTACCACTTATGGTTTTACCAACTTATGCAACCGTCAAATAATTATAAACAAAATTATTTCATTATTATTATGTCATTAATTATCCACTGCTTAACATAGGCCTTCCCTATAAGCGGATTTTAACAGCAGTTGCCACATTTGGCAGGCGGGTTGGCAACCGCAGTTGAGCTTTGCTGTTATTTTAAGAGGCTCGCTGTTGCCCATACCTCGACTATTAAGTTCCCTAAATCACCTCTTACGACACCCACATAGAAGTATACATTTACTTACTGTACAGAGTAGACAAGAATTTATTGTCCCGGGCAAACAAAATATCCCGGTCACACGAACGAAGTCGTGGATAAAAACTAGTAAAACTATAAAACAATTCATAATTGGTACCATTTATTGGATCTCCAAACTAACACAATGTAAAGGAACAAGCATTATCTTCAAACATTTTACTTATCTTTACTGCCATATTTATTGTACTCTATTTTTTATCCAAGCATTTACAACTATTATAGTTATAATTTACAAATATTTACAATTTTAAATATTTACACTGCATTATATTAGACTACTGCCTGTCAGACGTGGAAAATTATTAAGAAAACATTTGTACTGTGACTCCGCAAAAAACGGAAATTTTACATACTTTTTTTTTAACTATTTAGAATGGCAAAACAAGCTAACGGCCCATCTGATAGAAAGTGATAACCGTCGCCTATATACATGAGCAATACCATAGACATAACAGAGTATACTGTTTCGCCCATGATACCCCCCATGCGTTGCCATTCCTGACGACTCAGGTGTTATTCCTCCATACCCAGTAAATTCACGCCATATCCCACCCTTCAAACCGAAATACTAAATTATACTTTTCTTGTAATGTTTTTGTTTCCTCTTTGGCTTTCTTTAATGTATTCTGTAAATCAAATAAAACGTTTGGTGGTATTGGCGATGTTCTTGCCTTATTCATGGTTGAGTTTATAATATATTTTCTTGATTTGTTATTTATGCATTGTATAACTCCTCTTACCATTCTATGATCCGTATTAAAATTTAGTTTATTTAGTACTTCAATATTTTCAAATATATGTTTTTCATTTGTAAGTATGAAGTCAATTTCATTTTTATCTCTGCCGTTTGGTGCTAGCCATGTCCACTTTCTAGATTTACGTTTTTTGAAGAAACTGTTCATTATTTTAAGATTGTGAGCAAAAGAAAAGTCTACGAGTCTTTGTCCATTATCGTTTCTGTCGCCACTGCTGTAATCTCCTAAAACAAATTCATCTTTGTTTGATTTGCTACCAACTTTAGCATTGAAATCTCTCATGATGATTATGTTCTTTTTCTTGTTTTGCATCAAGTCAGTCATATCCCTGTAAAATTTATCCTTCGCAATTTTTGTATCTTTCTCTCCTGGTGCATGTACTTGAATAATCGACCAATGTTGTTTAGATTCTGTTAGATATATATTGAGTAAGGCAATTCTATCTGATATTCCTTGGAAACTTATTATTTTATCTTTTAAGTATTTATTTACTAGGAATCCCATTCCGTATATACCTTTTTGTTTACCATAAAAATAGAAAATGTATTTTTCGTATTCTCTAATCTCTTCTCCTATTCTTCTTACTTCACAAAGACCAATGATATCCCATTTTATACGTGTTGTGGCTTCTTCCAATTCTTCTAGTCTGCTGTCCGACATAAGCGTTCTAACGTTTAAAGTTGCAATGTGTATCTTGTTGTAGTTTCTATTTTTATATAGGAATGTATTTCTTTGGGGGGGTAGTGGTCGTCCAACCCCAAGGGGACCAGCCGGATTGGGGTTGTTCTGTCTCTGGTTGCTAGTTTTTAGTTGCTACTTATTATTATTATTATTCCATAAATAAATAAGAGTAACCTATTAAATAATTTTATCTCTCTAATACTGTGTTAGCAAACGCGCGACCGATATCTACTTATCTGGAAGTGTTTATCGTATAGTTAGTGTTATAGACGGTAATATATTTATTTATATACTTGGACGATAAAATATGTACAGAAATACAAGAAAGTTACAAACTTAGTATAGTCATTTTCTTTTTTTATACAATTTAGAATGGCAAACAAGCTGACGGCCCACCTGATGAAAAGTGGTAACCGTCGCATATAAACGTAAAAAGTATCATGGATATAACTGAGTATATTGTGTCACTCATGATACCCTTCATGTGTTGCTATTCCTGAGGACCAGAATATTATGCCACTCTACCCTGTAATTTCATTGGCTCATCCCCCCCCCCCTTAAATCGAAATAAATCTATTCAAGCACAACTGCTTCATGATAGAAATACGAATGGGACAGAGGTACCCCAATGGATAAGTTTTATGCAGTCCTCATTTTTAACAAACAATATATTGGCTGATTATTGTAACGGGTGATATAAATACTTATACTAACTAACATTTACCCTCTCTAAGACTGTCAGGTTGACCTCCACGCAGTTCCCCCTGGAAACGATCTTGTGTAAATATTGTTGAATTTGTTACGATGAACCAGCTGATCTGCTTCCATCAAATTCAAGTCATCGGTATTCAAATAGACTTGTTTACAAGCACTTTTAAATCGTCAATTCGATCACCCTTCACTGGTGCTCCGCCAGCGTATCCCGTTAGCGCAAGCGGGGTTACCATACCATTTTCACACATAAAAAAAAACACCATTCCTAGACAGTTATGTTCGGGAATTAAAAACACAGCGCCAAGTTTAATAAACAATATTTATACGTACAATAGTTATAAATAAAAACATGTTATGATTCATATATAACAGAAACATGTATCATATATATATATATATATATATATATATATATATATATATATATATATATATATATATATATATATATATATATATATATATATATATATATATATATATATATATATATATATATATATATATATATTTACATTAATGGCAAATAATAATTTTCCATTTCACATTTAAAAATCCCCTTACCCTGTTGATTTTTTTACACTTGCAACATTAAAAAAATGGCGCGCTGTATTTAGCTTTTAATAAAAATATGTCAGCCAAATATCACCTTTGGCTAACTGAATTTTAGATTGCTTTTAATAGTGTCGATTCTCTATTATGAATTATACGATATATGATGTTAAGGATATACGGATTATGCGACACATAAATGTTTTTTTTTTTTGTATATTTTATATAATTAATAATTTATATACCCAATGATGGTGAAACATAGCGCACTACATTTCCACGATATCACTTATAACTATACCTATGTTTATGCAAATAAATGATTGATTGTTTTTTTTATACCACTGAAGTGGCAAACAAGCATACGGCCCACCTGCTGGTAAGCGGTTACCGTAGCCTATGAACACCTGCAATACCAGCGGTATTACGCACGCGTTGCCGACCCTGAAGAAACTTCTTTAACCCCCTTTTGAAGAACCCCATGCTGTAGTCTCTTGGGAAAATCTCGGCAAGGAGCTCATTCCATAACCTGAGTGTTCGTGGGAGAAAACATCTCTGAAACCGCGTTATACGCGACCATTTAGGCTGTAGGGTATGAAGATGAACTCCCTGTCGATGGCGAGCCGTACGATGGTAGAAAACAGCCGTGGGCATCATATTGAATAGTTCGTCTGAGCAAAATCCGTGTACAAGCGGTAGAACACGCAGAGTGAAACAAAATCTCTCTTAAGACTTAAGGGTTCGATACCGCTTGTAAGCCTGGGATCATCGACAATTCTCATAACTTGTCTTTGCACAGAGTCGAAGGGTTCAAGCTGGTATCTAGGTGCTTCCGAGCATAAGTGATAGCAATACTCCATGTGGGGCCGAATATGCGATTTGTAGAGCATTAATCACTGATCCGGCGTAATGCTTCGCTCTATTAAGCACGCCGAGTGTTTTGGATGCCAGCTTCACCTTATCTTCGAGGTGGCCACGGAACTGTACGCCACTAGAGACGTCAACACCAAGGATCTCAATGCCTTTAGAGATGTTAAGAGACGTGCTCTAGAACTGTAAAGGTACAGCTAATGGGTTTTTTAGCGGTGAATGCGCTTATGATTGATTGATATAATACTAGAGAGAGACTTTGTACAAAAGTCGATTGCTTGGGCACCTCTGTCCCATTCGTGTTTCAACCATAAAGCAGTTGTGTTTGCATAGCTGTGTTTCGGTTTGAAGGGTGGGATATGGCGTGAATTTACTGGGTACGGAGAAATAACACCTGAGTCCTCAGGAATGGCAACGCATGGGGGGTATCATGGGTGAAACAGTACACTCAGTTGTGTCCATGGTACTGCTCGTGTCTATAGGCGACGGTTACCACTTTCCATCGGGTGGGCCGTCAGCTTGTTTGCCATACTAAGTTGTATAAAAAAAAAAACAATTGTGTACAAACGGTAATATGCTTATACGAGGTTTGTCCGGAAAGTACGTATAAAAGTTTTTTAAAAATTTTATTTTACAATTATTCAGGTAAATCAATTTTATCCCCTTCAAAGTACTCCCCCTGTGACATAATGCACTTGTGCCAACGCCGTTTCCACTGTGAGAAGGCTCCTTGAAAGTCCTCTGGTTGTAGGTTTCTCAGCTGCCCCGTCGTAGCTTTTTTTATCTCATTTATGTCCCCCAAATGCCGCCCCCGAAGTACCAATTTGGTTTTTGGGAACAAGAAGAAGTCACACGGGGCCAAATCCGGCGAATAGGGGGGGTGTTCGGTCACCGTAATGGAATTTTTACTCAAAAACTCACGGACAACAAGAGAGGTGTGGGCAGGGGCATTGTCGTGGTGAAGAATCCAACGCCCCTCTCGCGCCAATTCTGGACGAACTCGTGCCACACGAGCTTTGAGGCGTCTGAGCACATCGACGTAGAATTTTCCATCAACTGTCTGGCCTGGAGGGACGAATTCTTGATGGACAATCCCCCGAACATCGAACTCTTTCTCGGCCCTCTCTGAATCTTTTTAGCCACTTGTGGACGGTTGGTTCCTTCACAGCATCATCCCCATAAACTGTTCTGAGATCGGCAAAAATTTCACGGCCATTCTTGCCGAGTTTCGAGAGAAACTTGATTACGACGCGCTGCTCTTCAACGGAAGCGGGCTCCATGCCGACGGGGTTTCGTTAAGAGGTAACTTCACAGATGGCGTGACAAGCCAGTTCGCACCGCACGGCGGTCAGACCAGAACTGAAGCATTGTTAGGGACATAAGGAAGGGGTCCTGCGCTTACCTGGCCTCCCCACTCCTCTTTCTCGCATTCCAGAACACTTTTATACGAACTTTCCGGACAGACCTCGTAAAGCATGACGTTAAATATTCAAATCTTGATAACGATCTCAAATAATCTGCAGTAATAAAGCCTTTATTCGGAATCTTATATTTGAGCTGTAAAATATTTATAGTGGTACATAATTACTTAATAATAAAACTTTTTTTTTTTATACCACAAAGGCGGCAAATAAACGTATAATTCGTCTAATGGTAAACGTAACGTACACTGTATGGGGGAGAAAGGATTGTCAATAAGGCGGACTTTTTTTTTAATGGGTGATAATGGAATGGTAACCTCACTCGCGCTATCGGTATACACCGGCGAGGCACCAGTGAAGGATGATAGGTGAGGATGAAGCAGGTCAGTTAGCCCATCGTGACGAATTCAATAAGAATTGTTCACGATGGTTTCCAGGGGGAACCACGTGGAGATCAATGGCTGTCATAACAATAGGGCTGTCAATCTCAATTCCTAACAATCCCTTTCCCCCCAATAAGGCGGACTATCAGTCCCATTGCTTACAATATACCCTGTCAGGTCGACCTCAACGCGGTCCCCCCTGGAAACCATCGTGATGAATATCAGGTGTATTCATCACGATGGGCTAACTCAGCTGCCTTTTCATTCTCAACTCTCACCCCTCACTGGTGCCCCGCCAGCGTATACCGTTAGCGCAGACGGGGTTACTATTACAATATTGAGGGAGAAGGGTTTGTAAGCAATGTGGACTACCAGTCCCATTGCTAGCAATATACCCAGCCAGGTCGACCTCCTCGCGGTTCTCCCTGGAAACTATCATGGTTAATTCCTGATGAATTCATCATGATGGGCTAACTGGCCTGTTTTCATTCTCATCTATCACCCTTCACTGGTGCTCCGCCAGCGTATCCCGTTAGCGCAGGCGAGGTTACCATACCATTTTCACCCAACAAAAAAAATCGGCCATTGCCATTCCGTCCACTAAATATGGCAACTACTGACAAAACCTCCTTATGGGAAAGGCTTATGTTCAGCAATGGACAGTTAACGGATATATGATGATGACGAAACGTACATAGAATGAAATTGATAAGGAAAATGGAGACGTTTGGAGGCCCGTAGAATCAGGGGGCCTACCATGAAATATTTTCCGAAATTTCGGGGCCGAACGAAACAGAAATTTAATGTTAAAAATACATAATACATGCCGTTTAAAATTATTAAAAATGTTAAATTATCATTCCTCTGGACTATTAGAATAGGATTTATGATGAACAAAATGTTAAACTCCATTTACTGGACCGATTTCGGTACGAACAAAAACACGAAATTGAGCCCGAAAATTCGAAATTTCATTTTATGGTAGACCACCAGAGCTCGCGGCGGGCCGTCCCTTTCGCCCCCGCCCCCTATTTGTCCAATACTGCCGTAGCTTGTAGTGGACACTCGCAACAACACTTACAGCAACAGGAGTGCCATTGCCGACTTTAAAGAATCCTTTAAATTAAGACTTCTAATACTCTTTAAGAAAACCTTTGTAGAGAGATTAAGAGATTAAAATTATTTTTTCATCTAATGAAAAGTAGTAATCAATGCTTTTTATTTAAATAATATAATCGAAATTTATTATTAGATGCAATATAGCATAAAATTCAGAATACGAACTATGATAAAATAATTTAAAGCGTTTATTTACCTACACAACTGATTGTTTATAAACATAAAAAGTAATGCCATCTAGTTTAACTAACCACAAACACTAATACGATGACGTCACGAATTCATCGAATAATAATGCCATCTATTTGTTTATCTAAGTATCGCAAAAATACGCGTCATTTACAATAGTTATGACAGTTAGTTGTACTAGATGGCGCTATTTTTTCAGAATTTTTAAAAAAATATTAAATTATATAAATATAGAGAGATATTTTGAATTGATTTTTTAATTTTCATATTTGTTTAATAACATTCGTAAAACTTTGAAAAAAATACTGTACAAAATTAGTTTGCTTGGGCACCTCTGTCCAATTTGTGTTTGTACCATGAAGCAGTCGTGTTTGCATGGCTGTTTCGGTTTGAAGAGTGAGATATGGCAGTGAATTTACAGGGTACAGAGGAATAACACTCGATTCCTCAAGAATGACAACGCATGGGAGGTATCATGGATGAAACAGTATACACTGTTATGTCCATGGTACTGCTCATATCTATAGCGACGGGTACCACTTTCTATCAGGAGGACCGTCAGCTTATTTGCAATTCTAAGTTGCATAAAATAAATAAATAAATAAATAAATTATTAAAACCTTGATTTCTATAGAGGCAGGTAGTGAAATCAAATGCGACATTCAACGCCTTTGTGGTCCCTGGCCCACCGCAACTCACCCAGGACCTGGTACCAGTTACAATGACCAGGGAACTGGAGTTGGAGGATGACATGAAGGAATATTGGGGTTTCTACCTGTTGAAGGGCTCTACAGTCACTGTATCCACATGCGTGAGGTCAGTGGATCGTTATTGGATAAAGTTGGAATGACCATGGGGTCATTTAGTAATTATTAGTAATGGGGACTAGTCGCCCCACTACTACCTACCCTATTAGTTTAACCTCCACATGGTCACTTTGTAGTAAATCATCATGATGAATCAAATTACGAGTCTTCATCCTCACCTACCATCACTGGTGCCCCGCCAACGTATATTATTAGTACAGGGAGGTTGTCATACAAAAAAAATATCAAAATCGGCAGAAAATTAGAAAAAAAGTTGCGTAACATGCAAGTCAAGTCGTTTTTCAATGCACTTTCTTGCACGCACAACCACTCTTTGGAATCAACTTCCAGCAGCAGTATTTCCGAACCGATACGACAACATAACCTTTAAAAAAAGAGCATATTCCTTTTTAAAAAGTCGGCAGTACACCTGCCTTTGGTATTGTGGGTGATCATGGACGTCGGTAGTCACTTACCATCAGGTGAGCCGCAATATCGTTTGCCCCCTGTGTTGTATTAATTAGTACATATATGTGTACATGACGGACTTATTGCTAAAAGCATTCTCTCCCAGTCAACCATAGGGAAGTGTTAGAATACTCGAATGCGGTACTACTAATTATTGATATACATACATACTAAAATTACATATATAAACGAATAAATATATATAAATAACAAATATACTTACACATATATAAAATATACTATATTATACATGAAAATGAGAATAATATACTACATATTACTGCTGTTATCTTTCCTTCTCCCTTCCTTTCTTCTTTCTCGTATTTGTTATCTCTTTCCTCCTCGCTGTCGTGTCGTCTTGCTGTTTCAATTACACAATCAAAAAATATTTCTCGCAGGTGGCCAGGAGCATCTCTCATAATGATAAAAGGTTACAAGCACTTAAAAGAATGTGCCTACATAGGAGACGACTCCTCTGAAGAGTTGGACGAATTGATGGAAGCTAACAAGCTTGGACTGTTGTCCAATGCTGAACTAATAGAAAAGATACAGGAGTTAAACAAAATCGACGGAAAAGCAAATCAGCCTGGTGAGATTTATGCATATTAAATTAATCATCATCGTCATCATTTCAGCCTATAACTGTCCACTATTTTTTTTATGCCACTGAAGTGGCAAACAAACGTACGACCCACCTGATGGTAAACGGTTACCGAAGCCTGTGAACGCTTGCAATACCAGGGGTGCCACGTGCGCGTTGCCGACCCTGAAGAAACTTTAATACGATCTTTTAAAAAACCCAAATTGATCGATTGAAACCTTCTCATATCAATACATATAATAAAATCGTAACTGGTCACTGTCTGTACATGGAAGATATATAAGAAAAACTATTGTAGAGAGGCTTTATGAATGGAATAGAACACAAAACAAAAATTTTTAGAATTGTCTGTTTGTCATTACGTTTGTGCGCGCTAATCTCAGAAACGGCTTAACCGACTAGAACACTATCTTCACTAATGCGTTGTAGTTTGATCCATTTAACATTTAGTGTTTATTTTATTTAAATCGGTTCATAAATAAAAAAGTTATATCAATCTAAATAATCGCATATAAAGTGCTATAAAATAACCGATCAGTTGAATTTGCTGAAACTTTATGAAGATTTTAACATAGATACGTAATTAAGTGATGCAATAACAAGTAAATAAATAAATATTATTTTTCTAATATAACTCTTGCTAATATTATAAATATAAAAGTTAGTCTTTTTGTTTGTTATCTTGACGGCTTAACCAATTAGTATGAAATTTAGTAAACCTACACGTGCTATACAAGATGGAGATAAACTAAGATATAGACTATTTTCTATGCCGGTCAATAAACTCGTCCCGGTCACGCGGACAGAGTCGCAGGTAAAAGCTTGCTGAATATAATATAGTATATTCTAATAGAATTACAATTTTATGCACCTTACAATGGCAAACAAGCTGACGGCCCGCCTGGTGGGAAGTAGTAACTGTCGCGTATAGACATGAGCAGTACCATGGACATAACAAATATGGTTTCAGATGCAATGAAACGTCACAAGCCTGGCGTCAGCTTCCACGACCCGAACAATGTTGTGAACGTGACGTCATCAGACACCGTACCGACTCTTGACGTCACTGATCATGATCCCAAGGTATGAACAAATCAGTCAATCAAAACAAAATGTTTATTTATTATTATATTAAACTTGAGAGGTTTTGCCAATAGGTACCAGAGGGAGACTGTACAAAAGTCGATTGCTTGGCTACCTCTGTCCCATTCGTGTTTCTACCGTGAAGCAGTTGTGTTTGCATGACTGTTTCGGTTTAAAAGGTTGGGATATGGCGTGAATTTACTGGGTACAGAGGAATAACATCCGAGTCCTTAGGAATGGCAACGCATGGGGGGTAACATGGGCGAAACAGTATACTCTGTTATGTCCATGGTACTGCTCATGTCTATAGGCGACAGTTACCGCTTTCCATCAGGTGGGCCGTCAGCTTGTTTGCCATTCTAAGTTGTATAAAAAAAAGGTACCATACTTCACAAGTAGGTTGGCAACCGTAGTTAGGCTTTGCTGCTGTCCATTCCTCGAACATTAAGTTCCCTTAGTCGGGTTTTATAACACCCACAGAACAGGAAAGGGTGATCCTTTTTATCCCACGATATACGCAGGACCACGTGGCTTTACAAGTTACCCCTCATTCACAAACATGAAAAAGAACCAGTATTACTACTCTACCATAATACGTAATTGATACACCCTGTACACGAACAAACCTATTTTTTAAACCACTATGGTAGCAAACAAGCATATAGCCCACCTGATGGTAAGCGAATACCGTAGCCTATGAACACCTTCAAATCTAGCAACCATACCGCCATTTTTAAAAGACCGGCAGCCAACACACTCGCTATGCCTCTGGTGTTGCGTAAAGAAAAATATTCGATCGTCAGTCTAGCTTGAATGAGTATAGTTTTACATTACTTTTTCAGGAATTACGTGAGATTCTAGAACGTCTCCACGCTTTGCGGCAAGAGGCGAAAGTGGAATCTTTGAAGTACTATACACCACCGCCTCACTTAATGGCCCTACCTGGTCTGCACAGACACAGGGATACTAATGTGGATAGGGATGAAAGGAGGTGGATATACTTCAAAGGTACGTGAACTGAACATTATGTTTATAATGGATGATAATGGAATGGTAACCCCGCCTGCGCTATTGGAATACGTTGGCGGGACACCAGTGAAGGATTATAATGAAAAGGCAGGTCAGTTAGCCCATCGTGATTTATTCACCTGGAATTTAGCACGATGATTTCCGGATTAAACGGTATTTGAGTCTTTTTTTTTTACATTTAAAAAAGAGATAAAAAAAGAGTAATTGTTAAGTTTTCTGCGAGTTCTTCTCAGCAGATAACAACATTCCGAACCCAGTAATAGCGTCATACAAAATTGATAATTTAAAAGGGCTTGTGAACAATATTTGTATGTATTTTGTATTGTGTTTTGGACTTTTTTTTTTGATGGGTGAAAATGGCATGGTAACCCCGCCTACGCTAACGGGATACGCTGGCGGAGCACCAGTGAAGGGTGATAGATGAGAATGAAAACAGGCCAGTTAGCCCATCATGATGAATTCATCAGGAATTAACCATGATAGTTTCCAGGGGGAACCGCGAGGTCAACCTGGTTGGGTATATTGCTAACAATGGGATTCTCAGTCTCCATTACTAACAATCCCTTTCCCCCCTGTGTTTTGGACTAAACTCTCAACTTGATGGAGAGCGACATTTCAATAGATAAAATAGATTTAAGGATTTGTTTTTTGTAAATAAGGGGATTAGAAACTATTATAGGGTCTTAACGAGTTAACTCTCTTTCAATCGAAACTTTATGCAACTTAGAATGGCAATCAAGCTGACGGCCCACCTGATGGAAAGTGGTAAACGTCGTTTATAGACATGAGCAGTACCATGGACATAACAGAGTATACTGTAAGTACTAGACTCGTTTGTGATCGTATCAGTCAACTCGTGATTACGGCCTATATAACTTCAATAGAAACATCCAGAAAAACCCTAAGCATACGACAATTATTATATTTAACTAGTAAATTATCACGTTAATGCCTATTTCATAAAACCATAAATTGTACGATGTGAAAGTTTTACAATGAACAAACAAACTAACTGTGGAAGACTACCAATGTTTTTACATTCTATACAGATATGCAGATAAGGCACAAGTCAATAAAAATTATTTGCAATTGGATACAGAATTTTATACTACATTTAATAGTATATTAGAATTTGAAGATGGATTTGAATACAGTGAACTTGTTTTGAATCTTTCCTTTGTTACAGCAACTATTTATAAATGATAAGAGTTGCTATTATTGCAGAATTATGGCTAATTGGCTATTTTTTTTATACAACTTAGAATGGCAAACAAGCTAACGGCCCACCTGATGGAAAGTGGTAACCGTCGCCTATAGACATGAGCAGTACCATGGACATAACAGAGTACACTGTTTTGCCCATGACTCAGGTGTTAATCCTCTGTACCCAGTAAATTCACGCCATATCCCACCCTTCAAACCGAAACACAGCCATGCAAACAAAACTGCTTCACGGTTGAAACACGAATGGGACAGAGGTACCCAAGCAATCGACTTTTGTACAAAGTCTCCCTCTGGTGAGTGGTGGTTGTGGAGTGGTGGATGGTGGCTTTTACCAGCGGCTTCCTCTATGTGACTAGGATACCTTATTGGCCATGATTCAAAGTAGCCTATGTCCTTCTCCATCCAATATACTAAACAAGCAACAAGGAGTATATGAAAAAGGAACATGAGGGAAAGGAATTGTTAGTAATGGGATCTTAAAGCTCCATTGCTGCCAATAGACAAAGTCGACCTCCGCGAAATTTCCCCATTTCAAAACGTTAGATAGATAATTTATTTGCATTACTTACAACACACAAATTATAACATATATACATATACATAAAAAGCGAGATAACATACATGATTAAACAAAAAAAAATGCATAAAGCCAAATAATTTTTTTTTTTTCTTTTATGCGTGTGCCATAACAATACAAAATGGTCACAACTCAGTTTACTGCTTCGCCCTCAAAAGAGCAAAGCACTGATATTCTGTATATGTGTTCTGATATTGTGTATAATGTTACTAGTGTATTCTATTAGTAAAAGTTTTGTTGAGAGGCAAAAGTTAGACATTCCAGCAAGTTACCTCTATGTTCCATTTGTCTGCTAGATAAACTATCATATCTGTCTGTTTACTGTATATCTATCTTTTTATTGTACGGATAATCTGGTAGTATTGTTTAATTGTTACCCTATTCCCTTTGACCGCAACAGAATATCAGTGCTTTGCTCTTGTGAGGGCGAAGCAATAAACTGAGTTGTGGCCATTTTGTATTGCTATGGCACACTCACAAACGAAAATTGTATTTCGTTTTATGTATTTTTTTTTTAATCATTTATGTTATCTCGCTTTTTTTTTTGTATATGTATGTTGTAATTTGTGTGCTGTAAGTAAGTAATGCAAATAAATTATCTATCTATCTATCTATCTGATGTACCGAATTAATAAATAAATATTATACTACGTAACCACTCAAATCACTTATCATTTCTATTGAGTTCAAATTACTACAATACAAATAAATATTATCTATTACAGATATTGATGGGAATGACACTCAAATAGATAATACTGATCAAACAGTTAATACAGAGAAAACAACTACAACTACCATTCCTATAGATGAAGCTACAAATAATGTTGAGGCAACAAAAGTTACTGAAAAAGATAGCAAAGTGACTGGTATTGATAAACATGTAAATAAAGAAGTAATTCAAAATAAAACTATTAAAGAAGATGCAGTTGAAAGTGATGGAAAAAATAAATCGATTCCTGTTGGACTAAAAGTGATTGATGTTGCTTACACAACACCGGTAATTGTTTATAATATTTTTACAATTTATAGAATCTGTAGAGATCTAGTGTCGATAGAAATACGTGACATAGTAAAATTAGAAGCATGTTATAATAATACAGTTATAAAATGTGTATAAATTTGACTCAAGTATCTACTATAATGCCAAGTAAATATATCAATGTAATATTTTGTTTTTCATAAAGAATTTTACATTATTATTATTATTTAGCCGTGTAAGTCCCGGCATAGAACAGGCCACCCTTTCCTTTCCCGTGGGTGTCGTAAGAGGCAACTAAGGGAGCGTATGGCTGAGGGATGGACAACAGCTCTCTCTCACTCTCAACTCAACTCTCTCTTAAAACATGACCAAAAACCAAACTGCAGTTGCCAATCCGCCTGCCAAGCGTGGCAACAACTGACAAAACCTCCCTTATGGGAAAGACTGTGTTCAGCAATGAACAGTAAACGACTGATACAATATTATTATTATTATTGAGAGACAAGACAAATGAGTTTTTTCATTCGGGAAAACCTATGACGACCTTTCCATAATTTTTTTTAAAGTTACTGCGAATTCTTATCAGTGATAGGAATTTTAAGATGTTTTTTTGCAGCGATGTTTTTTTTTTATCGGGGATATATCGTTTATGGATGAGTGTGAATAATTTTCCATTAACAGATACTCGTATGTGTACCAAAATTTAAATAAATATGTGACAACTTATGTCCCGACTTTTGTCTAATATTTTATGTTTCTTTGATTAAATTTAACATTGTTAATTTACAGAGTCCCCATATCGAGGAAATGAACTCAAAAGAAGTTTTCGAAGATGTTCTGAAGAAATTACAAGCTTTAGGGGATAGAGGAAAGAGAGTGCTGTCTAAATTGCATGAAACCATGGGATTGCAGTACAATGCGGTAAAGGAATCCAAAATCTATCTAACTACATTTCTGTATTATCCTAAATATAGGCTATACAAAAAATCTGGAATTTATTCTTCTAAGAAAAAGATCTTATGATACAAAAGATCAAAATTACTTTTATGCAATTAAGATAACAAACAAACTAACACCTCACATGACTGAAGGTGGTGACTGCTGGCTAAAGACCGAAGCCTACGAGTAGTAAAATTATTCATGGCTCCCCACAGGCGTAGCCATTTCTGACGACTGTGATGTAATATTCCCGTACCTGTAATTTCACTGCCATATACTACTCTATTGGGATATCCTACCCGCAAGGAATCAGTGGGTACAGGTGGCTCAGGACTATTCCTTGTAGAAGCCTATGGAGGAGTCAAATTTAAAAAATATGATCTCATCTCTAGCGTCCTAATTTTCTCTGGGTGTTCTATCGCCTCCCTAAAAGGCTCAAACGCTCACTAGGGATCATTATCGCCTACTTTGAGACCCTGTGCCCTAATATTAGAAGAGTTAGCAATATAAAAATGTCTCTGAAACTGCACACGCTGATGAACTCCGGTGGTCTTAGGTACCCTTAGGTTAAGTTCTCTATTTTATGAGCGGCTAAGTAAAGAACATTTGGGGGTACAACCCATAATCATCTTTTATCATCATTATCTGTCCATTGCTGAACATAGGCCCCCCATAGATGCCATAAGACACGGTCCCCGAGCTACCAGCATCCACTGACTCCCTGCAATGCATTTGAGTTCGTTGCTACATCTAGCGAGGCCCCCACTATGAAAGTCACCCATCGATTTTCAAAACTTCGAGTTATGTGACCAGTCCATTGTCAATTCAGCTTGTTTATCCTTCGGGCTATGTCAGTCACTTTAATTTATCTATGGATATCCTCATTTTTTAATTCAATTAAACAAAGAAACTCCGAGGGTAATCCTCTTCGTAGCTTGCGGAGCGACTTGAAGTTTTTGCATATGGGCAACTATTGTAGGGCCACGTTTGGATTCCGTAAGTAATCACTTGTAACACGAAAATCTGCTTATTGTCTCAAAGCCCTTTTTGTTTAAATTAATACTAGTATTTCTCTCCTGCTGCTTCTCTAAATTTTTGCAATATTACAGCCCACAGCAGGGAGTAAGCCCACTAAATCCGACATAATGTCAGTATTGACAGGAAGCAGCGAGGAACTGGACAGGCTGCGGAACATCTTGGTGGAGGCGATAGACGAGGAGAAGACCAGATCACGCAGACAGCGTAAGTGTTATTTCATTGATTATATAATTAGCATATTTTTAACCGACTTCATAAAAAGAGGTTCTCTATTCGTTTGTATTTTTTTTTCTGTTTCATTATTATTATCATCATCATCAGCTGTTATCTGTCCACTGCTGAATATAGGTCTACCCCATAGATTGCCATAAGGAACATTCTTAAGCTACCTGCATTCACCGACTCCCTGCAATGCATGTGAGGTCGTCACTCCATCTAGTGTAGGGTCGTAATACACTGCCTTTGCCCGTACGGGTCGCCACTCGAGAACCTTTCTTCGCCACCAGTTGTCAGTTCTTCGAACTATGTGACCAGCCTATTGCCACTTCAGCTTGCTTATCCTTTTTAAGTTTGTTACCTCAGAACTCCGTCGTTTATAAACTAATTTGGAAAATTTATATTTGAAAGGATAGATATACTTTGAAATTGGTCCGAATGCTGTTGGTAAGAAGGTCTTACACGGGTAGATAGCATTTTCGAAAAAAACATGTAGCCTATTTTACTCGCTCATAATGTTTTTTTGCTTTCTATATTTGAAAGAATTTTTAAAAACGATTGTATTGTTTTTGAGTTTATCCATTACAAACAAATAAATAAACAATCAAATATATAATATTATTATTTATAATATTATTTATTTATATATTTAATTATTTGTTGAGTCAACAAAACCAGCTCTAGTTTAAAATTACTCAATAGTTACTATATCTCGCAATGTTTATCGTTGTTTTGATATGTGTATAATATATATTGCATATGTATATACCAGAGGGAGACTGTACAAAAGTCTATTGCTGGGGTACCTCTGTCCCATTTGTGATTCTACCGTGAAGCAGTTGTGTTTGCATGGCTGTATTTCGGTTTGAAGAATGGGATATGGCGTGTATTTACAGGGTACAGCGGAATAACACATGAGTCTTCAGGAATGGCAATGCATGGAGGGTATCATGGGTGAAACAGTATACTCTGTTATGTCCATGGTGCTTCTCATGTCTATAGGCGACGGTTACCACTTACCATCAGGTGGGCCGTCAGCTTGTTTGCCATTCTGAGTTGTATAAAAAAAAATATAAAATAATAAGTCCATATATATTAAAAATAGTGTTTATGTGTTATATGTGTATTTCTTATGTATTATTATGTATAATTATTTCAGTACGTTACTATAATTATGTAACGCATTTTTCACCACATCTGTCCTTCATACGCTTTCTGTTTTTACCAAATGATTAGCTGGCAGACAAATCTATATGGCATTAAACTCGTCAATTGTACAAAGTCTTATAATACAAGAAATAAATAAATAAATAAATATTATAGATAAGTAGATAATCCTAAAAAAAACTTAAAATCTTTACACCAACCATACACATTATCATAACTTAAGTCAACATTATGTAAAAACTGTGACAGAATCGACACTGTGAACATCTCATAACCTCTTAGACAAGGACAGTCTTTTTTCTATGTACCTACATATTTGAGGTGTCACCACATTATGAAATTTTAACGAATTCCCAATATTTGGGTAGTATTACAACTTACAATAGAAAAACCAAGTATATTACACGCGATTATTCTCATAGTGTCATCGTGATTATCTGATTATCATTGTATCAGATTTTAACTGTCCACTGCTGAACATAAGCCTCCCCCTTGGGTTATGCCAGTGGTTGCCACGCTTGGCAGGCGAATTGGCAACTGCAGTTAGGCTTTTACTGATTTTTTTATACAACTTAGAATGGTAAACAAGCTGACGGTCTATTTGATGGAAAGTGGTAACCGTCGGTTATAGACATGAGCAGTACCATGGCCATAACAGGGTATACTGTTTCGCCCACGATACCCCCCATGCGTTGCCATTCCTGAGGAGTCAGATGTTATTCCTCTGTACCCTGTAAATTCACGCCATATCCCACCCTTCAAACCAAAACACAGCCACGCAAACACAGCTCCTTCACGGTAGAAACACGAATGGAACAGAGGTACCCAAGCAATCGACTTTTATACAATCTCCCTGTGGTAAAATGTTTTAAGACGGATGGTACTGCTCCTTCCTCAACCGACTAAGTTCTCTTAGTCGCTTCTTACGACACTCACGGGAATAGAAGGAGTGGCCTATCCTATGCCAGGACCACACGCCATACGAGTAGAATGAGAATAGGATATATTACTTACTAACAGTCCCCTCCCCCTGGATAGACTTGTAGGAGTTCCGTATTCATTATTTAAGGAACCATCTCTTTTGAGAAGAGATCTGTGTCCAACTCTGGGATTTGGAGAGAATGGGATTGTTAGTAGTGAAGTCTAATTGTCCCCTTGCTAGTAATATACCCTATCAGGTCGACCTCCAGGCGTTTTCCCCTTAAAATCATCACGATTAATTATTTGATTGAATTCGTCACGATGGACCAACTGACCTGGTTTCCTCACCTACCACCACTCACTGGTGCCCCACCAGCGTATACCGATAGCGCAGGCGAGGCTACCATTCCATTATCAACCACTATTTATTAATTCACTCTTGCGCCACCTACCCACTTCTATCTGTTCTCCTTTAACCAAAGGTTGTCTGTAAGAGATTGCCCTAGCGATAAGACCGCCTTTTGTACCTTTATGTATATATTTTAAGCTACTGTATTTCACTTGAATTGTTTATATGTCATTGTTTATTTTTATGTTTCTGGTACAATATAGAGTTAAATAAATAAATAAACACTGGGATCTCACAGGTTGATTGTAATTGTGGTAACACTATTGGATGTAAAAACAGTATCGTTTTTTTTTATTTCTAGAGCAACGTCGCGACGCTCGTGACGAGGCCCGAACTAAAAGGCAGTTGATGTTAGGTGAAATTGAATTACAGAAGGAATTGAACGAAGATGATGAAGCGAGGAACTATGCCGCTGAAGAGGTAAATTTTTTAAAATATTTTATACGTATTTAGGAAACAAATAATACAATTAACGAATAAAATATTACATAATAAATAATTGTTAACCAATAAAGTTTTCACTATTAACTGTTACTCGTACATACAGAGCAAACGAAGTTCAAAATACAGCAATAAGTATAAAAAAAAAACTATAATAAATTACCTACAGAATACAGAGATCTGACAGACAAAAAAATTAATGAAAAACTTTACAATTTGCTTATTGGGCAATACTGTCCGACTTGACCCACTGAAACAAACTAAAATTTCATCCCAATCATCTGGACGAGTAGCGGTCCTCCACCGTGCGTTTTTCAAGGCACTTTCTTCCACGCACAACCACTCTTTGAAATCAACTTTCAGCAACAGTATTTCCGAACCGATACGACAACATAACCTTCAAGAAAAGAGTATACGAGGTCTGTCCGGAAAGTTCGTATAAAAGTGTTCTGGAATGCGAGAAAGAGGAGTGGGGAGGCCAGGTAAGCGCAGGACCCCTTCCTTATGTCCCTAACAATGCTTCAGTTCTGGTCTGACCGCCGTGCGGTGCGAACTGGCTTGTCACGCCATCTGTGAAGTTACCTCTTAACGAAACCACGTCGGCATGGAGCCCGCTTCCGTTGAAGAGCAGCGCGTCGTAATCAAGTTTCTCTCGAAACTCGGCAAGAATGGCCGTGAAATTTTTGCCGATCTCAGAACAGTTTATGGGGATGATGCTGTGAAGGAACCAACCGTCCACAAGTGGCTAAAAAGATTCAGAGAGGGCCGAGAAAGAGTTCGATGTTCGGGGGATTGTCCATCAAGAATTCGTCCCTCCAGGCCAGACAGTTGATGGAAAATTCTACGTCGATGTGCTCAGACGCCTCAAAGCTCGTGTGGCACGAGTTCGTCCAGAATTGGCGCGAGAGGGGCGTTGGATTCTTCACCACGACAATGCCCCTGCCCACACCTCTCTTGTTGTCCGTGAGTTTTTGAGTAAAAATTCCATTACGGTGACCGAACACCCCCCTATTCGCCGGATTTGGCCCCGTGTGACTTCTTCTTGTTCCCAAAAACCAAATTGGTACTTCGGGGGCGGCATTTGGGGGACATAAATGAGATAAAAAAAGCTACGACGGGGCAGCTGAGAAACCTACAACCAGAGGACTTTCAAGGAGCCTTCTCACAGTGGAAACGGCGTTGGCACAAGTGCATTATGTCACAGGGGGAGTACTTTGAAGGGGATAAAATTGATTTACCTGAATAATTGTAAAATAAAATTTTTAAAAAACTTTTATACGTACTTTCCGGACAAACCTCGTATTCCTTTGTAAAAGGCCGGCAGCACACCTGAAACGCCGCTGGTGTTGTGGGTGATCATAGGCGGCGGTAGTCACTTACCATCAGGGGAGCCGCATGCTCGTTTGCCCCCTGTGTTGTAAAAAAGAAATTGGGCAATGTTTTTATTCATTTGAAGACTATTTCAATGCAAAATTTTAAGAACAAATTCCAATTTACCATAAATGTTTGCACGCCACACGGTTGAATGCAGTGAGTCTTTTCTTTAACATTAAATACTTCTAATGTATTAACCTGTATTCGAGCAAATAAAGTTATCATTCTTTTTTTTCATACAACTTAGAATGGCAAACAAGCTGACGGCCCACCTGATGGAAAGTGGTAACCGTCGCCCATAGACATGAGCAGTACCATGGACATAACAGAGTATACTGTTTCGCCCATGATACCCCCCCATACGTTGCCATTCTTAAGGACTCAGGTGTTATTCCTCTGTATCCAGATTTTAAGAAATAAATTTTGTTAATTATCACAGTGCATTAATATATTATCACATTAATTATAATTTATATTATTATGTAATTTCTTCTTAATCAATTAAAGGATCTCCAACCGGACGGCTACGCTGAACACCACGAACAAGTAAACGAAACCACAGCCTTCGATATGAGCAACTCGGAGTTCTGGTCATCATTCTCCAGCAGTGAGGAGGCGCTGCTGGAATGCGAGGGTCTGATCCTCAACTTGCCGCTTACACCACACCCGTCTTGTAATACTAGGGCGACAGACGAAGATAAGATGTCTGCAGCCCAATCCAACGCTTTGACTTACAGGTACATATCCTCATTGGTCCTTCATCATCACCATCGTTAATGTTCCACTGCTGAACATAAGCCTCCTTTGGAGGTTTTACCAGTAGTTGCCACGCTTGGCAGGCGGATTGGCATCTGCAGTTAGGCTTTAGAGATGTTTTAAAAGGGACACTGCTGCCAATCCCTAGCTTTCCCTTAGTCGTAAGTGGCAACTTAGGGAAAGCGAGGGATGGGCAGCATTGTCTCTCTTAAAACATCTCCATTCACTAATTCTCTTCGGTAGATTCTATATAGGTCTAACCGATAGAACTGTGGGGAAAGGGATTGTTAGCAATGGAGATCGACATTGCTAGCAATATGCCCTATCAGGTCGACCTCCACGTGGTTCCCCCTGGAAACCATCGTGAACAATTCTTGTTGAATTCGTCACGATGGGCTAACTGACCTGCTTCATCCTCACCTATCATCCTTCACTGGTGCCCCGCCGGTGTATACCGATAGCGCGGGTGGGGTTACCATTCCATTATCACCCATTAAAAAAAAACCGATAGAACTATAATGTAACCTTGAATTCACAGAAAAATGAATGTAAAAATGAACACAAAAGAACATTGTATTGAAGGAATGTGCATTTACAATTGACTGTATATCAATCATTATACTATAATCGTCAATCAATAGATTGGTTTGCTTATAAATAAATTAATTGACCGATTGATTCCGAGTAATATTAGTAAGTTATTACAATTGTTCTCTTTGACAACGAATCCGCTATATTATACAACTCTTCTTTTAAATAATTTAAAATAATAATAGATAAGTACCTATAAAGAGAAAGGTAGGTGGCGCAAGTGAGACACAGTAAATACAAAAAAAGTAATCAAACAAAATTTAAGATATTTATCTCTCAATAGAATTCATCATATCAGCTGTTAACCTTCCACTGCTAAGCATAGGTCTGTCCCATAAGGAGAGTTTTGCCAATAGTTGCCAAGTTGCCACGCTTGGCACATGGGTTGGCAACTACAGTTAGGCTTTGATGTTTTAAAAGAGATACTGCTGCCCGTCCCTCCAACACTAACAGGAAAGGAAGAGATGGCCCATTCTATTCATTCATTCAAGACTACATGACAATAACAATTAATGGTATATAAATTGTATATCATATTATGTCTAACAAAACTTATTTTATGTATATGTATATGTATATATATATATATATATATATATATATATATATATATATATATATATATATATATATATATAAGAATTTCATCGTGCCTCTGATCAAACTATTTATAATGACTCCTCTCCATCCAAAAGTTGGCTGGAAGAGATCGCTTTTAGCGATAAGGTCGCCCATTTTCTCACTGTGATCATTTCTTGTAATTGTTTGTATCTATAATAAGTTTACTATTGTAATCTTTTGGAGGAAACAATAAAGAGTATCTATCTATCTATCTTTCGTAACAATTATAATAAAAATATCATACAAACATAATTTTAAGGTTTATTACTCGTAACAAGCTGACTCCTTGTTATTCCGGAATCAATTCATTCATTGATATATTTCAGGGTCCCAGCAAACGGTTACTATTTCTTCGTTTTCAACTCGGAAAACGAAGTGCAAACAAATTTCATCAGAGCCAAATTTGACCTTCAGAAAACGAGGTATGACGTCGCCAGAACAGCGCTGAGAGAGTGCAAGAACAGCACGGAAAGATGTGACCTGGCCCTTGATATATTCTCCAGTCAAAAAGTAAGTTATACTCGTGTAGATACTAGCTGCATTTCGCGGCTTCACCTGCATGAATCCATACATAAAGTACCTTATATGCTAAGTTACGATATGACCTACACGTGTACTAAATTTCATTCAAAACCATTCAGTAGTGTTTCATTGATTAACAAACATTTTGGCAATAATAAAAAAAAAAAAAAAAAATTTGACATTTCATATTTCGACATTTACAAAATTCACAATTTCTTAATTATTTATTCTTATAGTTAATTGACGTTTTTAATTATTATTTATTATTATTCTTTATTCTAAATATAATCCATATAAGTGGCATATTCTATAATGATGTATCATAAATTTGTATTATAAAGTCAGGACAAACAAAAGTGTCAACTAGTATCTTTTAATACCTAGTTGTATTGAAATTTATAAATACATTGATGTATAAATAACCTAGATATATAATTAGAGATAAGTAATTAAATAAATCAATAAATTTATTCATTAATCATAAATTTAATTCTTAAAATATAACCGTTAATTTTGTTTTTATTCGCTTATTTTATAAAATATAAATATTTGCATGCCTATTTCGCTTGAGGCAATTAAATAGGTGCCAAACTTAATACTACTTGGTCTATGTTAACAATTTTAACTGTTTAATGCAAATAAACTCATTTCATTTCATCCATGCATCCTCCATTCATCCTCCATCCATACCAATTTTCGAATTTATTTATTTATTGCACCATAAACAAAAATATACAATGACAATTGGACAATTCAAGTGTAATACAGTAACATAAATACAGATTGAAATATACACATAAAGGTACAAAAGGCGGTCTTATCGCTAGGGCAATCTCTTACAGACAACCTTTAGTTAAAGGAAAATAGAAATGGGTAGGTGGCGCAAGAGTGAATTAATAAATAATGAATGATAATGGGATAGTAGCTCTGCCTACGCTAACGGTATACGCTGGCGGGGTACCGATGAAGGGTGAAAGGTAAGAATGAAAAGGCAGGTCAGTTAGCCCGTCGTGATGAATTGCACTAGAATTAACTACGATGGTTTCCAGGGGAACCACGTGGAGGTCGACCTTAGGGTATATTGCTAGCAATGGGGCAGTTTTTCTTTAATGGGTGATAATGGAATGGTAACGTCACCCGCGCTATCGTGACGAATTCAACAAGAATTGTTCACGATGGCTTCCAGGGGGAACCACGTGGAGGTCGACCTAATAAGACATATTGCTAGCAATGGGGCTGTCAAACTCCATTGCTAACAATCCCTTCCCCCAGCAATGGGGCAGTTAGACCCCATTACTAACAATCCCTTTCCCCCCTATCAATTAGGATTAGAATGTTACAGTAATTAATCAATTAATGATATGATAATATATTAAAAGTTTTTTTTTTTTTGTTTATAATTTTCGGTGTAATTTTAGGTGGTACTCGAAGTTCCACTGAGAAACAACGACTCGTTGTGGAACGAGCAGTTCGTCATCATCTCCGAGTGTGAGCCGAGGACCTCCGTATACCTGGTTTGTGTGATCGCGGTGCCGATACTCATATTGATATTCGCATTTCAATAACATCGATGGAATAATTAAAGTTAGTTAAAGTTTAAGTTGAAAGTTAGTGTACCTTTCTAGAGATATTTCTGTAGAGTTTTTAATTTTTTCAAGAAAATAGGATAAAAAATAGCAATGAAATTAAAATAAAATATCTGGAAATATGTATACCGAAATTTATTACAGAGTGGGGACTTGAATATATTATTGTTTTACGGAGTATTTTTACCTATTAATATTGTATATTTTCTCTAAACTAATATTGATGGAAAAACGACAAAATGGTTTACTGTTTTACCAAACTTCAGTCTAACATGACCATAAAAGTATGTTAACCAATTAGAATTTTATTAGAGGAATAGAACGAAGAGAGAAAATATACTATTTTTTTCTGTTTTAATATAAAAAAAAACGTTACCTACCAACTGGTGTAGTACTTAATTCAAAAAGTATAATATAGCGGCCAAATACATTTATCTATAGGATTATTCAACAACTAGTCGTTACCCGCGGCGTTGCCCGCTTCTATGTAGTTCCCGTATATCATTCCCATTGGAACCCCTCATCAATCCAGTCTTATATTGGTAGTATCCAGTAGTAGTATCTAGTATGAATATATATATATATATATATATATATATATATATATATATATATATATATATATATATATATATAAAAGATGATTGCTAGCTACTACTGCTGTAATGAGTTCATAAGGTAAGCATGGATCATTTTTTTTTTAATTATTCTATACAATTAGGTATTACGCGCAAACGCACAATTCGTACGACCGCGAATTGGCGAAAATAACTGCAAAAAAGTTTAGCCGCTTATCGTGGTTTGCGGATACCCAGTAACTGCATTATCATATCTCACCCTGCATTAGATACAATAATAAACCATAATATCCTGGTGTGTCTTTAAATTTAGATACTTTGCATAAACAAAATAAACCGCCACAAAATCCGTTTGCATAATATAAGAATGGAAAACTCACCGAAATCCGTTAAGCACAGTGGTTTTCAAAGTTGTGCACGCAACTTTAAAAGAGGCCACAGAAACACACTAAAGGGAGGTTTTTGTTTATTAATAATAGAGTGGTAACCCACCCGCGCTACCGGTATACACCGGCGGAACACCAGTAAAGTATGATAGGTGAGGATGAAGCAGGTCAGTTATCCCATCATGACGAATTCAACAAGAATTGTTCACGGTGGTTTCTAGGGGGAACCACGTGGAGGTCGACCTAATAGGGCATATTGCTACCAATGAGGCTGTCTGTAACAATCCCTTTCCCCCCTACTAAGCGGAGGTGGCTTATGAGTGTTTTTTTTTTTATGGATGTAAATGGAATGGTAACCCCGTCTGCGCTATTAAGATACGCTGACGGGGCATCAATGAGGGATGATAGGTGAGGATGAAGCAGGTCAGTTGGTCGATCATATCGTATTATATCAGCCGTTAACTGTCCATTGTTGGACATATCTGAACTGAAGTTGAATCTGAATATTAATAGCAGTGGGGTTGTTAGCCTAATATCAATAATCCTTTCTTATCAACGTTTGAAATGAAATGAAATGAAATGAATTTGAAATGAAATAAATTTATTTTGCTAGAATGTAGGTACAGGTTACAGAGACGAAACAGAAATATGTATTTTCAAGTATAGATTGCTTGTGTCAAGGTCAATGGTCAATTTTAAGCTTATTAGGTACCTAATACTCAAAAATTAAACTGCCTAATATGCGAAAAAATAACGTTTATACGATGTGACCTAATTCATAACTTTGAGAACCACTAGTCCAGTAGATCTTGAGTATTACTGTTCTAGATAAGATAATGAAAGTATTATTGATATGTTTATGTTTTAATTACCTTGATACCATAATAGTAATCTTGTAGATATGGTATTGTTAATTATTAACTAAATGGGTAAGTATTTTATTAACTCACTCCAATAATATATCTTGCCTCTCTGTTACACACTTTAAATTTTAGACATTTAAATCATCATCATATCAGCTGTAGTAGTGTAGTAGTAGTAGTTGCCACGCTTGGCAGGCGGGATGGCAACCGCAGTTAGGCTTTGGAGATCTTTTAAAAGGGCCGCTGCTGCCCATCCCTCGCCCTCCCTTAGTCGCCTCCGACACCCACGGGAAAGTAAGATGTGGCCCATTCTATGCCGGGACCACACGGTATCAGACATCTATATAAATACACATAATGTTAACAGAGATTTAAAAGAGTAACTGTTGAGTTTCTTGCGGGCTCTTCACAACAGTTAACAACTTTTCGAACCTTTCGATAAAAAATGATGATTTATAATAAGAATAATAATAATAACTTTATTTACTTAAACAAAATTAGCCTGTAGTACAATAGAACTATGACCCCACACTAGGCAAAGCCTGTCTCGTGGAAGTCAAAGCTGAAATTTAAAAGTGCTTGTATTTGAATAAAGATGATTTGAATTATATATATATATATATACTCGGTAAAGGTTGTTTTAACATATACATTATTTCTAGAAATATACATGAAAATATATCGTACTACAATTATTATATTCGATTGTCATCCTGCAACCCTGTTGCGGCATATAAAAATTGAGATAAAATAACAGGGGTTGATCGTAAAAACGTAAAAATTTTAATTTGTATGTATTTTTCAATGCTAAATCATAATAAAATAAAAATAAAAAAAATTGTCAAAAAAATAAAAAAAATCTAGGGGTGGGTCACTCCTATCATTGAGGGGTATGAAAAATAGATGTTGGCCGATTCTCAGACCTACCCAATATGCACACAAAATTTCATAAAAATCGGTAAAGCCGTTTTGGAGGAGTTTGGTAACAAACACCGTGACACGAGAATTTTATATATAAGATATATATATTCATCGCAAATGTCTTGGTTAATTTCTCATAACATCAAGGAAAGATCTCTAAGTAGATATAACCATAGGCAGTTAATTTTTGCTAACCAACTAACATACTAACTTACTAATTGGCATATCAACATCTACAGTCAGTTGTTATAACTAAAATTGCCAACATTAATGTAGCATAAAGTCGTCTAACCCGTAAAGGTATGGTTTAATTATGGGTTGGGCGATTGTGCGTGCCCACTGATGGGCGACGAGAACGACAGATATGTGCATTCATTATTTATATATAGTATTTATTCATCTATGTTATTTATAAGTTTTTACATTAACGTGTGACAATGCGGAGGGGTCTAATTTTAATTTTATTTATTTTAAACAACTTGGATCCATTTTTGTTAGTAAGTGTACTTAAAAACTATGCTAGTACTTAATCACTAATAATAATGTAGTCCCCAAAGAGGGTTGACGTCAGGCAGGCGGCCGGTCGTAAAACTGAAAACCAAATCTTTTTGTAATATGGACAAATCATATTACACCGACCCCAAATGATTGGGATAAGGGTAGGAAGATGATGATGAATGATCTAATGCTCTGGGCAAGCATTCTCACGAGAGAACTATTTTTTTTATTTATTTAACACTTTATTGCACCAACATAACAGGATTTGTTGAACAATTTTCAATACGTATAGTGTAGTACAAAAGGCGGTCTTATTGCTAAGCAATCTCTTCCAGACAACCTTTGAGTAGAAAGAAATAAAGCATAAATAGGTAGGTGGCGCGTTAAAAGAAACAGATCTGTGAAAATAATAAATATCTGTGACAACATTGACTATGTAATTTATTTACAAACATTTTTTTGTAGCGTAATTGTATAAATAAAGTTTGTATTTTTTATGCAACTTAGAATAAAAAACAAGTTAAAAATAATCAGTTGTTTAAATTTAAATAAATTTTCTTCGTATAACATTAAATTAGCTGACAAAATTTTGAGAAATGTTTGAAACTCAATACCCTATGTATATAATCTAAAATTCTGGGCACGATTGCCGAAATTCATCACTAATATTACAATTCATGCACTTTCTTCCACGCACAACCATTCTTTGGAATCAACTTCCAGCAGCAGTATTTCCGAACCGATACGACAACATAACCTTCAAGAAAACAGTATATTCCTTTTTAAAAGGCCGGCAGCACACCTGCAATGCCGCTGGTGTTGTGGGTGATCATGGGCGGCGGTAGTCACTTACCATCAGGTGAGCCGCATGCTCGTTTGCCCCCAGCGTTGTAAAAAAAAAATCTAACTTGATAGTTTATCAAATTAAAATCATCTTTATTCAAATAGACTTATTTACAAGCACTTTTAAATCCTTTTTTTATGAATGCAGGATTCAGAAAGTTGTTATCTGTAGAGAAGAGCCCGCAAGAAACTCAACAGTTACTCTTTTAAATCTCTGTTAACATTATGTGTATTTATATAAATGTAGGTACTATGTCTAAAACTACATGGCCTTTAAAAGCCCTTACTTGATCCACTAACACCATGCATGCATGTTTTATTTTAATTTAATTTAATTTATTAAGCGCACATAACAGAAGTTTACAAATACAAACTTAAATTATAACATGCAAGTACATGTTTTGATCAGGTAAACTTGCCACAACATGTGCACACAGCGTGATCCAATAATAAATGCGACTGCAACAAAGCCATTCGGTTGCAACTATTAGTACAACCGAAATGCAACTTGTAATCGTTTAGTGTGTAATGGGCTTTGTTCAATAAGTGTTTTTAATAACAGTTTTAAAATTATTAAAAAGCAGATTCAAAATATGCTTCATTATTTTATTATACTATTAGATGTATCAATGTATTTTTTTTTGTATATGTATGTTGTAATTTGTGTGCTGTAAGTAAGTAATGCAAATAAATTATCTATCTATCTATCTATCAAAAGTATCTATTGTAAGTCTAGCATGTATTGGATAATCAAGACAAATGTAAATAAGTCCTAGTACAATTCTACTAAATATTTACCCCCTTATTCATAAAAACTAATAGCTATTATAAACCTATTACCAGAGGGTGACTTTGTACAAAAGTCGTTTGCTTGGGTACCTCTGTCCTATTCGTGTTTCTACTGTGAAGCAGTTGTGTTTGCATGGCTGTGTTTCGATTTGAAGGGTGGGATATGGCAGTGAATTTACAGGGTACAGAGGAATGACACCTGAGTCCTCAGGAATGGCAACGCATGGGGGGTATCATGGGCGAAAAAGTATACTCTGTTATGTCCACGGTACTGCTCATGTCTATGTGCGACAGTTACCACTTTCCATCAGGTGGACCGTCAGCTTGATTGGCATTCTATGATGTATAAAAAAACCCTATTTTAGCTATTCAACTATTTTGTTACATTCTTTCAAATTGGGCATTCCCAATTACATTAGCTACATTTAGCGTGAAAGAAAGAGACAAAACAGTTCAAAATTTTTAGAATAAGTTTGTAATAGATTATTATAATAGGTTTTATGATTAAGAGCATTAGTTTTTACTGGTCCTTAAAATAATCATTTTACTGTAATATTATATAATATCCTCAAAGCCTAACTGCTTTTGCCATTCCCCCTGCAAAGCGTGGCAAAAACTGGCAACCCCCCCCCCCCTCCTATGGGGATGCTTATATTTAGCAGTAGCTGTCTACTATTAACGGCTGATACGACAGGATACTGTAATACATACATATATATCTGTCACGCCTGTCTCCCATTAGGGTAGGCAGAAACAATGGAACGCCAAATGCTTCGATTCAAACAAACCTCTTTCGCTTCCTCCACATTCATCAATCTTTTCATACACGCTCGCCGGTTACGGGTACTTTTAATTTGGCCCTTCTTCAGCACGTCGCCTATTTGGTCGACATACGTACTGTAATATTAGATTGTACATTTAATTTTAAAGATAAGAAATGACGCGTCAGAGTTGACGCCAATGTCTACGAGTTTTAAAAAAAGAATCAATCTAAATAACACGTCGCTTCGCTAAAAATGTCTTCGAGAATGCACGATGGCATGTTAGTTGATATCGTGCATTAAAAAATTTTAAATTTAGAACGCGTAATGTCACGTTATATATTTCGCTTCGCAACAAGCAGTTTAGTAATCACAAGGAAAAATTTTAAACAATCACATAAAAAATATTTTTAATGGAATGGTTACCCCGCCTGCGCTATCGGTATACGCTGGCGGGGCACCAGTGAGGGATTATAAGTGAGAATGGAAAAAAAAGGTAAGTTAGCCCATCGTGATGGATACACTTGGAATTCAGCACGATGGTTTCCAAGGGGACCACAGGGAGGTCGACCTGGTTGAGTATATTGCCAGCAATAGGGCCCTTAGTCTCCATTACTAACAATACGAAATAGAAATGTCGTTGTCAATAAAAAAAAATCCAAATCATTTTATAATAATAATAATTTTTATTTCGGACTTTTTTGGTCCATTAAATATGTATTAGTAACAATATTCTTAAAACTAATGTTAGTATTTTTTATTATTTTAGTATTTACTAATGTTATAACTATATAAAAAGTGCAACGGAATTGAAAACCTCCTTTTTTTGAAGTCGGTTAAAAGATGGAAACATCAAAAGCATAATAATAATTGTGACGTGATTGCAAAGTGTCCTACTTGTTCTGTGATTAATGCGGATGGCATCCTTCACGGGTGATCAAGTTCAAATGATCATCGATGACCGCACACACCGTGTGCTCAGAATAAATAATAGTGTAACCTCGGATATAAGATTAATCTTATAGCTCGAGCTAGAACAGAAAAACGTCCAAGACCTTGATACAAAACTAGGATATTTAAATACAGAAATACTAAAGACTAGGGATGTGACTAGCCATATATTAATATAGAAATATCTATGTATTTCCCAGAGGGAGACTTTGTACAAAAGTCGATTGCTTGGGTACCTCTGTCCCATTCGTGTTTTAGTGTGTGAAGCAGTTGTGTTTGCATGGCTGTGTTTCGGTTTGAATGGCGTGAATTTACAAGGTACAGAGGAATAACACCTGAGTCCTCAGGAATGGCGACGCATGGGGGGTATCATGGGCGAAACAGTATACTCTGTTATGTCCATGGCACTGCTTATGTCTATAAGCGACGGTTACCACTTTCCATCAGGTGGGCCGTCAGCTTGTTTGCCATTCTAAGTTGTATTAAAAAAAAAAGATTTTTTTACAATGCGTGTGTCGCGTACGGCCCAAGACCTTAAATTACGCCCAGCCCGAACGCCTCCCGGATGCCCTCTAAACTTGGACAAATCTGGGGAAACCGGAGCCATTTCTTATGGAAGCATAAAGAACGGCTCCCATCTATGGAGGAGGCAGTGGACAGGTTACGACTAATATGATAATGATAATAATAAAGATATATTATCCAAATGTCCATATGTATTGATTGTTATTGTAAATTTTGTTAAAAATCTACCCAGATGTGAAACGACACAAGAAAGGGAATTGCGTACAAGTTCTAGACGTAAAGACATTATGAGTGACATACAACCAAGATTAAACGTAGTTATGTATGGAGCGCAATTTCAGGGAAGGAAATTGTATAACAAATTACCAATTAATCTGAAAACTATCCAAAATTGGAGAATATTAAAAATCAAACTCCATGCCTTTCTGTTGGAAAAATGTATTTATAAAATAAATGAATTTTAGGGATATATTAATTGTGAGTTGTTTGTGGTTGCTTGTTTTTTTTTTTTTTTTGACTGAAACTGTTATTATTATTAATTCGTTGATTGTATCTGACATTGTTTATATGTAAAATTCCTATCATACCTATTCGACACAATGTAATATTGTTATGAATAAATTGAATTGAATTGAATTGAATTGAATGAAGAGCTCGAACAATGATATCCAGGCAAACAAGCTGACGGCCCACCTGATGGAAAGTAGTAACCATCGCCTATAATCATGAGCAGTATCAAGTACATAACAGAGTATACTGTTTCGCCCATGATACCCCAATGCGTTAATCCTCTGTACCCTGTAAATTCACTGCCATATCACACCCTTCACTCTCATTGGTGCCCCGCCAGCGTATACCAATAGCGCAGGCGAGGTGACCATTTCATCTTCACTAAAAAAAAACAATCCTCACCCGATTCACACGTGTATGTGTGACCACTTTTGTCCGCAGGCTATTTAATCGCCTTTTACCCACCCCTGAATTGAAAAGACGGGGAGATTTTTCCCCATGACATAATATTACTTTATTATTATTACATAAAGGAAACCATGATAAACTTATCTCTTGTTGACAATGAGTTCTTTATAAAATGTTGTTAAAATTCTATGAATCGAATCTTTTAGAACAGACTACAATACCTACATTGTTTTTATATAGTTCATTTAACTCTATTAATATATTGGGTCAGAATTAGATAAGAAGATTAGGAAAGGTAAGAATTTTATTAGTCCCATATAATATATCTATAATAATATTAATAAAAAATAGATTAATTTCTCTTTACAATTCATTACAGTGAAATACAATACTTATATTAATCAAATTATGAATATAACTGTGAGAGACTGGTGCCTGAGATAGGTATAAGAATACCTATATTACAGGTCACCGGAGCCTCACTCCGCAGGATTACTTACTAAGTACTTGTAATATAATAAGTGAATTCAATGTAATAAATATAATTTATACAAAGAGATATTTAATTATAATTTAATCTGGAAGTTGTGTATGTGTGCGTGTGTACGCGTGCTTGTGCGTGCTATATATTATATGTAAGAAATATCTGTATATAAGAAAATTTGACCGGTAACAAAATGGTCACACCTGATGATGTGACCTTGGTCCCTTGAAAAATGGGGAAGTGCTTGGTGTGGGATAAGACGTGTCTAGATACGTCTGCACCAAGTCTTTTATCTAAGTCGTCCTCTTGTTCGGATACTGCAGCAGGAACTAATAAAGAGGCGAAATAATCACATCTGGATGGGGTCTTATTCTTTCTCTCCATTTACTGTAGAGACTATGGATCCGTGGGATTAAGAAGCGAAGCATTTTTAACAGATGATCGCAGCGCACCTCATCGAGGTTACTGATAGACCAAGAGCTGGTAGCTACTTTACGCAAAAGATCCAAAAAGAATCCAAAAAGGAGCTGCCAGTATCTTGGGTACGCTTCCTCGATGTGGTGCGTTGGGAGACTATTTATAACTAATTGTAAATATTGTTTGTAAAAAATATAATTAGACACAGCTGTGTCATAATTTTGATAACCTTTAGACGCAGTGGTGGGTATATTGCTTTAGGTAAACGAGGTTCCGAGTTCGATTTCCAGTAAAAGTCTTAAATTGAGAAAAAGAACACTTCTGAATTGTCTAGGATCTGGGTCTTTGTTGTTGGTTGAGCTCCCAGATTTTAGTCGGCTGATTCCTCAAACCATAAAGAATCTTTGTTAGTTTGAGGATCAGGATATTGACATGATTGTATGGCAGTTATTATTTAAATTTCCAGCCATCTCTCTAGTGGTGGTTAATTTACTAAACAATAAATGAATAAAATTAAACAGCCGATAGAGTCTTTGACCTCAATGCTCAAAAATGAGGATACTCCTGAGGAGTACGCTATGAGATGCTGTAACACAGAGTATCCTAGTACAGATTCTGTCCACCCCCAATGGCAAACTATGTATATTCTATTTTGTAAAATGTAAAATGAAGTTCTATTGTGATAGAAATAAAAATTATTAATTAGTATTTTTTTTTTATGGGTGAAAATGGTATGGTAACCCCGCCTGCGCTAACGGGATACGCTGGCGGAGCACCAGTGAAGGGTGATAGATGAGAATGAAAACAGGCCAGTTAGCACATCATGATGAATTCATCAGGAATTAACCATGATAGTTTCCAGGGGGAACCGCGAGGAGGTCGACCTGGTTGGGTATATTGCTAGCAATGGGATTCTGTCTCCAACACTAACAATCCCTTTCCCCCCTATTAATTAGTATTAGGTATATTAATAAACGTATTATTACAAAATAGTAAATAATATTTATTTAAAATTGTCTTACATTAATTACCTAATACAGGTAAACATATACAATCTAGCTATTCAAATTTTTACTAACATTTTTTTTTAAATATATGACTGAATTTAATTTAATATAAAAGATTAAAATAATTATTAAAATAAAACATAAAAATTTAATTACAATTTATTATTATGTTGTATTTTTACTGTCTCACTTATTAACTGTCCACTGCTGAACAAACCCCCCCCCCCCTCAATAGGGAGTCGATTGGTGGGTTTTGCCAATAATTGCCACGTTTGGAGGCGGGTTAACAACTGCAGTTAGCCCTTGGTGGTTTTTTAACAGGAACGGGAAAAAAAGGGTTGTTATTGTTATATTCATAGTATGAAATTATATTTTCTTGTTATATTATATTTAATCACGTTCTTAGTAAAGATTAAAATATTTACAATTAAACAAATTTAAACAACTATTTTTATGCGACAGAAAAAGTTGTTTTTGTAACTCTTTCTTAGTAAATATTTATTTTGTTATTAATTATATTGATATAGATATTTAAATGTGTATTATTATATACTTAAAAGAAAAACTAATAATAAATAATTATAAACACGATTTTAGTATTATTATTTTTAGTATTTTATAATATGTGTGCAAACACTAATATATTTTATTTATATTTGTATTGATATTTAATTTTATTCAAGTTTCATATATTTATTAGTGTTTACTTAATTAATTAAATATTTTGAATTCTTTACTTATACGTATTTAAATATATTTCAAGTTGTAAATAAGTATATTCCGAGTTTATAAACTTATGTAATTCATAGTGTTAACATAGTTAATAGCAGCGTTTTACCTGAAATAAAACGCATATTAAAATACTTACCTCACTGGAAGCTTTATACATTGAGAGAGAGCATTTCCGTTTCCGTCGTTAGCCAGTCCTAAATTATTATTATTATACCGGAATTTCCGGCTCAGTGGCGACACCTGGCGGGAATGCACGATTTTTACTTTTGTAAAAATGTGCTTCCTATCGTCATTGACTCAATGTTTCACCAGGCAAAATAAAATTAAAGCTTCCAGTGAGGTAAGTATTTTAATATGCGTTTTATTTCAGGTAAAACGCTGCTATTAAAGTACTTGACCGTCACTGGAAGCTTTATACATTGAGACCTGTTTGTTATTGCCTGGTGACGCCACTACTTCTTTGTTTAATTAAATTTTAATACACAAAGGTACAAGGTGGGCTTAAAGCTCAGGACTTGTGAAGCATTAAGTTATCGAAATAGGAACTAGGGGTGTATATGCAATGCCATACCTGCTTGCTCTATATAATTAGGTACTTTGAATAATAAGTAATTGAAACGCCAATGTGATAATGAGTAGGTTACAGCAAAAATAAACTCGTCTTTATTTTATATATAATTAGGTAACATAATAAATATTACATAATTCATGTACTTGTGCTAACAAAATTAAGTATAACTAAATTATAATGATTTTATTAATTATTAGTCAGTACCAAACGAAACCCATGATAAATCAAGTAATTGGATTAAACAATCGAGTAATGGTATCAGAATTATCGCTCCTAATAACTTCTCTTCGATAAAACTGTTGGAATGTATTAACAGATTGCCAATTCCCACGAGCTAGAATATCTTCAACAGAATGATTCTCTAGCCAACTTTTAGAGGCTACAGCTGATCGAACGCTTCCTGGAGTAGCTGCTATATCGGCTTCCTTTAACAGCGTTCTGATCCATCCAGCTATTACGGTTCGTGAAGCAGGCTTGGCAACACCTCTAATTGTAATGAATAAATTAAAAGACTTTGTAGCATCACGTCTTTCTTTTAACAAAGATATAGTTCTCTCTATCCAAAATAGCGGATTTAGATTACGGTTATCGGGATTTAAAAGTAATTTCCAACCAGATTGTCTATAAGTACTGCTGTCAGTTTTTGAGCCAAATTGGGGCCAAAAAATTATATTATCATCAGATTTTACACAGTAAGGTGGATCTATCCTGAGTAACGTTAAATCATGAATACGTCTGCCTGAGCATAGTAGTAACAAAATGGCAGTATGTCGTGATACTTGAAATATATTATTCATATCTATTATGCAATTGTTTAGGAATTGACACAACTTACTGACATTCCAAATGGGTGGTTTACAAGTTTTTGGATTTTTTAGGGAAATTGCTTTTAAAATATGTTTTACTAGGACATGTGAACTTAGTTGACAAAACATATCGGTATTACATAAAGTGGCAACAACTGATTTGTGTAGAAGAATCGTATTATAAGATAATTTATCTACTAAATATAGATCACATAAAAATTGAGCTAACTGTGATCCAGTTGGATTTGTTGGATTGATACTTTTATTTCTACACCAAGAAATCCAGCGTGCCCATGCTGTTTGGTAAGTTTTCAAAGTAGACTTACGCCATGAGTTTTTGAGTAATGAGCGTTGTTCAGAGTTCCATGATTCTATCGCTGAAGACCACCCCCACATTTCCACACCTCCAGTACAATCTCGTCTACTTTCGGAGGTGGGAGGCCTGTCGACGTATCGACTAGATGTTGGTTGAGGTTCCTCAGAGTAAACGGTGCTGATAGCGCGCGGGTTTTCAGATCCGCTCGCCAAAATACTTTTTCCCACCGAGGAACTACTAACAAAAATGTCCCCGTCGACTGATTTAAGTGAGTTAATACTTTGGGAACCAAATATGGGGGTGGAAATACCCATGCTATTGGATAATTCCATGGGACGCTGAATGCATCGTGAAATAAGGCTTGATGATCGGTTAAATCTCGAGACACATAATTGCTTGTTACATGTGCCGTTTTTGATGCAAAAAGATCTATCATTGGGTTGCCCCACTTTGCAAAGATTACTTCCACACATGCAGGTAATAAATGCCACTCCGGGGGTCGGCGATGGCGACTTAAATGATCGGCATAATTGTTGAATTTGCCTGGAAGGTAATGTATGTTGAAATGTATTTGATAATGATCGAGTAAATTTAGAATTTGTGAAGTTATTTCCAATAATGCTATTGATTTTGTACCTCCTTCTTTCTGTAGATAAGCGACTGCCGTTTTGCTGTCGCATTGAATTAGGATTGAGCTGCGACTTATCTGAGGAGCATAACTTTGGAGAGCATGAAGTATGGCCAACATCTCTTTTTGATTGCAGTGAAGATTCTGTTCCTCTGGTGACCAGGTCCCCGAGAGAGCTAGATTGTTTATTTGTGCCCCCACGCCCGATCCGAAGCATCTGTTGCTAAGAAATTCACCGCAGGAGGGTGATGTAGTGGTGTGGATAAATGGCAATTCTGTACCCACCATTTTAATTCGTTGTTGGCTTCCTTCGTTAGTGGGTAAGCTCGAGATGACGTTTGTGGTAGTGAATTCATCATTGTTAATAATTGTCGATGATTGAGTCGTCCTCGTGGCACAACAAAACTGGCAAAGTTTAGAATCCCTACTATTTGTTGTAACTCTTTGACAGTTACTTTTTGTTGTTCGAGTATATAATTCGTCTTTTTTGCTAAGGCGATAACCTTCTCCTTTGGTAGAGATTTTAGATTCTCCCAAGGTTTCCAGTCTATACCTAAATAAACTATATTCTTTTGAGGGTAAAGTACCGATTTTTCGAAATTTATTTGCCAACCCAAATTCTGTAGCGTTTGTATCGTAAGTTTTACATGGTTGCGCAAGGTATTTTGATTCTGATGTGCAATAAGGAAGTCGTCTAGGTACACTATGATTCTTACGTTCCATTTTTGCCGCAACATTTGAGCAATCCAATTGGACAGTATGGAGAAGGTTTTTGGGGCTGTACTCAGGCCAAACGGAAGACAAGTCATCTCTAATAATTGTTGGTTGTATATCAGTCGTAGGAAGCGTCTTTGTGACTTTTTTATACTGAGGTGAAAATAGGCCTGCGACAAATCTACTTTGCATAGCCAGTCCCGAGGTTGCAGGAAGTTCGGAATGCGGTGCATGTTTATGAGATGAAACGGTTTGACCGTTACATATTTGTTTAGTGCTCTTAGATTGAATATAGGACGAGCTGTTCCGTCTGATTTTGGTACCAGAAATAGAGGCGAAACAAAGCTGGGAGAGACATGGGCGACTTTTAGAATTCCTTGCGATTTCATTTTGTTTATTATTATGGACATTTCTTTTGAGACAGCAGTTTGCAAGGGGCATTGTTTTAGATTTGGATATAATAGAGGAGGTTTTTTAAAGAAAGGTATGCGATAGCCTTGAATTAATTGCAAAACAATTTCTGGTGCACCCATATCTTTCCATTGTGTGTGGAAGAGTTTTAACTGACCTGCTCGAAATGGCTTTGAGTCATTGTTTCTGTATTTTTTGATTTCCTTTATGGGAATTTCTGGACGTATTTGTACGTCCTCGGTTATTTCCACGGTTGTGCTGCGAGCCACGGTCGTGAAATGTACCCTTGCCCGTGTTAGTGTATTGAACATAGAAGTATATCGTACAGGCGGGTAGACAGTATGTTGACACTGATATCCACCCCGCGAGGGTGGATTATTACATGCATGTGCATGCAAACTTGGTTCGTAAGAGTAATATTGGTTTTCACGCGATGGAACCGCTTGTCTTTTTATGCCTTGTCCCCGCGAGGGATGGCGGTTAGATAGATTAGGTTGATTTTTATATTGTGAAATTTTATCACGTTTTAAAGGCCAGAATGCTTTTCGCATTCCACCAACTTTTTCTAATGTAGATGTAAAAGGCTCAGCATCAAATATGAATGTAGCAGATGGAGGAATTCTATTCAGAGAAGCTTTTATCAGAGGATCACGGACTTGGCTTATAATACTCTCCCGCCGCATTTCAATAGATTCAGCTCTATGGCCACAAACTAATTATAATAAATCGGAAGATATTTTATGGAAAGGACCTTTTTGAAATATTTGCTCTAACTGTAGATTTAAATTTTCAACATTTAATTCTTTCGTATTTTTGGCCCAAGAAAGAAGGTCACGAAATCCCTCTTGAAGGGATTCTCTTTGCTTTAAAATGCAAAAAGTTATAGCCGCGTATGATTTGTCAGCATACGCTAAGTTACGAGAAGTGTCATACATTTTGACTTCCTCATTAGTTTTTAAATCAGTATAGCCTGGAGTATGATTATACAACTTTTGTGTTTCAGCATATCTCACATCGGACCAGGAGGAGGTGCCTAGGCGCTGAACCTCTAGCAACTTTTTTAAAAAATCATCGGGTGTTTTTGGGACAACTGATTCCTTTAACTTAGTATCAATATCAAAAGTAAAATCTTTATTTTCACAAGAAAAGCAATCGTCAACGACATCAGTATATAGCTGGCCACTAACCTCAGATGAAAGCGACACGTTGTCATGACAAAATGTATCATTTTCACATTCTTACTAATAATAAACATTTCTTTGAGCTCACCCAATTCTTTCACCAATTTGTCCATTTTGCGTGCAGTGCGACGAGCACGCTTGCCTTTCTTACGGTGGCGGCGCGACTGTTTGTCTGAATATGACGAACTAGAAGAGCTGCTTGAACTGCTACTTACACTTAGGATTCGCTTGCGCGAAGTCCCACTGGAACCAGCTACAGCTTGCGGCTTATCACATAAATCATTCTCATCATCAGCCATCCTATAAACAAAAGATATTAAAAAAAAATCCTTATCTAAAGAAAAAGTAGTGAAGGTACTCATACAGATATGAAATTTCTAAAAATAACTTTTGTTAAGAATTGCATTAAAAATGGACGGTGAAATAAAAATTATTATAAAATTATTATTATAAATCCTTATAATCAATTTTTAGTCGAATAGCATTTACTCTTAATATGAATTAAAAGGATCGTACGAATATGTTACTGGCTAAAAGTAATGCAATATCGTAATCCGAACGAAAAATCGTTTATAAATAACGATCACGATATAATAAAATAAAAGGTACTTACAGTGTTTCTTAAGGATAATTAAATCACTTTATACTTATTTACTGAGTACCACTGCAGAAACAGTGTTGCTGCAGACAAGTTACTTCGACGAAAAACGAAACGCCAATGACGATAGGAAGCACATTTTTACAAAAGTAAAAATCGTGCATCCCCGCCAGGTGTCGCCACTGAGCCGGAAATTCCGGTATAATAATAATAATTTAGGACTGGCTAACGACGGAAACGGAAATGCTCTCTCAATGTATAAAGCTTCCAGTGACGGTCAAGTACTTTAATTGAATATTTTTAATTATAATAAACATATATTAATGATAATTTAATAATTATGATTAAATGTTTATTATAATATAAGTAATTAAGTATTAAATAAATTAGTCCGTTGAAATAAAATACGATAATGGTTTCCTGTCAGGCAGGCCGTATGGTTGCAAGGTATTTTTATTATAATTGAAAATATTTCCTCCAAGATTCTCTAACCTTCTCCAAAGATGGCGATTTCAGTATTTCATGTACATGTTCATTAGAGGCATTTGTGAGAAAAATTACCTAGATTTTTTTCAAGACATATATTTAAATAAAAAAAAAATAATACTTAATTTCAAATTACATTATATGTAAGTATATAATTTATAATTATTTACATAAGGCAGTGTTACTCTACATCGCTTTAAGTTAATGAAGTGCCAAATTCGATTCTCGATTGCAAATTAATAAAGTCCACTGACTAAAATGGCTCGACTTATTACGTTCTTAGTTCCAAAAAAATTCCAAAAAAAAAATTAAATTGGTTTTGGAATTGGAATTTGGAACTTCATGATACATTATTATTATTATTTTTAAACAATTCAATGTTTTTTTAACAATAATAATATAAATATTTAATGATTTACAGTCAAAATTCATTCTGTTTCTTTTAACTAAGAATACATTTATTTACGTGCCTACACATTAGACGATACGCTCGTACGTACTCAATTAAGTAATACTCTCAACGGTTTTTGTCGAAACAAAAATAGTATTAAAACGATAAAGAATTTACAAAAAGAATCATTAAAATCGGTTAAGAATTAGCGAAGATATCACACAAAGAGCCTCCTCAATTCTAAATTAATTTGACAAAATACAATTTACGTACATGTGCCTTATAAATTTATGCAAGCTATGGACTATTTTTTTTTATAGATGCAATAGAAATCATTAATCATCTTTTTAAAAGAGTATATTAGTTTTACTGTAAAATTTCTTCTAAACAAAAAATGGGTAAAAAGTACAAAAAAAATGGAATCACTCATACTAATGCGACACGCTTGAAAGGTTTATAATTATTTATATTTATAATTATATATATATATATATATATATATATATATATATATATATATATATATATACGGGTATTTTGTTTGCTGTTTCCGACAGTTTTTTCACCTTTCCGAATGAAACATTCTTCAGGATGAGTAAAATTTCCGTTATTATTTTAATAGCTAATTTATATTATTTCTATCTCAATTGGTATAATATTACTGACGTGAAAACAAGTTCTAGTCTATAAAAATACATAACAGACTTCTTAATATCATATTATTGTGCCTGTGACATGTATATGTATAAAAATATATAGGTATATAGTTACTAACTTATGTTTTCAAACCTATATAGACAGACAAAAATAAATAGTGACATGCGTGACAACCTTGTTCATTTAAGCAATTTGTTACGGAAACAATTTTTATATCGCGACTTATTATATATCTGAATTAATTAATTGTAAATTAAAAATATTATTCATTAAATAATCTTAAATTCATTTATTTTCTTTCTTTATTATAAATATTATATCTTCAAGTCAACATCTAGAAACAAAAATTAAAATTAATTGCTTATTAAGTTTTTTGAAAAAAAATTGTATGTATTTTCTTAGGAAGATGACAATGATTTTTAGTTGATTCTATATGTTATACTGATCTAAGTTAATATTTATATTAAGTATTAAAACTTGTTAAGTTATTGATACATAATCATACACGTCAAATTATTCCTTTACAATAAAACTTATTTTACAAATCTGTTATTGTGATATTAGACATAATAATGTTATTCTTACATTACAATTGTTCATAATAAACATTAAAATCACAATAAATTGTTTAATTTACCTAAAACACTGACGGTACAGAATAAGCACCCGCGAATAATATCAGATCAGTAACTTTATCTACAAGCATAAACGCGAACGGTTTGTTTACAATGAAATCTATGGGTTTATCATCAAGTACCATGTTTTCAGCTAAAGCCTCCCCCTTCACGCCATGCTCGGTCACCTCTATATAAACTACTTGAGCCATCAGAGACGTATAAACTGGATAATCACTAATACCATTAAACTCAGCTCTCTTCGGGTGAAACAGTCTCTTTGCTCCCATATCGTGAATCAACTCTGGTATACTATCAATATCCGTGGTTATATTAAACCTGGGCAATTCAACGTTAACTAATTTGGGACCGTTATTTTTGAACAACCTCTTTATTGTGATCAGATGTATTTTTCTCAACGAGTAAAACAAATCGACTGCCGATTGTGATTTTGGTAAGAAAAATAACATGGACACTCTGTCGTCTTGACAAGGTATCTCCAATACGGTTGAATTGATCACAGGTATCTCCGTTATGTTGTAGTAACCGATTTGTTTCATCATATTAACATTGTCGCTGTACTCTCTGGTGTGAAAAGGTTGTAGTTGCGTATACACGGGGTTAAAAGCCATTTTCCAAGCATTACTGTAATACACAGCACCTACCATTAGAGCAAGTGTTGAATCAAAATCATCAGGGTACACGACATCCGTGATCTCACCATCTGTAGCCTCTTCTATATAATTATTCACACCATCGGCCGCACCAATTTCATTGTTAAAATTATACAACAACACTTTCAAACTTTTTAACTTCTCCACATTTTTTATAAAAGACTTCTTTACATTCAACAATTTATCTATAACAAGCACACTCTTCCTCTTGTACACCGTTTCCAAATCAGCGTCCATTTTATTGATGATTTGCTTCCATATTTCCTTCAAGCAATATCTTCTGTGGTGTCTAGTTATACTCCATATTTCGTTTAGAGTATAATTGGTCGCTCCCTCTGCTAAAGAAGCCAACTGGAGCCATGTCGACAGCGGCGAATAGACGAAATGTTCATTGGTCTCTTGAGAAACTCTATCTAATAGTCTCACTGAGAAATCGTAAGTCGAACGTTTTAATATAGCTGCAGTGCGTCGGTAACTGCATTTGTTGTCGAAACTAAACACTAAAGTGGCATACGCGAAAATTATCAGTAGCGAACGCATGGCAAACAAATTGTCGAACACAAGTCCGTCGCCACATAAGGTTTTCCCGTGAATGAACGATAATGTTCAAACGTTAAGGATCATATGATAAAGTGAGGTCAAACCACACACATACAAATAGTATCTAACGGAGACGGCTGTCTGGCTGTGCAGTATTTTTATTAGCATTAGATTAATAATACAATACCTAAATTTGAATAGCAATATTTCGATGGAAACATAGAGCAGTGGATGTTTTATAAGGCGAATAGAAATAATAATATTGTGAATATAATAGTTGCAAAATATTTTAATTAATATATCCAACTCGTTATAAAACCCGTTCCTTATTACTACTCCGCTATTTGACCCTCGATTTTACAGCCATAAAACACGACCAGTTTTATATAAATGATGGTGGATACATAAAATATACAATGAAATCATGGGATGACATAATATTTAACGAGACACAAGTGGTACAACAATCGATGTTAATTAATTTCCATGTTAATTAAACACAGAATGTGGTATAACATAATATCAAATTGTAGATATATCCAATTGATCTTTATTGGAGTTTATTTTTAAGTCTTTTAAAAGATGACTCTCAATTGGAATGTCATTTTGTTTTTGTATATTACGCAATATCTTCGCAAATTCTGATCGGATTTTGATGAGGCTTTTTTTTAATCGAAATCATATTATTACCAGACTGAAATGGGATTAATAAAAGACGTTAAAAATTTAGTTAAGACTGATATTAGAATAAGGAATAAAATTTTGTTCCACAAAAACAAACAGCTGCTTAAATAGTGGCAGAACAAACAATAATTTAAAAAACAAAGTACTGATATTGATACTAACCAATTTTGATAAAATTTCTATGGGACCAAACGGAAAGTATATTTATTATCAGACAAAAAATAATTTACTTGGTTGGTTTTTATAAATGACGAAGTTCTGAAGTAAAATACATTAAAAAAAAACAACCGAATTGAGAAGCTCCTCCATTTCTGAAGTTGGTTAAAATATTGAAATATTAAAAGAGCATCACGCAAGTTTCTTGCTCGTTCTTCTTGTGATGAGACAGCTTTCCGAACGAGCGGTAAATTAAAAAAAATGTAATGACTTTTCAAAAGTGCTTCAATGTAAGTTTATTTGAATAAATGATTTCTATTCTATTCTATTCTATTCTATTGAAAATATAGATTCAGCAGATAAACCGACAGACATTCCGACACATTTCATATTATATAATATAATAACATAGAAAAAGTATTACACTGTTTAAATCTAATAATAGAACAAAAAACGGTGCGCGAGCGCAGTGCCGCAACAATAAACATTGGCAAGGCTTACATTGCAAAAGTCAAGGTCGTCGGTTCTATTCCGTGACGAAGACAGTAAATATTACAGTGTGTATGGTATGCTAATTTATGATCCACTTGAATGGCCTTTTTAATGTCTGTGTTATTATATTTATAACGGCGCGAAATTGCCATGGAATGAGACTAAAATGTCCACTTTCGTGGGTATACATCTGATTAACTGTTTTTTTATTTCATGCACCGTTAATTAATCACAAATTAGGCAAAATTCATAAATAACTTATAAACATATTCATCATCATCACCGCTGAAGATAGGCCTCCCCATAAGGGAGGTTTTGCCAGTAGTTGCCACGCTTGACAGGTGGGTTAACGTTTACAGTTAGGCTTTGGTGATTTTTTTATGCAACTTAGAATGGTAAACAAGCTGACGGCCCACCTGATGGAAAGTGGTAACCGTCGTCTATAGACATGAGCAGAACCATAGACATAACAGCGTATACTGTTTAGTCCATAATACCGTGGGAACGCGTTGCATTCCTGAGGACTCAGGTGTTCTTCCTCTGTACCTTGTAAATTCACTGCCCTTCAAACTGAAACACAACCATGTAAACAACTGCTTCACGGTAGAAACACGAATGTTACAGAGGTGCCTTTTTTTTTTTTTTTTTTTTTTTCGTGTGGAAAATCTTCGGAAAGACCGTCCCATCTGCCGAAGGGAGGGCAGCTGGGGTGTGTGGGATTCGTACCCACTAAAAACCACACGACGTACCTCGAGGCGCTTATGTTGGATCCCGGGTTCCCGTTTGTACGACTACCGAGTATCCAACGCGACGGCCCGCCCTGTAGGTGGTGTAGGGCAGGCCTCCTCTCTTAGTTAGGGTGGGGAATGTCCCTCCCACCCTACCATCACAGGAGGGCACGGATACGTGCGCGCACCTCCTAGGGTCATATGAAGGGTGTGCCTCCCTCAAGGCAACACCCCGACCCTAATGGGGGGGAGGAAGAGGCAGAGTTGGGCGCGCCCCTTCTCCTTCGTCTGGCTCGGCGGCGGCGCATGACGGGAGCGGTGGGGGCACTCTCCCGCTCCCGCTCGGCCGCCTCCTTCTGCGACATTACCGCTTCACAGAAGGTGAGTATTACATTCCACGACCTCTCGCTACTGACCATCCTCCGAACTATATTCGGCAGCGAGAGGTCACCCCCCACTTCCGCAACCAGGACGCGGCGCTCTGCACTGAACGCTGGGCATTCTTCTAGAACATGTTGTGCCGTGTCCCGGTCGCAACCACACTCATGGCACTCAGTTGTCGGCTCTCTTCTCGCAATCTGACACAGGTACTGACCGAAACAACCGTGACCGGTCAGTATCTGTGTCAGCCGAAAGGTCAGTGGACCTTTGCGCCGCCCGCTCAACCAGTGTTTCAGCACTGGGCGGACAGCCTCGACGGTCCTCAGGCCGGCCCCTGGGTCGGCCAGCCTCTCATCCCACTTCTCCAGAAGGATCCGCCGAGCGCAGGACTTCCGTAAACTCATTTCCCTCTCGGTGGGGCACTCGCCCCGGGAACGTCGCTCCGCGCGCCATTTGTAGATCGACGCGCGAGCTTCTGCCTCTAGGTCCCAGGGCGGGGACCCTGCCAGCACACATGCCGCCTCGCGGGAGATGGTACGATATCCCCTAATGACTCGAATGGCCATGGCCCTCTGTGGCCTGTTGAGGCAGGTCACATTCATCCTATTTAAGGCTCCCGCCCAGATGGGAGCCCCATATAGGGCCATGGATTGCACTACCCCCATGTATAGGCGGCGACAGCTATCTCCTGGGCCCCCCAGATTAGGCAGCAGCCAGCTGAGTGCACCAGCCGCCGCCATAAGGCGGGGGGCCAGATTCCTGAAATGAGTTCGGAAGTTCCACCTGCTGTCGAGGTCAAGCCCCAGGTAACGCATGTGAGACTTGACCTCGATTCTGTGTCCACTGACCATCATGTAGACTCCTGGGGGTGGCGCTCGCCGGGGGCCATGAAAACAGATTGCCTCCGACTTTTCGAGCGCCACCTTGAGCCCTAACCGACGTATACGACCGACAACTAGTGCCACGCTCGCTGTGGCACGACGGACAGCCTGCATGAAGTCCCGTCCCCGGGCAGTAGCCAATGTGTCGTCAGCATAGCAGACGACACTTGTGCCCGCGAGGAGTGCGCCCCGCAGAATCCAATCATAGCCGACGTTCCACAAGGCCGGTCCCAAAACCGCACCCTGCGGAACGCCGCGTTGTACGTCCCTCTGTACTATCATACCGTTTCGCCCGACACAGAAAATTTCCCGGTCTTCGAGATAGGCCCCGATTATATCCCGAAGGTAGGGAGGCACTTTATGATATTCGAGTGCCTCCTTGATGACGGCAAAGGGCAGGGTGTTAAAGGCATTCTTGATGTCCAGAGAGACAGCCAACAACACCCCGCCCCGGGAAACCACCTCTTCCGAGAGGGTGCGAACACGCGCAAGCGCGTCTATGGTCGAGCGACCCTCCCGGAAACCGTATTGGTTTGGGGACAAATCAGGGCCATCCTGGGTCAAGTGTTGGACGAGTCGGCGCACTATTACCCGCTCAAAGAGCTTACCGACCTCATCCAGCAGCACGATCGGGCGAAACAGCGAGGGCAGAGGGGTGTTCGCAGAGCGACCCTCCTTCGGGAGCAGGACAACCCTGCCCGTCTTCCACTTTCTGGGAAATCGTCCCGACTCCAAGCAAGCGTCGAAAAGACGCCGGAGTCGGTCCCCAAGGACATCCAGGGCCAAGACCAGGACCCGGCCAGGGACACCATCTGGCCCGGGGGCGGTACTCTTCCCCCGGAGCTTGTCCACGGCCAGTGAGAACTCCACTGAAGTGATCGGCGGGGCCACAGCGTGTTCGGTGCCGCCGCCCTCTTCCTGTCTACGGTTCCGCGGCACCATAGGAGGAGGCTGATATTCCGGTTGTTCCGGAAACAGACCGGTTAGCACCTCCTCCAGTTGCTGTGGCTGGAGACCCTCAGCCGCAGGTGGTGCCCCGGAGCAGAGCTTGCTCCTGACTTTCCTATAGGGGCGCCCCCATGGGTCTTCGTTGAGAGTTCTCAAAAGTTCCTCTCTGGCCCTAACCTTGGCCCTGCTGATGGCCATCTGTAGGGTCTTCTTCTTCTCCTTGAAGACCGCGTACAGCTGCGCTTCCGTCTCGACGTCGCGACTCTGCCTTCGACGGCGGTGTCTGAGGTACTGGCGTCTGGCGGCATTGCTCTCTGAGCGTAGAGCCGCAATTTCGCCAGACCACCAGTACACTTGACGCCGAGGGGGTCGAGGGCCGGCCCGGGGCATCGCTGCGTCGCAGATCTGCAACATTGCGTTGCCGAACCGACGTGCCTCCTCCTCGACCTCCATAGGCCCATATCTAGAACTTGACTCAGAGATCCAGGCCTGCACGATTGAAGCTTCCACCAGAACGCCTTTGTCAAGGCGCTTCGATGCCCATCTAGGGAGTGTCGGAGCATTGCTTCTCCCCCGGCGATCCGAATGCAGAAGCATCGGAGAGGGGAGCAGGTCCAACCTAATATATCTATGGTCGGACAGAGACTCCACCTCATCCATGACTTTCCAGTTCTGCACCCTGCGTGCGATGGCCGGACTGGCAAGCGATATGTCCACAATAGACTCGCCCTGCCAGCGCACGCATGTGGCGACTGACCCCCGGTTGAGTATAACGAGGCCAGCCGCGGTCGCCCATTCTTCAAGAACCCTGCCGCGAGCGTTGGCTACTGGGGCGCCCCAAGCCGGAGATTTAGCATTGAAGTCCCCCAGCACCATTACTGGACGGGTTGGGTGTTGGCTTATTGCGGTTTCCAACCCGTTCATGAACTGTTCGAACTCAGCAAGGGTTCTATTGGGAGAGAAGTAAACCCCGACGACGACGATTTCCCCCCAACTCACACCAACGAAGCCGGCACCCCGGAACAAAGCAGAGGCCAGCGGGGGGGCAGAATCCCCATATAAACATGCTACGGCCACTAGGCCGTCTGTGTCACCGAACCAGCCCCTGGTATTCGGAATGTTATAGGGTTCGGCGGCAACTATCAAATCAATCTGCCATTCCGCGGCGCTCTGCATCAGGAGATCCTGAGCGCCGCGGGCATGGTTCATATTTGTTTGGAGGAGACGATGGACCGCCATCATTTACCAGTGTCCATCTCCTCCCCCACATCCCGTTCATGCGGCGTCCGGGAGATCACAACAATCGCGCCTCTTTTTTGTTTTTTGGGTGGGACACATTCTTTTGCGCCCACCCAATGGTCCACCGGGCGCCCTAGGGGGGCGCAGACTGCACAGTTGGGTGCAGCGGAACAGCTTGCCGCCTTGTGTCCCGGACGTCCACATCTGTAGCAGAGACCGCTGCGGTCCTCTTCATGCAAGCACCGCGACCTCACGTGCCCGCTCTGGAGACATTTATAGCAGCGCAGCGGCCTCTGCCTAAGCAATTCAGTGCGCGCCGCTACCCAGCCGACTAATATGCGGCCTGCAGAGGTGATTTTTTTAACGGCCAAGACCGGAGCCCGGACCCAACATGTGCCGAGTCCGCTGGAGTTACGTTTTATGTCCCCCACTTTGACCACATCCAGCGGACATTCGCCATCCCTAGCAATAGCCGCCGCGAGCTCACTCGATGTGATGGAGTCATCTAGGCCCATCACTCTCATTTCTGCCATTTTGGTGGGCCTAGAGACTTTTACTACGTCACCAGGGATGAGCTCACGTAGTCTGTTTGCCAGCGCGTCGGCCTTGTCTGAGCTGGTCACGCCCGGCACCTGCAGTACTCTGGCCCCGGTGGCCGCCGTCCTGAATTTGATGGTTTCTATCCCAAAGTTCGCGAGGTCCAACTTGGACCTCGCTTCTTGCAGAACCTTGGCATAGTCCACTCCTCTTGCCTCGGCCTCCGGCTGCAGGGAGATAATGACCGCCGAAGACCTGGGAGCCCGAAGCTTAGACGGGGACGGCGGCCCTTTCTTGTCGCTCTTAGGCGCACTCTGCGCTTTTCCTTTCTTGCTAGTCTTCCCAGCTTGCGGCTGCCCTTGATTTTGTGGCACAGCTAGGGTTTTGCCACCCCGCCTGACCACTGTGGCCCAAGTATCGGCCGGTGCCCTTGATGTGGACGGGATCGCTGGAGACGGCATGTACGCGATCTGGTTGTCAGTCGGCTTGAACCGGGAGTTGCGGCCAGAACTATTCGGAGGAGGTGCCTGAAACTGCGGGGCATTCCTAAAATCGGGACCGCCTGCACCGGGAAGCCTTGTGAGTGTCTCGTACATCTCGTCACCCTGCAGAGGTGGACGCCATTGTGGACGAAGAGACGCCTCTTGTTTCCCCTGTAGTGCAGGTGAATGGGCAGCACTAATTATGGCGGGTTGTCCCATAAACTCCAGGAACATTGCCCGCATCTCCTTCTGTATCATCCTGGACACATCTTTCATGACCTGCTCCCTGAATATTTCCAGGTCTTCACCGCTGATTGCCGCCTGAGGAGTAGTGCATGGTGCAGCGCGTGATGCTGTCCGTGGGGCTCTGTTCTTAGGAGCCACAAAGGTCTCCCTTTCAGCCTCTGGAGCGGGTTGGGCCGCACGAAGTTCAGCCAGTTGATTTTTCAGGCTCTCGACTTCTTTCTCCAGGCTCAAGTTCCGGGAGAGAAGGGGAGTGACCGATTGTGGATTGAAGTCCGACTGCAACTGGTCAACCACCTGGGTGATGGCAAGGATCTCCTCCTTCATTACCTTCTGGCATGTGCCCTTTAGGTTCCTGGACTTCCTTATTACGTCGAGAACCGTCCCTGCTCTGCCATGAACTTCAGTGCGTGCCCTTTGAATAATTTCCTCCGTCACGTTGTTTCTTACTGGCTGGCCCATGGTGCTGCTTTTTGAGCGGGTCGTAACTCTATTCCTCTCTCTGCTGGAGGAGGCCCTCTCGTCGTTGGAGTCTGACTCCAACACCCGGTTCCTGCTTGTTGCAGGTGCCGGTCCGGCCCGCTGGTTTTGGGGCTTGTTCTTGCCCTTAGCATCCTGCAACTTAATCTTTATTTGCTTTTTTATCCCAGTCGATCCGGATGAGTCCGAGCCAGAAAAATGCCTTTTCCTGGCAGAAGCGAGCTGCTCTGTAATCGTCTTATCTACCAGCATGCCGGTGTACCCGTCCCCAATTATCGTTGAGCGCGAGCTGGAGCGTGAGAGGCTGGAGTCGAACCCGCACTCAGCACTTCTCATGCTCATGGCGCTTCCAGCGCTTTCCCGCTCTGCGGGGTCTTCCGCCTCTGTCGGCAAAGCCACAGGAGAAGCTCGTCTGGAGCCTCTATCTGTTAGCGCTAAGCTCTTCGGGGTTTTTTTCGTGACCCCCGAGCTCCCAGGCACCGAGTCCATTCTGTCCTTCGCGGACATCACTGCCACTACGTCCTCGGACACTACGTCATTGGATTTTTTTTTATTAATTTTATTTTCCATATTCGTTCCCACGAGTATATATATATATATATATACTCGTGTATAGTAGTACAGAGGTGCCTAAGCAAACGACTTTTGTACAAAGTCTCCCTCTGGTTGATGTTTTAATAGGAACGCTACTGTCCATTCCTAGATAATTAAGTTACCTTAATGTCGCCTCCTATGACACCCATGGGAAAGAAAGTGGTAACCCATTCTATGCCGGGACGACACGGCTAAATAAAAACGTATTACCTATACAGAAAAAATTTTTGGTAAAACATTCAACCTTATATAAAAACTCCTAGATATAATCAAACCAAAAATCAAATCTTTAGATTATGCGAGTATCGAACAGTTTCAAATCCCATAATTCTTTAAAATCAACTTTAACGATGTTTTTCGCTTGCCAAGCATGGCAACTATTAGCAAAATCCTCCCAAAATAGGGAAGAAATATGTTCAGCAGTAGACATGTAACGACTTATGTGATGATGATGTTTCTCAAGATTTGATCACTACAGATAAGTCATGTACTAAATGACACATTTATTAATTACTAGGTTTTACCCGCGACTTCTTCCGCGTGATCGGGATATGTTTACTGACCGCGCCAAAAGGTAGCCTGTATCCTTTTCGATAGTACGTGTATACCAAATTTTATTGTGATTAATTCATTATAGCGCTATAAGGTAACAATAAATAAATTAGCTTTATTTATAATATTAGTAAAAATAGTTTATGATTATTTTAGATATGAATGACCGAAGTGGCTATTTTAGCCTCTATGGTATGTTATATAGGGAATATTAATGCAACACGTCATAGGTACGGTATTATTGCTGATATTACGATCTATATATATATATATATATATATATAGACTAGCTGTTACTCACGAGTTTCTCCGCGGGTTGAGCACGTTTATCATATCAGCCGTCAACTGTCCACAGCTGAACATAGGCCTTTCTCATACAGGGTCTCTTTACTAGTAGTTGCCACGATTGGCAACCGCTTGGTGATGTTTTCAAAGAGACGCGAAAGAAGAGACTACTCATCCCTCAACCATTAAGTTCCCTTAGTCACCTCTTACGACACCCACAGGAAAGAAAGGGGTGACCCTGGCAAGTACATAATGTACTTTAATTAAAAGACCAGGCACCCCTGGAGAATAACCTAAACTTCATCCATTCTAACGTAGGAAATAATAACCAGATTGTTATCATAATAAACTAAGTATGCCAATTGATAAAAAAATGACCTCGTTTTTTAATTATATACCTAACATAATTATTAGGAGAGAAAGGGATTGTTAGTAATGGAACCTGAGAATCCCATTGTTAGCAATATACCCAACCAGGTCGATCTCCTCGCGGTTCTCCCTGGAAACTATCATGGATAATTCCTGATGAATTCATCATGATGGGCTAACTGGCCTGTTTTCATTCTCATCTATCACCCTTCACTGGTGCTCCGCCAGCGTATCCCGTTAGCGCAGGCTATACCATTTTCACCCATCAAAAAAAAAACATAATTATTAATTCACTCTCGCGCCACCTACCCACTTCTATCTGTTCTCCTGTTTGTCTGTAAGAGATTGCCCTAGCGATAAGACCGCCTTTTGTACCTTTATGTGTATATTTCAATCTGTATTTATGTTACTGTATTTCATTTGAATTATTCACTTGTCATTGTATATTTTTGTTTATGGTGCAATAAAGAGTTAAATATATAAATAAATTCGAAAGTTTGTATGGATAGAGGATGAATGGATGCATGGATGAAATGAAATGAGTTTATTTGCATTAAACAGTTACAATTATTAACATAGACCAAGTAGTATTAAGTTGTCATTGTATATTTTTGTAATTCTTCACTTGTCATTGTATATTTTTGTAATTCTTCACTTGTCATTATATATTTTTGTTTATGGTGCAATAAAGAGTTAAATAAATAAATAAATTCGAAAGTTTAGTATGGATGGAGGATGAATGGATGCATGGATGATGTGAAATGAGTTTATTTGCATTAAACAGTTACAATTATTAACATAGACCAAGTAGTATTAAGTTGTCATTGTATATTTTTGTAATTCTTCACTTGTCATTGTATATTTTTGTTTAAGGTGCAATAAAGAGTTAAATAAATAAATAATAATCAACATCATCATATCAACCGTTACCTGTCCACTGCTGAATATAAGCCTCTCCCTTGGAGGTGTTTACCGGTAGTTGCCAAGTTTGGCAGGCGGATTGGCAACCGCAGTTAGATTTTAGTGACATTTTAAGAAGGATGCTGCTGCCTTTCCCTTAACCATCAAGTTCCATTAGTCGCCTCTTACGATACTCAGGGGAGGGAAGGGGTGGCCCATTCTATGCCAGGACCACATGGCTAACAGAATAATGCCTTCATCATTTCAGCCATTATCCGTCCACTGCTGGACATAAGCCTCCCCCATACACTGCCATAAAGAACGGTCCTTAGCCACCTGCATCCACTGACTCCCTGCAATGCATTTCAGGTCGTCACTCCATCTAGTGGGGGTCGTCCTAAACTGCGTTTATCTTAATGCCTTACAATATACATTTATCAGGTCGACCTCCTTACTATTCCCCCAGGAAACCATCCTCTATAATTCCAGATGATTTCATCACGATGGACTAACTGACTTGCCTTTTCATTCTCAACAATCATTTCTCACTGGTACTCCGTCAGCATACGAGTACATCGTTAATGCAGGCAAAGTCACCATTCCATTATCCATTATTAAAAAAAAACATCGACCATAGACAAAGAGGGATTCGAATTTTTTTTTTATCGTATTGTGATATGGTAATATAACCTAAGACACGTTCCGTGGAACATGTTATAATGTATAGAATGTTATTTCCTAATGTTACATATATAAGTATTCTTAATAGGGTTCCGTACTAAAAAGGTACAAAGGAACCCTTACGATGTGACTTTGGCCATCCGTCCGTTCATCACAGCAATATATATATATATATATATATATATATATATATATATATATAGCAGCTACTAATGCTATCGATTTGCAATTTGAAACAGTTTTACATATTGCAATGGAAATAAAGGATTTTTTTAAATATTTGTCTTTGCATAGTGGATCCAAAACGGGTACTTAAAATTTCAAAATTAATCTACTAGTTCGAGTATAATGTCACGTGAAAGGGCTTCATTTGTGGATTATAAAACAGATTTTTTATTTATTCTTATACTATATAATTTTTTTAGGTATCATCGAAAATGTAAGAAAAAACAATCCTCTCCCTTCTCCTTATCTCCGAATTTTGTAAAACGAAATATCTAACATTATTAAGGCTACATGCCAGTATTGCAGGAAAAATAACACGACGTTTATAACTAGCTCCGTTTTTGGGGAAATTATCAAAAATCTTTAAAAATAAACTTAGTTTTGCGGTTAGGTTTCTGGCCACACTTACGACCTAAATACGGATATGCAAATAAAAAAGTTAAGTAACAAGTCTCGCGAGTCCATCACTATGAAATTATAATAATATTTTAATTAATAGTTTATTTATACGTTAATACGTTGAAAACTATTCGAGTAATCCGAATGAATTGCTCACTCGAATAAATAGTAATCGAATTAATTAAGTCGCACATCGCTATATTTAACGAATCCTTCGAGGTCTTATAGTTATATCAACAGACTGCGACCGGGGGGAAAGGGATTGTTAGCAATGGAGTTTGACAGCTCCATTGCTAGCAATATACCCTATTAGGTCAATCTCCACGTAGTTCCCCCTGGAAACCATTGTGAACAATTCTTGTCGAATTCGTCACGATGGGCTAACTGACTTGCTTCATCCTCACCTATCATCCTTCACTGGTGACCCGCCGGTGTATACCGTCAGCGCGGGTAAGGTTACCATTCCATTATCACCCATTAAAAAATATCCCGCAGGCGAAGTCGCAAGTAATAACTAGCTAGCTATTTATTATTTTTTATCCCGTGGGCGAAGTCGCAAATAATAACTAACTAGCTATTTATTACTTTTTATCCCGCGGGTGAAATCGCAAGTAATAAGTAACTAGCTATTTATTACTTTTTATCCCGCGAGTGAAGTCGCAAGTAATAACTAACTAGCTATTTACTACTTTTTATCCCGCGGGCGAAGTCGCAAGTAATAACTAGCTAGCTATTTACAAATAACGGAAAATCACTATTATCATACACTAGATAAAATACTAGAGAAATTACTAGAATTCGTTCACAGTCGCTCACTTGATCTAAATCCATGTCCGTAAGATAAATCCGTATAGAAAAGATAATACGTCTGTACTTATGTACTCATCTATCAGTTTCGAGTCACGTCTGAATGGTTTATGTATTATACTCGAATAGTTTGCAATTGTTATGCTGATCAGGGCCGGATTAACAATATTGGAGCCCTAGACATTGCATGTCTCGCTAACAAAAAAACTGCTACAAGAATAAATAATCTACACTAATATTATAAAAAGGAAAGATTTGTATTTTGGTGTGTATGTATGTTTGTAATGAATAAACTCAAAAACTAGTTTGCCGTTTTGAAAAATTCTTTCACCGTTAGAAAGCTACATTCATTCCCTGAGCAACATAGGCTATATTTATTACTGGAAAAGATTAGGGATCTTTACTAAAGCTTTAGTAACGTATCTCAAGGTGTAAAAAAAATGCTATAAAATATCTTTCGTCGCGTGCGCTGCGGAAACTATTGATGCGAGAACAAAAGTATGTTCTACAATATTGAAGAAAATATCAATAACTACAAAAAACTTCGCGATACTATTTTTTTTTACAACTTAGAATGGCAAACAAGCTGACGGCCCCCCTGATGGAAAGTAGTAACCGTCGCCTATTATCGTTATGTCACAATAACAACTGTTGAAAATGTTGTAAAAATGTCCATCCGTGCGAAGCCAGGACGGGCCGTTAGTATAATAATATATATATAAAAATAAATATAATATATTTGTATAATCCGAGGTTGA